CAGCCATGTGAGAGTCCACAACAGGAAACTTCAGCAATGACCTGTTTCTCGCAGATGCATCTTGCAGGCAAAGATGTATAGGACAGAACAAGCCGAGGCTGCGCCACGAACAAGCAATTTAGGGTCTTGGGGACTCGCACGCGGCAGCAACTCTGTTTCCGCGTCCGGCTGGCTGCCGCACACTTCCCAACAGTGAACCAAACGGAAGTACAAACATTCAAACAGGACCTCGCAGGCGCCCGGTCCTCTCAAGAACGGAACAGGGGCAGAAACATTCAAAAAGCACATCATCGTCGAGATCCACAGGCGCCGAGTCCTCTCTGCCGAGGTGCAACCCGACACTTGGCAGCAAGTGGCCATCGTGAAGGCATCTGCCATCATGAGGCCCAAGCTGCAGCTGCGACCCCTATGCAGTGTGATTCAAAGTGATTCAAAATCTGTGTCCACTTTGCTCTGACCTGAGAGTATGGTGCACTGAGAAAGCCGATGCTGGAAGCAGCATACCTGCGAATGATCAAGTTGCCTGTGCTTCATTTGCCACTGCTTGCAAAGATTTGCAAAGCGTACATCCTCACTGAGTACCTCAATATCAAATTATCAGCTTAGGCGGCAGATTGGCGTGCTCGAGTTCGGCCTTTGCTTCGCAAAGGCCGAGTGCCCAACTTTGCCGCGGCGTAAACCGAATTTCGGCCCACGCGCAAGACGTCCCAGGCCGGGACACTTTAATTAGCCTGCTTTGCAGGATCGCGTGCGAGCGCCTTAATATGTTACACAGTTACAATGAGGACTCTGCCATGCCGTAATCTTCCATACCATCCTGCAAGAAGGATGCGCAAAGCACGGGGTCGACCGGGCCACCCTCGCCAATAGCCACTTCCACCACTTCCACCACTTCGTTGACTTCGTTGACTTCGTTGCTGGGCATGCTTTCCTCTCCCATGGTCGGGAATGGCAGCTCTTGGCTTGTCTCCATGGGCGGCTGTGCTGTCAGATGCACGGAGAGATCCACTCCCTTTCCGTGCCTCTGCAAGGAAAGCTCTCGGTTCGAAGCGCCATCCATCAAGTCCCGGAGAAGAACCGCGCCAGATCCTCGGAACTTGGAGTTCACATAGATGCCGATCACAATCATGTGGTGCTCAGTGAGTCCTGTAAGGCCGATTCCTTCCACACACTGGCCGCCATCTGTCTCGAGGACTTTAACTGTGGTTGATGCGCGACGGTGACCTGGGACTTGGCAGCTCAAACGAACATCCCCTTGCAGCGCGGAGGGAATGGCAATGTTGTCCAAGCACAGCGCGTAGGTCGTCTCGTGGGGTGGGGCGAAGGGTAAGCTGGGGTCCTTGCTCGTACAGCTCACCAGGGGCACGAACACGCAGACCATGAGGGATGGGCTAAGACACAGGGTCCTGACAATGCCTGTGACTGCCGAGATCAGGAAGTCCACGCCATCAGAAGTACTGACGGTGCTTATGAAGATGCTGATGACGAGCACAGACACGGCAACGTAGCAGGACACAAACATCCAAAAGACCAAGCGAGCTGCAAGATGGAGACGGGTTGCCAGCAGCTTCTCCTCAAGCGTCAAGACCGCCAGAAGTGGCAAGAAGCCGATGGCGGTGGCAAGCACGGAAACCACGGCACCACGCAGAACCATCTCCAGCACACCCCGCTCAAAGACCTCGCACTCCGTGGGCAGCTCGAAGGTCATGGCCGTGGTGCTGTAAAAGACGGCCACGAAGCCCAAACTGCTCCAAAGGCTCGCCTGCTGCGCGGCGCAGCGCTCCAAGGACGAGGATCGCATCACAGGATACGAGAAGTCCATCCAAGAGCTGAAGGCACGGAAGGAGACCACTACGCGCTGCCAGGGGCTACTCTTGTAGAAGCTTTCAAGGACCTTGTGCGCTCGCTCGTGTAGTGCGGTGTAGCCTCCGACAACATAGAGCTGTTTGAGGAAAGCTAGGTCCACACCCATTTCAGCAAGGAGGATCTTTGAGTGAAGATGCTGCAAGAGGAACTTCCTGGCAGTCTTAGCTTGCGGTGTCAGCTTCTCCTTCGGGAGCTCCACGGACGTCATCTTGGTGTGTGCCGCTTCTTGCTTGGACTCCCAACTGTGCAGGAGCTCTTCCCGGAGGTGACGGTGCCTCCGGTCCAAAACCGCGGCCAGAGCCAAGAGGAAGATGCCCAGAACCAGTGTGAGCCAAGTCGCAATCGCGGGCAGTCGAGTCGGCCAGTCGGCTGCGGAAAGGCTCCGAAGACCTTCGGCTGAGAATATGGCGGCGGCATTGCTGCACACGAGCGCTAAAAGCATCACGGCAAACAAGGAGAGGTGGCTCGTGGCACAGGTGATGGAACTGCTGTTCATCGCGACTAAGGAGACGCCCTCGGTGGACCAGCCCTGAAGCTCCTCGTCCCAGAAGACACAACGGGCATTGCTGAGGCTGCGTTGATTCTCCGGCGGTGTCCAGGGTTCATATGGGAGTGTGAGCAGAATCGGCGTGGGAAGCTGGAAGACCTCCACGGCCTCAGAGTGAGAGGCCTTGCGGTAAACCTTCAGGCTTACCAAGGGCTCAGCAAGCCTGTAGCCGTCGCTGTTATCTGCGGTGATTGCGTCTGCGAAGAAAGGGAAGGAGCTGTTCTCAGTAATGAGGCCAGCACTGATTGCCCACAAAGGCTCAGCAAAGGCCTCAAGAAAGGCTGCCGGCAGTTCCACCGTCACATCGCCGAAGCCGATGACCAAATCAGCACCCGTTGCTGCCACGACAACTTTGGAAAGGACACTCGCAGAAGAGACCACATCCTCCCTCTCAGCAACTACACCATCCTCGTTTGTGACATTCGTCCCATTGAGCTCTGCGAAAAGTGTGCTCAATGCAAGCTGCTGGACATCTTCCATTGTGGCTAAGGCTGCCGTCGCGTTCACCGACGCCCACATAGTCGTCGACCCCAATAAATTGGCTGTGGTGGTTGTTGTCGTTGTTGTTGTCGTTGATGTTGTCGTTGTTGTTGTGGTTGTCGTTGTTGTTGTCGTTGTTGTTGTCGTTGTTGTTGTCGTTGTTGTTGTCGATGTTGTTGTTGTCGTTGTTGTTGTCGTTGTCGTCGTCGTCGTCGTTGTCGTTGGCTGCGTGACAAATGCATGCACCGAGTCCACCACAGAAGTGGTTGTGCCTGCATAAGTCCAGATCTGACCAGCGGAGTCCATCACGGCCACATGATTGTACCGCTGAATGCTGGGAGGGCTCACTGCTTCAGTCCAGACATCAGCTTGCACATCATAAGCCCACACATCCGAGAATCTGCTTACCACCGTATTCACATGGTCAAAGGCATAACCACCGTGGATCCACATCGTGCGCTGGCTGTTTGAAAAGACCGCCGTCGCGCTCCTGCGTGCTTCCGGCCCGATGGCCTGGGTCCAGTTCGTCCACGTGTCCCCCTGGATTTCCAGGCACAGGAGCTCATTCGAGTACAAGCCTGCGTCCAGTTCTCCAGCGAAAACCCAAACCTTCGGGCTGGCACCGGCGGGCTCCAGCACGGCAGCGTGCATCCTCCGACCAACTCCGGGTCCATCGCTGGCTTGGCTCCAGGTATTGGCCTGGATGTCATAAGCCCACACATCCATCACAAGCGAAATCCCTCCCACAATCCACATTTTCCCGCTGTCAGGCTCGAAAACTGCTGCATGGCCGGACCTGGAGCTGGGTCTTGGACCGGCTGGAGTTCGCTGTGCCCAGGACATTGCCTGGGTGTCGTAGGCGTAGAAATCGTCCACTGTCCCGGAGGAGGTGTAGCCCGCGAACACCCAAACCTTCTGCTCGGCAAAAACCGCCGAACTCAACTGCCGCGCGGAAGGTCCCGAAGGTGCCGAGGCATTGAGCCAGGAGTCTGCACTTGTGTTATAGGCCCAGATCTCGTCGATGTAGTCGAAAGAGCCTCCAGATGATGGGATCCCACGGCCTCCGAAGACCCACATCTCACTGGTGGCATTCTTGAAGGTGGCTGCAGCAAACTGCGCTCGGTACGGGCCACTGGCGAAGGTGTCGGAAGACCAGGACTGGGCATGGACCAACCGATATAGCGAAGGCACCAAGAGCAGAAATATCATCAGCTGCCATGTCATAGCTCCAGCAGGCAACAAGGCTCGACGAACTATGTTCTTCGTCAAAGTGTGCCTCAAGATGCGTTGATGGAATGTGTGGCCTGTCGGTGGAGGTTTCTCGAAAGCTAAGAAGAACGAATACGTCACCGGTCAGAGTACGCATAGGAGGCCACATAGGTATAGGCATAAACTACAGTAAGAACATGGGTTCAAATTGAGATTTTGTTGAACCTTCGGAAGATGGTTTTGTTTTCACAACCTTGGTTATGCAATATCACGAATACTGCTGCGTAATTTGCTTGGGGGGGGTGGGGGCGAAAGTCGCCAGGGGAGTGACCAAAGCCATACTTCGAAAGCGGCGTGACAGCCAGCAGGGCGGCAATCTTGATGGCAGCATGTGCACAAAATGCCAGAGCTACAGGCAACAATGCCAAAGCATGGTTCTGTCCTTGGGCTGGCGCCATCCTGGACTCAGCGACACGGCCGGGATCAGCTTTGAGTTTCGGCAATGAACAGCTGACTTAAGTAAACGCCCTTGACTACAGTGTCTCATTGTTTCTGAAATGTGTATTGTCCTTTTTGATGTGACTTTGTTTACACCAGATGGTTGTTTTGATACGAATCTGTGTATGTTTCATGAAAAGGCCAACAGCTGCATACTGTATCTGGCAAAAGGTGGCCCAACGCCTCCGCTCTCTGCAATTGACACGTCGGTCTTCTCATGTTTTCGACAGAAGCCGTTTACAGACGACTTCTAGGTTAGAATAAACCAACAGACCACGCTTCTGCGGAAACGAAACAGATCCGGAACACCCCAACACCTCCTCGCAGCCGAAGAAGAATTCTGAGACCGATCTAATTTTGGACACAAGTTGATCACCAGGTCTTATGGGGAAGCTGCGTTTTACAGCTCTTCGAATTCATACGACGGGAATGAAAATGGCCGCTGCCTGAAGTTGCTTCGCCAGGCAATTGCAGCTGAGGTTGCAGCCGCAAAAGCCATCAAAACAAAGATTGCGAGCAAAGGTGCTGTTGCAGGCACCTGTCTCCAGGACAGACTGTCCGTAAATTCGGTGTCTTGAATCAAAGATGACAGAATGGTGCACTTCTTCAAGGCCTTCCTTCCCTGCTTCTTGAGCAAGGCATAGTCCACCAACTTTTCACACTCAAGCTTGGAGCACCCACAGTCCAGCAAGCCATTCTCCAAGACAGTGGCATCAGCGGGGCATCCGCTGCTTTCAAACATGTCAAGGATGCCAGAGCCTGTTATGGAAGATGTGTCCCAGTTGGCCAGGCATTGGCTGAAAGCGGTGGCCTCTTTGAACATGCGAGCCATGCTCTCCGCCAGCGACGTGTCCCACGAATCGAGGGGTTGGTTGAAGGTTGAGGCCAGTCGGAACATGAGTGTCATGTCGGTCGCCCGCGAGGTGTCCCACGAGTTGAGGGGTTGGTTGAAGGCTGTGGCGCCCCGGAACATGTTTACAAAGTTTTCCACCCGCGAAGTGTCCCACGAGTTCAGGGGCTGGTTGAACGCCACAGCGTCCCGAAACGTGCTTTGCATGTTGTACACCTGCGAGGTGTCCCACGAGTTCAGCGCCTGGTTGAATGCTGCTGCGCCACGGAACGTGTCTGTCATGTCGGTCACCTGCGACGTGTTCCACGAGCTGATGTCCTCGTTGAAAGTCGAAAGATCTTTGAATAATGAATTCAGGGTAGTGACTTGGGAGACGTCCCATTCACCGATCGGTCCATACTCATCTTCGATGGCGGCTCTTTCTACAGGTGTCCCAGTCACCCAATCTGCCACCGTCTGTTTCAACAACACACCATCGCTGGGGAATGCAGTTTTGCAATTGCCCGAAAGCAATTGCAGCACAAACAAATAGAAGATCATCTGCATGGCTTGGCCATCAAATTTCAAGCAGATCAGCTTCGAGTCAAATTGCGGAAGTTTGCTGTGGGGCGAACAACATGTTGTGTTTGTTGCTGTTTATCGGGTTCAAACTGTTCTTTGGACCACCACAATCACAGGCTTTGTGGGCAACCAGCTTCAACTTGCAAGATGAATCATGTCCAATCGGCTTGTAGTTCGAACTCTGGGGCAGTCGGTCTGAGCCTCATCCATTGCAGCAAGAAAACAGACCAAAAACTCATCCCGCAATTCTATGGCCTGAAAGTGTGGACACCTAGCATGGTGGGTCAACTGATCTACTTCAACATCTTTCGCGTCAACAATGCCACTAGTCAACCGGCATAGTTCCCTCCGAAACCGGGATGGAAAGAAACAAGCGCATGAAATTGCACCAACTACTTTGTTGGACTGTTTGGATATGATGATTTTGGTTTAAGGGTGCAGCGATATAGCCGCATGCCGCTACGGCCCTAAGCCGGGACCGTCAGGTTCGGGGATCTGTCGGGATGTCGCTGGAGAAAAAAAAAGGCATGAAACAAAAACAATCATTTCAACTCATCTCAAGCCTGTCCTATTTCCATGACTCTGACGACTTCCCGTGTTTCGGTTTCTTCCTGGACTCAGCGACACGGCCGGGATCAACTTCGAGTTTCGGTCATGGGAGTTCTTGTAATCGCCAATTTACTGAATCATTTGGTAAGGAGATAATAGTGCTAATATTAATATGACGAGAACAGAAGTTAATTAGCAACTTTATACACTCATAATAACATAGCTCTTATGCAATATAATGTATAACGAGCGTACGCGTTGGTAGTAACATTAATAAAGCCTTCCCTGGTATTTTGCTATTAACGTTCTGCAGGAAAAAACGAATGAAAATGAAACAAGATATGTACACTACAGTCTCGACTCTGGCCCTCCCCACTAGCTTCAGAAGATGGGAGGACTGCAATCCTCACGTTAGCACTCGGACGCACTTCTTTCTTCGGAAATGGAGGGATCCTACATCATACGAGTAGCTCGGTGGATGTTCCTAGCGAGTTCGAACGAGCGTACGCTGTCCTAAACTACGATGCAGTTCACGAGAGTGATGTTTTTTTTTTTTGTTTCGTCGCGCCTTTTTGCGTCCGCCGCAGTCAGGGTCGGGACGGTCGAGTCCACGGGTCCCCTTCGAGGGCCCGGGGAAGGGACCGGCTGGGCAGCCGGCTTGGTGCCGGGACCTCGCTTTCGCTCCAGCGCGCGTCAGCCAGGAGCTCGTGCAAGGCTGGGGGCGTGCCAGCAGCACAGGGCTCAGACGGGACGGGGAGCTCGAGGAAGGTAGCCGCAAGCGCGCTCTGCGCAGCGACGGAAATGATGCCACTCCACCGGAAGACCCAAGCAGCCTGGGCAGAAACCCTCAACGCGGCGGGGGTGCCGGCTGCTCGCGCACGAGCAAGGAGGCGCACGAAGGTGGCAGCTTCGGAGTCCCAGCGCCCCCCGACTTCAAGCCCGAAAACGACGAGCCGACACCGCCGACTGCGGTCAAGTTCGGGGTAAATTTGCCGCCGCTTGCGGCGCGCAGCGTTGCGCAAGGCACTGCCAGGGTGGGTGGCAGCCCCGGCTTGCGGCAGCCCCTCACGCGTCACAGGGCTATGTTTTTATCACTTTTTTCTTTTCCTCCTCTTAAACTTGGTGCTTTTAGTAAGACTTTTTTTGTGCTTTCCCCACAATATCTGTAGTGAGGCACGAGCGTGCGCTCGTGTCGGCGCATACTCAAGAAGGCACGCCAACCGACCAGCGCCTCCGAGGTTATATGGCGCCTCACCGGACTTTGGCACAGGCTGTGGCAGCACGTGTCTCCTCGGTGTGAGCAGTTTAAGTACTTGGCTCACGTTTGATGCCTCACATGTCATGACATCCGTGAATCAAGAGTGATTGCATATGATTGCATATGATTGCATATGATTGCATATGATTGCATATGATTGCATATGATTGCATATGATTGCATCAGACTTGCCTTGGCAACGCCTTGGCTCAAGTGACCGGGTGAAAAACGCTTGCTACGTCAGAGCTGTGCTTGATTGAGCTGTGACCAACACAGGGTTATCAGCCGTAGCTGTAGGTGCCATGGCGACGGTCGATGCGACATCAGGACGCATCTACATCAAAGATCTGCCAGAGACGGGTTCTGATTCTGAGGGCTGGCGCTTCACTTTGAAGAGTCAAAACTTGCGTGTAGCGCCGGACCCAGTGGCAGCCATGGCTTACATCAGAGAGCCTGATGATGAAGCGGTTTCCTTTGGCGATTTGGCGTCAAACTTTTTTCAAACTTGCATGAACAAAACAGACGTGAATGCCGGAGATCCTCAAGCTGATACAATCACGTGCATAGTTTGGTTGTGGTCGTCAGGCTGTCTGCATCGTTGATTAGCGGCATGCATGAGGCATTTCGCCACGGAGGCTAACACCAAGATCCAAAAGCTCTGTTGTTCTGGATTGTCAGCATAAACTCACGAATGCTGGGGGCATTGAGCTTCTGAAACGCAAACTCAAAGACATCGAAGAACTGGATGCCACTTTTGCCGTTTTCAATGCCAGCAATTCTGTGGATTTAGACGCCTTGATCTATGCCATCAACGGTTTGATTGCACATCACTCGGAAGAGATGGAAAGGCGAAAAGCGCAGAAAAAGGCTGCAGCAACCAAGGTCGCTGCTGCCGCGGCGGCAGGCGGCAAGTCTCAGGGAGGCAAGGGCAAACACAAGAGCAAGAAAGGCAGTGACAAGCCGTGTGAACATTGCCACAAGCCCGGACACACAGCACAGCGCAAAAGTGCTGATTCAATCCAAAAAATTCCGCTTACAGGCCGGACTTCGCGGCCAAAATCAATGGCAGTAGTGCCGCTTTGTCCAATGGCGGGCCGTCTGCGCCGCCTGGTTTGGGAGCTGCGTCCATTGGGGCTCGGACTGGGCCTGCAGTTCCGACAGATGTCCTCACCAAGGCGTTCTCGGAGTTCCTCGCCAAGCGGTTCGGTGGTTCCGCATGGCTTGCCGATATCGGGCCGAACGCACTTCAGCAGTTTGCGGGCGCAGCGTGGGCTCTGGATTCTGGGGCCAGTCAATGCTGCATCATGGGCGTACAAATGCCGATGATGCCATGCGCTTCTCCAGCATGTTCCGGGAGTTTTGCATGACCCTCAGCGGGGCAGAACTCGCCAATCTTTCGGTTCGCTTGGCGTTGGCAACGCAGACGCAACCCGCGGATCAACATTGTTTGGCTCACTTTCCGAAGGACCCCACTTGCGAAGTGCGCTTGCAAGCAAAAAATGTGCCGCGCGCCGGCGTCCCGCAAGAAACAACCCGTGGAAGATGACAAGCCCGAGTGCATAGCGAACGCATTCACGTGAGCAGTCCGGACAGACAATGGTGGTGAATTCCAAGGCGAGTTTGCTTCAAAGCTCAAAGAACGGAAAGTCAGACATGAACGCTCCTTGCCGCGTCGACCGAAAACCCACTCTCGTGCTGAGCGTTTCCACCTCATAGTTGCAGTGGGCATGGCTTGTTTGTTTTTTTCGCGCCTTTTTACGACCAAGCAAGAAGGCCTACGGGTGGTCACGCGTCACCCCTCGAGTCTGCCAGGACCTCATGTAGCTCTGGCAGGGGTCCCTCACCGAGCTCAGCGGCAGGCGGCAACTCGAGGAGCGAGGAGGCGTAGGCGCGCTGGGATGCGACTGCCAGGAGCCCAGACCAGCGCGCGATCCAAGCAACGATGGCAGAAGGCCTCAACTGCGCTGGGACTGTGGAGGCCCGGTGTCGCGCGAGGAGGCACAGGAGTTGCACAGCTTCGGTGCCGAACCTGCCGCCAACCTCAAGCCCGACAACAACCAGGCGGCAGCGCCGCGCGCGCTCGAGCTCTGGATATGTCTGGTGCCGCTTGCGTCGGGCGGCGGCAGAGACGGCGGTCCTTGGCTGGACGTCTGTGCGCGGGTGGGGCTCGCCGCGGCGCGTGAGGGCGTGAGGGGGCACACGATGGTGGCGTCCAGGGCGAGCTGAGAGCCATGCCACAAAGGCAGGCCATTGGCGACAACCTCTACGCGCCGCTCGTCCGAGACAGGCACATCGAGGTTCATGTCCGCAAGCCGGACGTGTCGGGCGACCTTCACGACAGACCCGCGCGACGGCATGCTCAAGGGGCAGCCTGGGGGCAGCGCACGCGTGGCCAGGACCCCCGAGGTGGCGCAGGCAGAGCGGTGGTCACCGAGCGGGTCAAGCTCCCCGTGGCAGCGGCCTCTGCGCGGCGCGAGCGGGAGGGGAAGTCGCAGGCGGCGCAACAGCAGAACCCGGTACTGCGCACTGGGGATGGAGAGCTCGTCGCGAGTGGGAAGGACATTCAAGGCACGGGTGGCAAAGGGCTCGGCCTGCGATAGCAGCAGCGCTCGAGACGCAGGTGTGAGGTCAGGAAGGTGCGTCTCGTAGGCGCGCGCGTCGCAGGCGCGGGCAGCAAATCGCTGCCATCCCTTGAAGGGCCAGGGGTCACGGGAGGTGTCTCCGCCACCTTGGAAAAGGGGCGCCGCCGGTGCAAACGGCTGCCTTGCTTATTTGTTGCGTCTGGAGTGCCCTATGCATTTTGGACTTTCTGTCTCATGGCTTTCCTCTTTGTTTACGCGCGCCACCCTGGTGCCAATGGAGCCGAGTCTCTACCAGCTCCGCTTCAATCGCCCCTACGATTTGAGCAAATTGCATGCCTTCGGCTGCGCTTGCTACTATCTTTCTGAGGAGCATGACAACTTTGCATCTCGTGAACGGCTTGGTGTTGCGTTGGGTTATATAGCCGGCTGCAGTCGTACTATGTCTTGGATTTCGAGCACTACGTCGAAACAAAGGGCAAAGCACGGATTGTACATACACGTGATGTGCGCCTCAGTTGCGCTGGCCATTTCATGAGCTGGGCATGGACAACCCTGATGCAGCGCACTGGGCCCAACGTTTGTTCGAACCGGAGGTGTTGCAGCCCACGCCCTGCTGGCGATGACGGCCGTTGCGTACTTTGCGGACTGTGGGCCACTGATGCAAAGGTCCACTGTCGGGGATGTATGCTTGGTGGTGGTCGTCGTCGGCATGTGGATCCTTCGTGCTCGGTGTGGTGGTCATTCTTTTCTTGAAGTTCAGCGCGCGGCCTCAAACGAGACAAGCGCGGACTACTCCCTGAGCCTGCCCGGCAGCCGTGATGGGGCATCTCCTCCATGGACTCGTCAAACTCCAGACTCCGATGTCGCATGACATACACGATGATGCTCATGACGATGATATGATCCCACCCCCTGACGATGAAGGTGATGGACGTCATCATTCGGATGCCCAGCTTCGCCGACCTCGCTGGCGGGTAAACTTGTTCACGGATGCACAGGCGCCTCCTCGGCACAATTACGGCCATCAGTTCGATGACAGCATGGATAGTGGCTTTGTGGCCCAATCGACTCTGATGTCAGATCGACGCGCAGACGATGTCACATCTTCGTTTGGGCGATCACGGTCTCGCCGCGGGTCGCATCCATCGGATGCAGATTCGGAACGTGCTTCTCAAGGCCCAACTGTCGCACAAAACCCGTGCGTCTCCATCACACATTGGATCACATCCATCCGATGCTGATTCGGAACGATCCAGGCCAACTTACCGCAATCACGAATTGCGGCCAGAGGGCATACACAGTTCGGGTGCTGATTCCGAGAGGTCGCAGCAGCCGAGCAATGTTCTTGACAATGGGGCCATCTCCTCCACGGTGACGTTTGAAAGTGATCGATCTGGACTTAGCACAGTTGTTCGCGGTGGGACGGTTCTCACGACGGCTGCAGCGCTCAGATTGGACAAGAGCTGGACAAGTTGACAACTGAGTTCGGGAAAATGTTCGCTTGTGTCAAAACAGTCAAGCGCAAGGATCCAGAGTGGGATACAAACGGCGCGCGTGAAGCCATCCGCAAGGAAGCGGCAAACCACGCATCGAAGCGGAAGCATGTGAATGGGAAAGTGCTGTGGCCAAGTACGGGCCTGACGTGGAGTACGTGCAGGCAAATCTTATCTTCGGGATCAAGCACTACGAACTCGATCAGTCCCAGCACCGGTTCAAAGCTCGCATAGTCGGAGACCATGTGCGTGACATCTACGGCCGCCTTGTGGAGGAAGACCAATTGCATGGTCGACCTATTGCACTTGAGGGATCGCGGGCGCTGGATTGCGACGCTGGTTTGCAACCCGACGGCGATTGTCAGACTGCTGACGCTGATGGTGCGTACTTGCAAGCTCGACTCAAAGGTCGTCCCGAAGGTTATTTGTTTGCCGAGAGAATTTCGCACACAAGCAGAGCTGGAAATGCGATGTCCAGTTCATCTTTTGTACATGGCCATCTACGGGCTCACACGTTCAAACAGCGACTGGGAAGATCATGCTGACGAGCGGTTGTTGCTTCAGCATTGGCTGCAAGCTCGTGACATTGAGCGTCAGATCTTCAAAAAAGAATACAACGGACACATTGTGGGCATGGGCCGTTTTGTGGATGATTTCAAGTTGGCGGGGCATAAACCAGTGCTACCACACACATGGGCTGAAATTTTCGTGCTTCGATTTCGCAGACCCACCTCAACCCGTCAGCCGATTTGTAGGTTCCGAAGAGATACTGTCACGTGACCATGCTGATGTTGCCACGTTTCTCGTCAAGCAGGATGCTTACATCGATACCTTCGCGCGCAAGTATTTGGATGAGATTGGGGCCTATCGACTTCCACGATACGACACACCGGCTGTGAAGCTCGCGGCCTGTGATGTGTCCAGCATGAATGAACCAAAGTTTGCATCAAATTGTGGGACGTACGTGGGGGCCGGATTGTGGATAGCCCGGAATAGTCGTCCTGAGATACCTGTTGCTGTCGGATGGTTAGGCCGGTACACTACGAAATGGACCAAAAGAGAGGATGCGGCCTTGCATCGTCTCATGGGATATCTAGCAGCTACTCAGTGATTCTGGTTCCCAACCCTGCTGATGTTCAGCGACGCACTCTGAGACTAGTACTGTGGGTCGACTCTGACTGGGCGACAGATCCTGAAACCAGGCGATCGACGTCAAAAGCTGTTTTGCAACTCGTTGGGTTGCATGGCACTCGCGCGACATGAACAGGGCGACCCCTGATGCCTGCCCTCCTCACATTGGGGGTTGCACCTGCGATCATTGCGCTCCACAGCGAGTTGAGTCACGGAGTCCGTCCGGATCTTCCTCGATCTCGATGATACTTATGTCACCGCCCAGCCTGACCACGTGCACGATCGCCTCGCGCACCATCTGCATGCCCATGCGCACATCCGGCTCAACGTCCGGACCGGCCACCTGATGGCAAGAGACTTGGGTTCCCACTCGGCTCGGATGAGTACGTCGCTGCCCAATTCCCCCACAGCCTAAGATTCGCGGCTGAAAGTTCCCTGTCACCTTCCCAGGGTTCGCCCTGTTCAGGTGCTAGGGCAAGTTTCCCAAAAGGCGACCACGACGTCTGGGGGTCGTGTTGACGACAGCCCGCTGTCTTACGACTAGACTCGTAATCGTCCGTGGATATCTGCGGTCCGGTGTTGTGATAATTCAAGTGCTTGCGCGATGGTTGAAATTGTGAGCCTAGCGGCCTGCTGCAGCCGGAGGACTGCCGCCTGTCAGCCCGCTGGCTCTGCGGCGGCGGCGGCGCGAAAAAAATGGCCGATGAAACGAACACACTCGCCATTTGCCCATTGTCGATTCTTTCGCTTCTGGTTGTCAGAGCAAAACTCCAAAAACCGCGGCTGAGGCACTCTCTTGTTGGGAAACGTAACTGATGTGGATTTATGCAAACAGGAATATTGACTACCGGCAAGAAATCGAAAAAACCGTGACCGAACGCTTGGTGCCAACATGGCATCGCTTCGCGCATGGCAAGTCCGAGCCGACAGTGCACTCATGTGCAAACCAGCTGCGACCAAGAGCAGCAGCGTCGAGAAACCCGGCAAAAGAGCCAACGCGTTAGCCCGCACAAGCTTCGCACAGCTACGTGGGTTTTCACGCTCCCAGACAACAAGCATCGTGAAAGTGCTGTGATGCTCCTCGACCTCTGGCATGCCAAGCCATCGAGAGTCGCAGGTCAGCGCATCGCTGTGAACACGCAGCCAATTGACGCTCATCGTGCCGATTTGAATTTTGATGGTCGGGATATGTCAAGCTCGTTGTTTTGGCACGATACCTCAGGGTCAACGTAGGCGGCAGCACTGTGACAGCGCGAGCGCATCCTCTTCCGGCAAGGCGGAAACCAGAGCCCTCAACCGATGGGCACATGACATCATGTTTACAGTACCCTTTGCAGACCTGCCTTTGGCGGGCCTGCATCCAATTGGTCAGTTTAAGATGCGAGTCGCTGAGCCCTATATATCCTCCACTCCTATGTCGCCGGCTGGCACAATGTTCACACACAGCATTCAGCTGAGGAGATTTCCTGCGATGCGATACCATTGGGAGCACTGTGCTGCAATAGAGCTTGCGTTCATCCCGCGGAAGCTGCGCACCCCGTCTGCGACGTTGGACGATCCAAACTTATAACCTGGGACATGTAAAGAACGCGTCATAAGCAATCTCAACACTTCGGCAAACGTTGGTTCACCTTCGTTTAGCCGGGCCGGTCGCTGTAGTATTGGGTGCGCGCTTTTTGTGGTTCTGCCACGGTGAAGGCCTCGACGATCCAATGCAAAACGAAAAAAACTGAGGCGAGAAGGTGCAAACTCAAGCTTTCCCAGCCGATGTTGACAGAGGAGCTCCCTTTTCCCCAACACAGCGCGCCTGACTGTGCCCTACGTCGCAGGCAATGTACAGAACGCGGTGTTCGCGTTCGAGCTGGCTCCATGAATCGGTGCTGCCCGAGCCCCCCTTGCCGTGGAACCTGTTTAGGAATGGCTTGCTCACTCAGATCCGCCCCATCGAGAACCTTGCAACTGGCTTCGGACAAACGGAGGATGTGCTTCGGCGATGACGAACAAGACGAAAGTCTGTATAAGCCCGTTAGAATCCTAGCCAGGAGACCTCATTGTCCCAACCTCCCATCGCTGTGTTTACAATCCACACTGTTCCTAGTTCCGGCAAAGGTCGACCTAGACCTTTCAAAACAAAGTTGATCAAGAGTTTACGTTCTTGAGCAATGTGCATTCTGGGCCTATTTCTGTCAATTCATGTGGGTCTGCTGTCTTGCTCGGCTTACTAATGCAGGCTATTCTAGTTCTATCACCCCTTCGCATAGCAGGCATGGTACCTTCTAACCAGTTTGTCGGGGCCCCTGGACATTACTCTCGAAGAATGAACACAAGAAACAAAAAAACGATGAACGAGGAGATACTTACGTCTCTGCTCTACTTCTCTGATTCTCGAAAAATGAGCACAAAGAATATCAAGAAACGAGGGGGGTGGAATTTAGATGAATTCTCTTCTCTGTTTTCAAATTTCTTCTCTGCTCATTCTCTGCTTTTCGAAGAAAATACAAGAAACAAAAACAAGAAACGACGAGGGAACTTAGACTAATTCTCTGTTTTCTCGACTTCTTCTTGGTTTTCGAACAATGAACACAAGAAACAAACCAAGAAACGGGGGAGTGGAGTTTAGATTAATTCTCGGGTCCGATTCCAGACGGAGCCAGTACAAAGCTGGCGCTCCAGGGGGTCCCAGCAACTGGGATTTTCGATGAGCATCCCGAATTCCTGGAAACAGGACCTTGTACAGATGCTGCCGGGGCACATGTTGCGGACCTCGTGGAGCGGCAGCCACCTGATAGCGAAGACGCGTGGTCTATTATTGCTATTCCTATACGTTCTGTGTTACTTTATTTATATCAAATTGACCTCTTGTAAAGGCCACAGTAGAGTACCGGAAGTGTACAGCATGGCTCGCTGAAAGTGATTGGCAGCAAGTCAGACACAAGTCTTAACATCTATTTGAATGTTTAGCTTTCGCTTTCGGCTGGACTATGTAAACACTCCAGGTAACCCTGATCAACATGTCCTCTAGAGACATTCGTCACACATCGAAAACAACTAACCCTAATGCCTAGACCCAAATCCCTTGACCCACGCACCGGGAACCGCACTTCCTTTGCAGTCGCCCGGACTGACATCCCGAGGAGTAGGAGGGTGTGGGGTAGTTGCGGTTCCGCTTTCAAAGCCAAAAGGCTGCAGAAAGTGCAACTTGAGTGGATCAGGCCCCGAGGTACTGCATTCCTAGGAGCTCGAGGCACGTCGTGCGTTCAGGTGTAAAGCTCCACATTGTCGAATGCCAAATGCTCCACAGATTTTCAACGTGTGCGCAAGGCTTCGGTATGGCTCCATCAGCAAAAGAAGTTGAGCGACTCACTACAGAGGCACGAAGCGACGTGAATTACTCTTTAGAGTCACATGGCTCCGGACAAACCCCCATTATTCCGAAATCGGGCAGCCCCCACCCAAGCAATCAACCCCTGACCCTACAACCTAAACTCCAGCGAGTCTCTTGCCACCATTCTATTTTTGGCCAACAAGAAGATGCGAGCCCGCCCAACATGCCTCCGAGTGAAGCTGCCCTGAAGCTCAGCAATTTTCTGAGTCTCTGTGTTTTTCCTGGGGAAGCTCTGCAAGACTTCGGATTTAGGGGGTTTAGGGCATAGGGAATACTGAGCCTGCCTTTGAAAAAGCCTACCCTGTTCGGCTTCCCCAAGTGAACTCCCTCGCAGCTCCGACCTTCGGAAGGAGTGGAGGCGCGGGTGGTGAAAGCTACACTGACTTGCTAGACTCAGCAAGCTCGCAAAAGGCACGGCCGTGCGTTCGCACGAGCTGGATCTGATGACGCGAGTCTTATCTTCCATGGCATGGGGAGCTGATTCTGCAACAGAACAGTAGCGAGCCTGCAAATTGAGGTTCTCGGTGCCGGCTCATAGACTGTTCGAGCCCATGGTCCGGCTTAGGCTATGGAACGCTACCCTAACAAACGTAGCATTCCCTAGAAACGAGGAAGGCAGCTCAAGCTTCTGCCTTTTCGCAGCAACCAGTTTTGTGAGCAAAACGGCGTGCGCTCGGAGAATTTCAGAAATTGGCAATCTCGCATTTATGCACACTCGCGTGTTGTGCATGCTGAGGCGAGTTCTTTGAGTGAGCTCACAGACTGCTCGAGTCCGTGGTTCGGAAAAATGTCGCGGGAACGCTACTCTTGCAAACGTGAGCATTCCCCAGAAATGCGCAAAGCAGCTCAAGCTTCTGCCTCATCATCACTCCTCTTGGCAAAAAAAACGTCGTTCGAAAGATGGCTCCAAAGTGGCTGAAGCTACAAAGCACACCTGCGAGCAGATCGTGCTGGACGCAAGCGTGCAAATTGCGCTTCTCGACGCGAGCTCGTGGACTCTTCGAGTCCCATGGTTCGGCCGAAATACGGGAATGCTCTCGCAAACATCTGCGTTCCCATTCAATGGTTCAAGCGGCTGTGGAAAGCTTCTGCCTCGACAGGAACCGATTATTCCTGCCAGCAATTTACCTGGTCCGGAGACTTGGCATGAACTCCCCTCTCCGAGTGTTGGACACACAAGCAAAGACGCTACATCTTCCGTAAAGCCTGGGGAAGTTGACTTCTTGGCCCAACACTACGTACAGGAGTGAACTGCGGCTCCAGACGAAAACACACAGACCGGTTGAGGCCATGATGCTTCCGACCAGGACAACTAAGTGCTATACTTCCCAGAGTAGTATTGCTCTAGTACTGCTAGAGATACTATAAATCTGCAAACACCAACCTGCAATTCCCACAGGTGAGCTCAGATCAGGACGTTGAACGAGGCCAGGACGACTTCATCGAGGAGCGCCGCGGCCGAGCGCGCTCGGTTGCCCAGGAAGGAATCCAAGCGATGCAGCACGAGGTCCTCTGAAAGCCGTCTAGGGTTGCGGGTTCAGGGCTTAGGAGCTAATAAGACTCCAAAGCCCTCAGGACGAGGTCATAGAAAGCAAAGGTATCCAATATTGCTACGCATCAAACCCACAGGGCTCCCCAGGATTTTTGGAATGCAGGATCCAGACTTCAGGCGCTCAAAATAGCTTAGGGTTGAGTTTAGGGTTTATGAGTGAAGGCTTCTGTGAGCCCTAAACCCTCGCCTGGCACGCGCGTCAGGCCTAACCCTGCCTTCTCTGAGCATGAGGGTCCTGGAGGGCCACATTGAAAGCGCCAGTGTCCTCGATCTTGCCAAGGACCAAGTCCTGGTCTGTGGCTGAAATATAGGGTTAAGGGTCGACTTTTTGGGGTTTAGTGATTTTGGATAATTTAGGGCTTCTGCTATCCTTGTCCGCGGGGAAGGAAGCCTCCGCTTGCTGGACATCCAGCCGCGCAAGCCTCTCCAAACAAAGGTCCCGGGCGGCCAGGGAATGGATCTTGATGGCCTGAAGAGGTAGGGGGGGGGGGGTGGGATTGAAGGGGGGGGGTGGAGATAAAATTCGACGCTTACGCTCGCACACTGCAAGGCTTCAATGAAACACAACCCACTTTGGATTGCTCGGCTGCCTGTCGCCAGTGGTTTAGGAGTTGAGGGGTTGAGGGGTTGAGGATTCATGATAAAGGTTTCGGATCGAGCCCCCACATTGTGTCACACAGATCCGAACTAAGCCACTGTGCGAGTGACCGTGAGAGGACTTGTAAACAGTCCCTGCTGGCACCGGTGCGACTGCTCCCGGTGTCCCGCCGCCCATGGGGGCCTTATGGGGCCTTGGACTGCCCTTGAGCTCCGAGTTTGGCTCGACTCAGACCAGAGATCCAACCGCTTGCGAGGTTCTCGACGCGGCACTCGGCCCCAGTCGCTCGGCCGGGGAACACTTTGCCTGCCTGAATATTCGAGGTGTCATGACATGTTCACCTTGTTGCTTACCCGCAGAGGTTGGGTGGGGCCTTGTCTGATGTTTGCACCTTGGGCGATTGCTTGGATCAGCGGCCACGAAGCTCTTTTTCAAGCGGCTTGGGAGACGGTCGACGCCGTTGATGCCAAGCACTTAACAGTTTAGCCTTCGATGAGACCCCGGAGGCGGACCTGCAACAGTTGCAGAGGTTCACGGTGCTGCACGGCCCGAATTCGGGCCGTACAGCAGCTGGTTCGAATGGACAAATTTGGCTCCTACAAAACAAATATGCTTGCTAAGCAAGGCCAAAAGAGTCGATTCAAACGATCTGCACAGTATGGGAGGGGGGTCATACAGGACCCCGACCACATTTTGCTCCATTCGCGCGCAAAGTGGCCATGCAGGTAGTCTTCCATATCGTAAACCCCATGTTTCTGCATATGAACAAGGGCTGGGACTTCCACGAGCAGTCGGTAAAGAGAAAGGGGCGTCCTAAGATTCGGAAGAGACAGGGGATCCAGTGCTGCAGTCTGAACCCTACACCGAAACCCGGAGGTGAGAGACCCTCGAGTCCCTAGAGCTAGAAGCCCTAGGTCCTAAATCCTCAACCCGAAAGACCCGGTCTGGCGGTCCCAACACCGAAGCGTTGCACTTTTTACTCTCTAGTTTCTGAACAGGGAGTACATGGTAGTAAGTAACCAAAGCCGGTGAAGACCATTGAAGACCCGAAAGCCATGCGGTGGGAAACCTGCGGCAAGTGCAGGTCATGCGCTTCGTAGAGCTCGGCAAGGCACCACACCCGCGTCAAGAGCGAAAAATCGACCTCTGGAGGATTGGGGTTTAGGGTTTAGGGTTTAGGGTCGCGAGGGCTCAGGGTATAGGGCTTTTGGGCTCTGAGGCTTCGGGCTTCGGAGGTTTGAGGCCCCGGAACCCTGACCCCTAGACTCAGCACGGGAAGTGACGTCTGCCTCCAAGGCGACCACTTGCTCCAACCGAGCCTGGCTGGACAAGAAACGGCTCACAAAGGACAAGAAGCAAAGAAGATTCTGTACAACCCTGGTTTAGGGGGGGTTTCGGGAACAGGGTCCAGAATCTAGTAGACTTTGTTACGGTATCCTTTACTCGTCCATGAATGTTGGCTCTGTGAGAAACCTTCATAGGCTCAAGCCTCGGGGGATGTAAGAAGGGTTGGATGCTTACAATGATGAGCTGAGGAATTGGTTCGCGCGTAAGTTGCAGGGCTGTCGACTCAGCGCCCACATAACAGTGTGGCAGCATCACACAAAACCCTCCCGGTCGAACACTACAACGTCACAAGCTACGCTACCTGGCCCAGCTGGCGCAAGGACTTCTTGAGGTAGGCCATCATGTCGTCAAACTTGTTCATTTCCTCATGGTGTTCCCCGTTTCGTTGCAGCTTCGAGCTCGGTAGGACTGCGGGGCTTTGAGACTCCAAGCTGCAGAAGTCATGGAATTGGCACACAGATCACAACCTACAATCCCTCACATCCCTACAAGCCCGAAGCCTCTTTATACATATACATTCTTGCCTCATGTTTTTTCTCTGTCTTTTCATTCATTCATTTGTTCCTCTGCATGTTTAATTGCGAATATCACCTCTCCCCCCCCCCCCCCCCCCCGCCCCCCCAGCGCGGTGACCACGGTAGTGGTCCAGAGGGGCAGAGGGAGCCCTTTTCATTTAAGCACTTTTGCCCGGAGCGTCATTCTACACGGAGAGCCTTTGTATGTAGCTCCTTGATCAATTTACATTTCATCAGCAAAAAATGTTTGGAGCAGCCCCTTTCATGCAAATTCCCTACTACGATTCATTGGCAAAGAGGATAGGAAACATTCCACACCAGGAGCCCTTTTTCATTGCTTGTGCTTACTAAACTTCAGTAGAAATAACGGACACCGAGCAGCCAGACAACAGTGTGGAGAGTTTTTGATTTTACGATGTAAATTTGTTGTTTTGGGAATTTAAAGAAAAACCTCTCGTTGTTTCGAGAATCAGAATTGATTGGACATCCCCCTATAACAGTTGGGTCTACGGATTGCCCCTACCCTGCAAAAACACGCGTTTGTAGTAACTAAATCTCGTTTTTTGTACCGTTCGGTTTTAAGCACTCAGTTGTATATTTGCTCTTGTCCCTACTACCTATTGACTTCCTGGGATTCTCGAAGCGCCCTCCGAATCGTGCATTTTTTCTATTGGATCCAAGAGAACATAATTGACTCGGACAGGCACATCTCGTGGCATTGGGAAGAGTGGGCACCAGGCACGAGGCAGAAAAAAACTTCAAGGGAATGGAGGCAAGCCGTTTTGGATGCAGGTTGTGTGGAAGCACGTAACGTGTGAAGCGCACGGAGGAGATGGACAGAACAACACACACCATTGGGAAGAGTAGGGACAAAGCACAAACGGCAAAACCTCAACCAAGGGAATGGAAGCAACCCTTTTGGATAGAAGCCATGTGCCGCGTGAAACGCAAGAGGTCCGAAGAAGGGCCAGACTGTACGTGTCGGGGAAAGTGTGCCACAAACACAGGTAGGCTTACTTCAGTGTGAGCGGGGCGAAGGGGCCATCTTCGTCCCCCCACCACCACGCAACACGCTCACCTCGGCCCCTGGCTGTGTGCGTGGGTCTTGGCGGAAGCACAGCATGCACAGGTGCTTGCCCCACACACAAACACGACCTGAACCCCCAAAAAGTAAAACCTCAACAAAAAGGGATGCTGGGTGGCAGAGCTTGTGGCACAGCCTGGTGCCAAACATCCTACAACTGCAGTACATCGTATGCTGAAGACTATGTTGCATGACAGTATACTATGAAGTATACCGGAACGTCGAACACAATAGTGAACGATTGTATCCCGAGTACATGCAAGAAAGTATGGTACACAATAACAAAACAAGCAGCAGCGTGACACCAAAGCACAAAACGTTCTAGTAGTCTCGTGGTTTTGCAGGATAAGATAGTGACAACCTGCAAGCGTTGCTGAGCAAGCTTCCAGTTTAGGCGACCTATCGTACAGTAGGGCACTTCTGCGAGGGAGACTTCTCACGGCCGCGCGCCGCCTACACCTACCAGGCGCTTGGCAGCGACTTCGGCAGAAAGTTGCAGGCGAGCCTCGCTGAGGTCTCCATCAAAGTGCTTTATGGTCGTGCAGCTGCATGGGGTTATGGCATGCCCGGTTGAATCGGTCGGCGGAGGGGTTGCGCAAATCCCGGCATGCTGGTTCACCGAGAAGGCACAGATCCAGTACCGCACGTCGAGCTTCCCCTTCCTTGCGGATCAGATGAGCCCTGAACTGGCAAGGCGTGTGACGGGGAAGGGCTATAGCGCTAGCCTTACACCCTAAACGCCGCAGGGGCCCCTTGCCTTCCAAGGCTCTTCTGCAAGGCCTTTGTCAGTTTGTCAAAGTCTCGCTCCTTGAGGCTTTCTGCAAACACGTCGTACTTCTCCGCGTCGAGAGCATCGGCAAGAACGCTCGCCAAGAGATAGGTGAACTTAGAAATCAGGGGGGGGAGGGGTTGGGGTTTAGTGCTAGTGGTTATAGGGTGCGATGCACAAAGCCCTGAAGGCTACAATGGCTAAAGGCGACCATTCTGAACTCAAACACGATACAGAGGCAGCAAGAGTGCAAAGCTGTGACAGAGCAAAGGGACAGGCATGGAGAAGACCAAGTGCAATTAAGAAGTCGCCAAGTTGAAATACAAACGGCTCTCAACTTCCTTCAAGCTGCTTTGTTGCGCCAGCTGTGAGTCACCATCTTGACGGCGAGATGCGAACGACCGCCATTCAACACGGTGGCATAAGCATAGCCCGGACCCATGTCTCCCGATAGCAATCCACGCGAGACGCTCCGGCCCATCTTGTAGATACCGCCGCGGACCACCACTTCCTCGTCGATGTCAGCTGTCTCCTTTGAGGGCTTAGGATGTCGGGTTTAGGGGCCGGAAGAAGCCAGACAGAATGCAGCACAGCATGCAAGAGAACCAAGAAGTCAGTCTAGAAGTCGCACTGCAGAACCATCCAAAGAGATAAATCCGATCAGGCTGCCCGCAACTCATATGGACTGATCTGTCTCGCAAACTGTGACGTCAGAGCGGCCACTGTGGAGATCGTGGTATGCGTGGCCTGTCTGTCTGGGAGAAGGAGGCAGACTTTAGGGTCTACAAAGGGGCCTGGGTTTGGCGCGCTTCGCACTGCCGGCATACCCTCGAATCAAAGCAAGCGCTGCGCGGTGCGATCGCGACCCCAGCAGCAGCTGCGAAATCAAGTTCCTGTTGCTTGCGACCTCTGTGTTCGGTCTAGGCTTGACCCCAGAAACCCTAAAACCCGAGAGAGGGTTTCATTACAGGGCTTGGGGGAATGCACACACACACACACAGAGCGCCAGAGTGCGCTGAATCTGAGACCACTCGAGCGAGGACCCGCGCCCCACACAACCCCCAAACCCGTCCGCCCTAACAGCCCCCCTAAATAGCCCCCCAAAGCCCCGAGTGAACGCCCAAACACGCCATCAGATAACATCACTCTACACGCCCCTATAACGCATCCTGAAACAACAAGGTGGCGCTGGTCCGGCCTCCTGGGCCCTCTGGGCTTGCTGGGCTTTCTCCAGGGTCAGGTGGGCCGTGATGGAAACCTGAATGGATTTCTCGGGGATTTTCCGGGGTCTTGAGCTTAATCCCTCCCCAAACCCCATAAACCCTAAAATAAACCTGAAGCCCGAAACCCCGACAGAGGAGCCTCGAGGAAGCCCCCGCCGTCTTTGGTGTCCTCGAGCTGCTGTATCCCGCTCACGCCTTGCCAGAAGCTTTCTGCCTGAGCCGACAGGTTTTTCGGGTTTATAGCGCAGGGTTTTGGGGGATTGGGGTTTGCTGGTGGTTGCATGTTTTTTTCTGTAGCTGCACAAGAGATTCCCCCCAACAAGGGCTGAGCTTGGCGCCGCCATCGAGACGCTGCCGAGAGGGTCGTCGCTGGAAAGGAAGTCCCTGTCCCAGAGTTCAAAGCGGAGGCTCTCCTCGTCGAAGACATCCTCCACACGGGCTGCGAGCTGAGGAAGCTGAGGTGTGAAGGGTATATTTAGGGTTTATAGGCTTATAGGGCCCGAGTTTGGGGGCCCTAGGCTTTTGGCGATGCCATGGATTCGATGCTCCTGCACCAGGAAGGTCTCATCCCACACTGGATTTTGGCCACTCGCCACAGCCGTGCGGCCCCCACCTTTCCATGGCTTCTTCAAGCCTTTGGCCCCCTGTACCGAGATCACGCAGTAGGGATCCGAGCCGCTGAAGAGATCCGCGGCATCCAGGCCGGTGGCACGATGGACCACCACGAGGAAGTAGCGCGCCTCCTTCAACTTCAGAGATCGCGGGATGATGGCCTGCCGCACCACCTGACCGTCAGGTGTCTGCTTCTTCCTGCTTCTTTTCTTTCAGGGCACGAACGACCGGCTTTCTTCATGCGGTTTGCGGGTTGTTTGGGGTTTATAGGGCGTATAGGGCGTTGTAGGGTTTAGGGCCCAAGCCACATCGTGCGTGGTCGACTCGATTGGGTCGAAATGCGGCATGTTGCCTTTCCCCAGATCCGCGTAGAAGTCGAGGAGCTGCCTGATGGTCAGGCCCCTGCCTCAGAAGATGCAGGGTGTAGGGTTGGAGGGCCGAGAGAGTCGAGTTGAGGGCGAACACACAGCCTTTCACACAGCTCGCATCATAGCAGTGCAGACACAAGGTTCACATTGCAACTCCCGCGCCTGCGAGCTCTTGCACCTTCTCGAACCAGACCCGTCGATCGTTTCCGGCTCCGGATCCCTCGCCTCCCTGGCCCCCCTGGCCCTCCTCGTGCCATTCCTGGATTTCGTCGCCCTCCTCGCACTCCTCGCCCTTCTTGCCATCTGCAGGCTCCTCATTCTGCTCATTCTGCTCGTTCTGCTCATGACCCTCATCTGACAGCTGCAGATCCAGTCCCAGCTTCTTCGGTGGCCGGATCTCACCTGTGTGCAGGGAGAGCTCGGTGCCAAGGCCTGAGAAGAGGCATGCGAGAAGCGGAACGATCAGGAGCTTCCGCACAAGCACGATCCCGAAGGTGAACAGCCACTTGGCCTCGTCCGCCTGGGACAGGTTTGCCAGGAATGCAGTGATGATAAGGAGATGGATGCAAGAGAGGCCACTGCTGATGATCCAGAAGGCTACGTCCCGGAAGCGCTGCCTCCACAGCTGCCTCTCCCGCTGCCCAGACTCCTCTTGTATGAAGGTGCGCCTGGCCAAGCGGCATTCCAGGCTTCGTGGCGCGAAGTTCAGGAGGACGGAGAACATGGCAACGAAGGTGAACCACAAGAAGGTGCCCTGCTCGATCGGACACTCCTCTGGGCTCCTGGCTGCGACGGCCGATCCATCCACAGAGAAGAAGAGGGCGACGAAGGAGAGGCTGCCCAGGAGACAGTCCGCGATTAGGATCTTGGCCCGCTTTGCCGAGGTCATGTGGATGTCACAGAGGAAGAGCTCGTAAACAGGGTGGGTGGCCAGCAGAGGCACCCAGAGTCGACGAGCTCGCGAGCTGTGCATCCTGTGGCTTCGATGGCTGTTTGGAAGGGGGTCAGAGCTCTGTTAGAGGGCTTTGGAGGGTTTCGGGGTTGACAGGGGCGTATGGAGGCCCAAACCTTAAACGTCCGAGGCACTTGACGAAGGCCTTGGGCAAGCTCTCCTCCATCTTCAGAGCCAGCTCCTTTTCGGGTTTCGTGGTCTATAGAGTCTATAGGGCCTACTGTAGGGTTTCAGGCTTTGAGTTTTGGGTTGAGGCTCCTTCATCACCGGAGAGTGATGGAGGGCCAAACTGCCTTGGACCCAGCCGCGGCGACCCCAGATGTGAATCTCGATGGAGCTGGTGTGCAGGCGGTGTCGTAAAGCCGCCTCCCACCTGAGTTATTGGGCCAACTGCCGCGACAACGCAAAATACCCAGATGCCCCCACAGCTGCTTCAATGAATTCTGATTGCAAGTCATGCGCTCGCGCAGTGACACCAACCCCACACTGATGGCTTTGAGGGACGAGGAAACTGCGATTTGCTCAAACTCTGCAGGCTCTCTAGTTTAGGATGAGTTCGGGAGGCTGAGGGTTGAGGAAGCTGCGAAGAGCGTCTATAGCTGTTGCTACGCTTCGGGCCCTTCTGAGATATGCCGAGGTGATGGCCGGCTTGCAACCCACAATCCCTCTAAACCCCGAACCTCTCCGCTGCCAAGCTGCAGGGTGCTGCGGCAAATCGTGCGCTCGCGCATGGCCGAGCCCATGGAAGGCTTGGCCCTGCGGAGCATCTGCTGCCGCGCCAGCGCCATCGGGGACTCAGAGACCCGAGAGAATCCTCGTGAGAGGCCTCGAATGCGACTCAGACCGGTCCCGGCCCTCCAGGATTTGGACTTCTGAGGAGGAGCCGCCGGAGCCGTCGGAGTCGAAGGCTCCTTTGGCTCCGGTGCCGGAGGTGCCGGCGGTGCCGGCGTGCAGCTGAGGCAGCTGAGGCAGGGGTGCTTTGCCAGCTGGGCGGGAGGGAGGTCTGTGAGGAAGTACTCCTCCCGCCAGAGCCCCGAGCGACGCATGCGGGCATCCTTGAAGAAGCTGAAGCCGATAAGCAGCAAGGAAGCCACGAGCAACACCCACAGCAACAGGGCCGGCGGCCGTGTCCACCAGTCCGGTCGCTCGAAGATCTCCTTCAACCCTTCCGGTGTCAGCATGTTCGCATTCCTCGGGAAAGCAAATAAAGAAGCATGGGTGAGCAAGCGAACAATCAAAGGCAGAACAACGCGAGACAAGTGAGACAGAGCGTAAGAGAAAGAGTGAGCCATAGCGATGGTTGAGTGAGCTGTCGAGCGAGCACACGCGAGCCTCCAATGAGGGCTTGTGCGAAAGTATATTGACTTCGCGGGGGTCTTGCCGAGCTGCGTGCAGTCCAGGAGTATGTCGACGAAGGCACCGAAGATGGAAAGGTGGATCGTGGCACACCTTGCGATGCTCACGCATGCAAAAGATCTCCCACCCCTCCATGCTGTTTGAAGTAATGTAGCATTGGTTGTTGGCTCGTCATGGTACGTTGGTTGCTCGCCATATGTCCTTCATCAAGGAATAGTCAGTTCATCACCAAGCATGCGACAGGTACAAATGATGACAAGCCATCGTCCCTAACAGTCTTGATAACAATATATGGAATTCGGAATAAGAAAAAGGAATAGGAATAGGAACAACAGCAAGAAAAAGGAACAATAACACAAATGAGTGTGAGAATGCGAATGAGAATGAGAATGAGAATGAGAATGAGAATGAAAATGAGAATGGGGCTGCGGTACTAAGCATAAGAAGATTCACCGGAATGAGGATAAACATAATATTCATAACACCATCCGCGGCCCATCTCGAACAAGCACACCAAGATCTGGTTGAAACGGTGTCCCTAGCCCTTCCCCGCAACCCTACCACCTGTACACACCATCCATCCTTGTTGAGTGATGTGTGAAAATTTGCGGAAACGCCGCGAAGGCCATAAAAATCCTTGTTTTGGCGTGAATGGTGGAAATCGTAACGGGTCCTTACTAATCCAAGCCCCCCTCCCCCTACCCGCCACCCAAATCACCTGAGGGCTTGGGCTTCGGGGCTGCAGGTTTGGGTTGCTTGTTGGACCGCTGGGGCCGCTTTGGATTGAAGCACTCCTGGAACATCTAGCCAATCGTACACAGTCTGGACCACTGGAAGATCTACATATAGTGGAGACAGAACCTGTGGAGGACCAGGATTTGGTCTTTGCCCTACTCTGGTCACGCCACAGAATCTCTCTGGCAGGGGAGGGCCGCTGGAGGCCTCAAGGCAGCGCCTTTTCTGGTACGCACTGAAAGGAACCTTTGAGGCTTGGCCACGAAGTTCGTAGAAGCTTCTCTTCCGTGTTCAAGTCCAAACCGCCTACCAACCTCAAGCCTAAAGCTTCTCCTTCTAAACTTGCTGCCCGACATTCCTGAGTGGAGTAAGTGTGTAGGTATCGAAATGTATCGAAAGCTTTTTGAGAAGGCACCAGGTTCCGGAGGTGTCCGCCATCGCCCCGAAGGCCTCCTTGAGCTCGGCCACAGTCGCGAGGCGCACCCCCTCGCTGGACCAGGCTTCCTCCCCTTCGTTCCAGTAGGCCTGAGCGACTCAGCTGCCCACAAGTAGCTCTCGCATCGAGAAGCTCCAACCCTAAACCCTGAACACATGGCATGCCATCCTATGCCATCCAGTCCGAGCAGCGCAGATCCAGTCTGGTTCTGGCTCGAGCGTAGCGATTCGCACGAAGATGGGCGAAGCCCAGGAGACTTCCACCCCCTGCGCCCTTTGCCTTCGGAGGTCGACCAGCGAGACGTCCACAAAGGGCGCAACGGCCTCGATGGGGCGGCCTGCCTCACTCTGTGGCTTGACTCCGCCGAAGACCTCCATGGCCTCCTCGTTGAACGTCGTGAGCACCAGCGCGGAGTCATTCCAGGAAGCCTCGCGGGGCACGGTGGACAAAAGTAAACATGCAAGTCCACATCACCCGCATGTGCCAGAGAGTTGCGGAGCGTGAGTGCTGTTGAAGGACGCTTGATCTCCTACAGCACACAGGTAACCTCAAGTCATACTGCACCCTCCCTGCCTCCAGTGGCAGCACAGCGGCCGCCGGGCTTGTTTCCACGACGACGGAGAGGTAATCAGAGTCGACCAACTCTGGCAACCTCGCGACGGGCGACCGTATTTAGCCGTGGGAAACGCCTGCTTTAAGCCCCAGACTGCCCCAAGCCTGAAAGCGGGGCATGGGCTGAGGGAGTGAATGCTTACAACGGCTTATGATGCTTTAACCCTTTGCTCGAGCTGCGCGGTCGCACAGATAACAACGAAGACATGAACGACAACAAGGACAAGGACGACAACGACGATGACACAACGAAGAGGCACGACGGCGATGGCCACCACCACCACCACCACCACCACCCATAGCCACAAAGGAACACCCACACCTGCAACAACATTTTCTGTGACACCGAGCGAGCGGGCTCTGCGCGAGCCTGAGACCACAAGACGTGCCGTAGCCAGCGCCACCCTTACAGTACCCAAACCCGCCTCGCCGACAGCCTCAAGGGGAAATGAAACGCCTATGTTGGGAAAGAACGAAAAGACTAGGATAATTGGGCCTAGGTACGACAAACACCACAATGCTGCCGTGCTTCACACCAACACCAACACCGACGAACAAGGAGAACAAGAAACAAGAACAACAAGAGGTAATAATGTTGCACCTGGTTTAGTCTTGGCCCCTGCTTTAAAGACACTTTGGCTGTACACTAGCTCTCTCTCTAAGCTTTGGTGTGCGTGATGCTACTTCACCAGTTAGCACTCGGACGGACTTTTCTCTGGAGGTGGACTGATCCCACATCATAGCTCGGAGGCCGATCCACCTTCGGTAGATCGGGGTGGGCACTTTTAAATTGCCCCTCAATTCTTTGGGTCGTTTAGCCAAAATGGCCACATCTTTCCACAATGTTCCCATAGCCCCATTTGGATCTTTGATCCTCAATTTCAAAGTTAGCTCAGGTGGCACTCTGAGCCTTTATCTGTTGGTCTGTAGCAGATTCTCAGAACCCCTAGGAAGTTCTTAGCTCCAACAGGACTCCTAAAAACACCTTCGATGTTTTTAGCTGACATCTCGAGCTAGCACACACTGTCGTAAACCCCTACGTGGTTCACGAGTGCGTACAGCTTTGGTGTGCGTGATGCTACTTCACCAGTTAGCACTCGGACGGACTCTGTTCTCTGGAGGTGGACTGATCCCACATCATAGCTCGGAGGCCGATCCACCTTCGGTAGATCGGGCCCCCCTTGCGTAGCCCTTCGAGCTACCAGGGATCTAGCTTTCGGGTCTTCTTCACGAAGCGCCCCGGCTTCGACCCTTTCGCTCGCTTGCTTACTCCAAGCTCTTCGTAGTAGCTTTTAGCATGGGCGAGCAGCTTGTCCAAAATCCTCCACTCTAGCTTTCCCCCTGATAGCTCAACCCGGAACTGGGGGTCAAAGCTCTCAAAGTTCTCATTTGTCAAGTCGTCCGCTAGCTGGTTGAGATCCCTTCTGATCCATTGGAGCTGAAGCTCACAATTCTTGGCCGCTAGCTCCTCGGCTAGGATCAACATCGAGGTCATCGAGGGGAACTTCGTCGTCATCAGCTTTCGTAGCACGGCCTCATTCGACTTGTTATCGGCGTAGCCCCGAATCGCTACCCGCAAGGACTTCCTCGAGTCACTCACTATAGGGGACCCATAGCTTGACGCCCATTAGTGTAGCCAGGAGCTCCAAAGCAGCAATGACCTTGTTCGGGTCAAGGCCCAAGGGGCCCAAGTCCCAAGACTCCGTGACTTCAAGCGAGAAGCAGGGTCCTGTGCAACCGGGCACTAGGCTTTAGCGTCTGTGAAAAAGGAAAGAACGGTGGGGTCATAGCTCATGGATTCTGGAATTTGGAGCCTCTCCCCTTCTCCAAGCTCCATGAGGACACGTAGCATGGAAGGCAGTGTGAGGAGTCCTTGCTTCCCTTGGATAGCGGCCGACAAGGCGTGCAGGGGGCCTAAGAACGGCCTTTCCCAGTCTAGCGCAGTTGCTGCAAAGCCCAGCCTGCCTAGCCCCTGGGACATTTCTTTCGCGCTCACCTTTCCAGCAGCGACCTTGCCACGTAGCCACTCGACCAGCCAGGCTGCTCTCCTCTTGGATAGGCCCAGCTTGTAGCCCACGTAGTCGGTTTCCGAAAGCCACCACGCGTCTTAGCCCACTTGAAGGGAAAACCCATCGTTGCAAGCAAGAGGTAGCACATAGGGATGCCCTCCCTCCTTGGCGTCCAGGCCTAGCACCTCCAGATCATCCGCACACAACAGAAGCTCCAGCGGATAGCCCTTTCCCATGATGTGGCGCGCCAGACGGATCCCACACGCAGCGATCCTGGTCCACCAGTAGCTCGCAGGCGATAGACCAAAGGTCGCCACCTTGTTGATGTAGACCATCGACGGGCTTTCGCCGCGGTTTAGCTCCTTCTCTTCCTCCTGGCAGGCCATGAAACCATGCTCGGAGGCCTGGCGCTTGTAGCGCCGGTGGGCCTTCGAAATGTCGCCCACCACGGGCCGATTTTTGTCTTGACCCGTAGCTCACGGAGGATGATCTTCTTCTCCCTAGCCCCCGGGGCTCGGATCTTGTCGTTCACCCGGACCCCGTGGCTAGTGGATGATCCGTCGACGCACTCCACGGTTAGCTCGATGTGGTGTAGCCCTGCCAGCACTCGGAGACAGTGTGGCAAATCCCATGGCCGTTTGGTCCCGGAAAACAGATATAGCACACGTAGCCCTCTAGCTGTGTCACCCTCCAGCGGTAGCGGTCAGTGCGTGGTAGCCTCCCCGGCGGTGTCCTTAGCCGGCGCCTTGCGCTGCATCGCGGGGTGCTTAGCAAAGCAGAGCACGCAAACGTACGCAACGTGGCACTTAGCCCCCTTCTTGCAGCCCGTCTGGAGTTGCAGCAGAAGCAGATGGGCTTGAATTCGGGGGTATTGCTAGCGCCCTTCTTCTTAGCCTTTTTCTTGTCGCCTTTGCCATCCCCTTTGTTCCGCCTGTCGCTTCCAGGGCTTTTCTGGCGGGGCGGGCCTCTTAGCATGTAGCGCCAGGGGGGTCGTGAAGTGCTCTCCTTCACCGCCGTGTCCTTGTAGCTCCTGACCAGCGCATCGCCGAAGGAGTAGCCCCACGTTGCCATGAGCTTGTACGCGTGTTTGCGGATGGCATGCTCATAGCTCAGGACCACTGTCCAAGGGGGATTAGCCCGCCGGACTCCTCGCTGGACCGCAGCCCGTAGCAGTAGCTGCCCAGGAGGTAGTTCTTGTACTTCTCGAACGTTGCCATGGTGACGTCCTGTAGCTCCGACCGCGCGGGGTGCCTTAGCTTGATCATCAATAGCGCGTTTTGCAGGACGGTCAGTCGCGAGCGCAGCTGCTCCGGGCCGGAGGGCATAGCTGTCTTGGACCCCCCCTTCTTGATGGAGAGGGTCCCTTTAGCATCCCAGGTGGGCAGTAGCACTTCGGGATCGATCTCGTCGCGGCTTAGCACTTCCGTGAGCGGCTCCGCGCGGAACTCCCCAGTCTCTAGCTCATGGAGCTTCTTCTCGATGAACTCCTTGGCGGGGATCTGGTCCTCCTCGAGCTCCCCGAAGGTCGTAGCACAGGAAGCCCGCATAGCAAGGTAGTCCGTCTGGGGGATGGGTTTAGCCCACTCGCGGATCTCACTCGTAGCTTCGGCTTCAGCCTGTGTTCGTGCCCTTGTCTTAGCTGTCTGCCAAGCCACGACAAATTTTAGCAGCCAGCGCCCGGTCGGCCAGCGAAGTAGCCGGGTTGATGCCGAAATCCAACAAAGCCGAAACCAAGAATTGCTTTTTTTAAACCGTATAAAAATTGTCTTGCTCAATCCGGCAAAGGGATGGTCCAGGAGCCAGCCCAACCTCGAATAAGAGGCACTGTTTCGGGACCCGCTTTCATGTCCTGGCCGCAGGCCTGGGAGCCTGGGGCTTTCTGGATTTCGATGCCCTGGTCTCTTGGCTTAACGGCAGGGCTTCTGAATCTTAAAGCGGGCCTCTTTTCCACGGCCCCGAAAACCCGGAATCCCAACAAAGCCGAAACCAAGAACTCCCTTTTTAAAACCAAACAAGAAATTGTCTTGATCAGTCCGGCAAAGGGGTGGTCCAGGAGCCAGCCCAAAATAAGAGGCACTGTTTCGGGACCCGCTTTCATGTCCTGGCCGCGGGCCATGGATTTAAAAAAATCATATGGATCCCTTTTAAAGTTCTCATCCCTTTGAAATTCAGATGGACCCCTTTTAAATTCAGATAAGCTCATCCCTTTTAAAATCATATGGATCCCTTTGTAAATGTATATAAACTCCTGCCTATTAAAATCATATGGGCCGTCTAAACAGGGCGGGGGGGGGCGGGGGGAGGGCTAAAGCAGGTGCAACATTCCAAACAATAACAAGAACAAGCACAGCATGTCGGACGCGTAGTATAGGAAGCACCTGCAATCGGAAGAAGCCCCAAGCCCTACAACTTCAACCCTAAAAGAGATGCGGAAGCTAAACCCCAGGACTGCTTTGCCTTCTAAGAAGCACTAGGCAGTCGCTTGCATCCCCGTAGCCCCAACGTAATTCCAAAGCAAAACTCCCTCAACACTTTTTGCTCTCGCGGACCTCGGCCTCCAAACCGAAACCTGTAAGCCAACCCCTACCGGCATGAAGATACCGAATATATACGAGCTTGGAGTTTGAACCTACCCTGCTTCGGTCTTCCCTATGCCACCCAGAGCAACGCCAAAATAGCTTCATGCACCAACAGTGCCCGGGCATACGTGACAGGACCTTCAATACTTGGACCCTGGGTCCCTGGCTTGACGGCGGTGATCGTACCAACGTCTGTTGCATTCGCTGTTGCATTAGCCTGGCCAAGGGATGTCAGCTCACCTCAGCAATCAGTCACCAGTCGTACGCCACGGCTGCGATGTCAAAAAGCATTTCCAGACGATTGCATGTTTGTGCATCCGCTGCTTGATGAAACAAGAACTGACAATGCGCGTGCGTATGCGCGTGTGGTGTCTGTGTGCCTGTGCGCGCGTGGGAAGCACAGGGACAACCTGAGCAACATGTAATGACTCAGTTGTGGCCCTAACTCCCTTCCACCCCCATCCCAGAAGGTCGCTTTAGGAGTGGTGCCGAAACTCGCCTGCAGTAATGATGGCGACACCACATTCTCCATCGTGGTCACCCCACAAGAACGACATCACTGACTGTGTTCAACAAAGCCTTGTTTTCTTGGATCACGTTCCCGTGCATTGGTCAGTGCTCTGCGGTGTTTGCTGCATCTACTACTTGAGTCCCTAAACCCTGAACCACAAACCCGATACTCTCTCCCGTTTTGCTGTACGATTGCTACCTCTAAAGAGACGATGACGAAGAAAACCCACGACGTCGTTCAAGAAAGGCCCATTAACTTCATGAGCCTAGAGCTGACAGCTGCATGAGATGTTCGCATGAAACACACCCGCCACATCACGATCATTTTCGAGCACAGCGGCCCAGCAGGTAGTTGGTCGTGCGCTCCAGCTCAATAGCAATGGCGCCGGTCTCGCTGGTTGCGGTTCTTGTCGTCATCGTTGTTGATGACGTTGACACCGTTGACGACGAGGTAGACGTCAACGACGTCGTTGATGTCGATGATGTGGACGATGACGACGTGGACGACGACGTCGATGATGTGGATGCCGACGACGTGGACGACGAGGTCGATGTCCCTGATGTCGTTGTCGATGATGTCGTTGTCGATGATGTCGACGTCGTGGAAGAAGACGTCTTTGATGTTGTTGACATCGATGACGTAGATGTCGACGACGTTGTTGACGTCGACCATGTGGATGACGATGACGTTGACGACGATGTAGATGTCGATGATGACGTGCTCGTTGAAGACGTCGATGACACCGTTGTGGTCGATGACGTCGATGTCGTTGACGATGTTAACGTCTGAGTCGACGACGTCGAAGATGTCAACGACTCTGTTGAGGTCGATGATGTTGTTGCCGTATGAGTCGACGATGTTGAAGATGTCAACGTCAGTGACGATGACGTCAGCGTCGATGATGTGGATGTCATTGACGTGGCAGTTGATGAGGTTGTTGTCACGAACTGTCAAAGCATTGCTAGCCGATTCCGGGATACTGGTAATTAGTATTCACTTCACTGCATGCCATGGGTCAAGCACAGCGTTTCGTACAAACCCTAAAAGCTGTACTCCAGACTTTGTTGTGAATCATGTATGGGGCTCACACAAGCACGTGTGAGAAATAGGTAATCCAGGAGGCAAGAAGAACATGCGCTCACAGCAGCGACAGCTGCATGCCAGCTTAGGGTAGACCGTTTCTCTTCTCGTAGCTTGCACACGTTACGCAGTGCCGCTCCAAGTTGTCGGGGTTAGGTTTAAGATTTAGGGTGTGTGTGTGTGTGTGTGTGTGTGTGTGTGTGTGTGTGTGTGTGTGTGTGTGTGTGTGTGTGTGTGTGTGTGTGTGTGTGTGTGTGTGTGTGAGGGTGTGTGTGTGTGTGTGTGTGTGTGTGTGTGTGTGTGTGTGTGTGTGTGTGTGTGTGTGTGTGTGTGTGTGTGTGTGTGTGTGTGTGTCTGTGTGTTTAGGGTTGTTTTGAGTTTTGGGTTGAGGTTTCAAGGGTTTCCCTCCCCACCCCAACCTTGGAGGGAGGAAGCAGCACGCACGGTGCACAACCTCATGTGTAGAGAAAGATCTGGAGAGGCTGTGAAGGTAATGATAGTAGATGCGGCCTGCAAACAAACCCTGCCAGCCCCCGTAACAGCAGATAGTAGACACTTGTCTTCATGTGCGTTTATAGAGAAAGCATGGGGAGGGGGCTGCGGGACGTGGGGAGCATTCTGCGCTGACGTTTAGGTACACATGACGTAGATGTTCCGGTTTCGGCGTACCTTACCTCAGGACATCTCAGTACTTCAGTGCATGAGTTAAACAATTGCGCCTCGAAGAGTGCAACCACGGCGTCTGTCTCCCCTGCATTCGCAGCGCCGTCCTCCATGCTGCCATATGTATATCCAGCGACCACGGTGCGCCCGTCGGGGTAAATCTGGGCTCAGGGGACTTGCCCGAAGACCCCTTGACCGGCCCTGAAAGAAAGCTACAAGTCTTGGGGGCGTCTCAAGGTTTGCTTCGAAAGTTTCTTCTGCTACCAGTATGTGTGTCCAGCTCCACTTTCCCCCAACTTCCGAGCACTGAGCTTCAAGAGCTGGGAACTCATGTAAGGACACGCTCCCACCCTTCAGCAGCCAAAGGGAGAAGAATTGCGGAGGGCGTTTCACTGTGGGAGGCCAGCGGATTGACATCAACTCAGAGCTTCGATTCTTAAGCCTCGAACCCTACACCAGGCTGGCAGGCGCCTCGAAAGCAGCTATTCAGAGCACTGGACGTTTAAAGTCATTTCTGAGTCCTTACTAATTACAGTAAGTGCGCACTTGTTGGTGCGACATTTTGCGACCATCTCTCTCTAAGCTGCGCCTGCAAGGCATTGGCATACTCCTGAGAGCCGACGCCGCCAAGGCCGGTCCAGCGGTGGGTGCCGTCGCTGGCGAAGCTCATGATCAACCAGTCCTCGCTGCCAGCGGATGTCAGCCCGTCGATGGAGGTTGCCGACGTGGTCCCTGCTACCACGATGTGGCCGTCGGGGTCCAGCTGCACGGGAAAGGCAAATTATGTGAGAAGTGAACAAATCCCCGACTGATCCCCCAAAAGAGTTTTGCCTTCCCACATCATCCCTTCGGGAAGTGCGTAGTTCCAGCGCGCGCCATCACGCGACTCTCCGTCCGCAAAGACCGCCTACAGCCTAAGCCCTACAGCAACCCATGTTTCCAGCCTGCATGGCTCTCGCCTCATCACTGCTAGTGCTGCCAGCAAGGCGCGTCCAACGACGAGTACCACTGCTGGTGAAGCTCACAAGCAACACGTCATAGCCGCCAATGTTCGTTTCCCCGTCGATATCTTCGTTCCCTTCCCCAGCAACAATGATATGGCCGTCGTTGTCCAGCTGAGGGGCCGGAGAGAAGGGATTGGGAGAAGCGTCTTCTACTTGTGTCCACATTATGCCGATCTTCAGAGTTGCGAGCTGTTTCAGGAGGCGGGGAGTCAACGCAGGTTTCAAGGCCTGTTATGTAGGCCTGCATGACCGAACAACTGGACTCAACCTAAACCCTTTTAGCAATCTATGGCGGCTTATAGAGACCAGCTGTTGCAATGAGGCTACAGCAACCCATCCCGCTCCCCTTGCCAGCATGGCGTACACCATCTCGTCTTGAGCGGTGCCATGCTGCACGGTCCAGATTAAACCGCCGTTGGCATTGAACTTCATGAGAAAGAGGTCCGAACGCCCAAAGGAGGTCTGACCTTCGACGGACCCACCATTTTGGACATACCCGGCGCAATAGACGTTGCCGCTGCCGTCCACCTCCAAGGCCAAAGAGCAGCGCAAGGAAAGGCAGAGCATCGACTGAGAACTACGACCTTCAACCCATGAGTCCCAAGACCGCTGATCTCATGCTCTCGATGCCGGGGCGACCCCAAGCTCCTTATAGTCCAAGGCCCCACTTCTAGTGGTATTTACGTACTTGTATGGGGTGTCTATAGGGCCTCCACCGCGTGAGCCCAGTCGTTTTCTGTGCTGCCACGCGATCGGACCCAGACCTCTCTAGCACCGTTGCTTTCGGGCGTGAGTTTTGCGACGAGGATGTCATTGTTGCCCACATTGGCTTGGTCGTATGCGTCCGATCTGGTCGCACCTGCGACGACAATGCTCCCGTCTGCAGCCACCTGACTGACCAAAGACAAGCGGGTGAGATCCCCCAAACAAATTGCGCTGTTGAGAATTGGGCTCGACCACGTTGAGACTAGCTGACTAGCTGTCCAAGACATTCAGTGGCAACGACGACTTCATGACTACTACAGTAGTGAGCAGGGCTTACCCTAGTTGCTAACCCAGGTTGGGGGATCTTTGGGGTGGAGGTGGGGCAGTGCTGCATTCTGACTTGTGGAGCCTGTGATGCAAGGATCGCGAATAGCTAGTCTCTGCCTACCGTTACTTGCGAGGGCGGCGCAAAAACCCACCTAGCCTCCACATGTGAGGGCGGGCAAGAACATACCTAATTACAAACAAAGAAACAATGCCGACACTAGAATCACTAGAACATAACGCGCACAGGCCCTCGGCCACGAGGGCGTAAGGGAGAGGCAGGCTGGAGGCTTGACTGACCCAAGCGGAGGCCGGCAGAGCGGGAGGCAGAGTGCACACAAGATCGACTCAAGCGGAGGCTGGTCTTAAGCGCAACTAGACGGCCACTCAAGGGTGGAAGAGAGAACAAATTGATGAAGGCCTCACCATGCCTCACGGCTCTGCCAACAGGTCCTCATCTGGCTCTGCCCCGAGGCAGCGGAGGATCGCTCGGACACTTTCGCGTTGATGATGGCCAAGGCTTGCATCAACTGCTCCGTCTCAACTGCCTCAGCCTGCCCCCCCGTTTTGGCTGCGAGCAGTGCCGAGAGCCTTCCAGGTCCGACTAGCCACCGCGGCGCAACATGGAGCATTATCACCGACGGGAGCCCCAAGATGCAACACCTCCAATCAGAGGTTGTTAGCCCAACCGCTATCCCTGCGGTTCACAACACAACCAACACACTCAAGCAGTTTGCCTCAGCTGCAGTTCACATGCCATCACAAACCCGAGTGCAACAAATGTTGAAGTTGCAAGCGCCCCCAGAAGCTTTGGCATTGATTGCTTCAGCCCGGACTCCTTGCAAGCTTTGCAGCAAGGTTCGGATCAAGTCGCTGATGAGCTGCACATTCGTACGCAGTGATTAGCTACATTGGACATGATGCTGATTGCGCGTGTTTCTGCACGAACTAGCGAGCTGGGGTGGGGCAAAGCAGCACGTTGAAGCGCTCGGACAAGTACTGCAAACCATGCGGAAACTTGAGGTCCAGAGGCACGTGACGAAGCGCAACTCAGGATAATGACGCAGAGGCTCATGGAGCTAAACAGTCACGAACCGACCCGAGGATTGGCAAGCTGGTGGTATCTTCAAAAGGGCTGGACGTACTCAACAGTGGAGAACAGCATGAGGAGGAGATCACGAGCGAGGTGGGAGAGTTTTTGGAGCAGTCAGCATCACCAGCTTTCAGCATCACCACCGACAGGAGCCCCAACATGCAACACCTCCAATCAGAGTTGAACTATGCTGAACTCATGACGTGTGTGTGTGTGGCGCTGCACCAAGTATGACTTTGGCTGCGATGCGCACGCAACGCCCCGCGTGGCCGACCCGGCTGCCGACCCGGCTGCCGAGGCGGCGCGCTAGCGTTTACACTGACAGTTACTTCCTGCGAAGCCCCGCGTTGCTGGAGAAACGCCCGCTTTTCGCGAGAATCGTTCGTGTGGCCTAAGGCCAAGAAACAGCACACAACATTGATCCGTCTGTTCCGCGAACATCGTTTTTCACAGAAGCCGCTTCGCGCACTAGTGAGCTGACTTTTTGCAAGAATGGCCAGAAAGGTCATCAATTGTCGCAAGAAGACGGCTTTTTAGACAAATCGCTGCTCCACCGTGAATCCTGAAGACACAACACACGCGAGCACTGATCACACTCTAGTCTCCCCGAAAAATTAACGACCAACGGCAACCCAGGCTCCCTGCCTTTACCGCTCGGAGAGTCCCCTGAGAAAATGTCGCCTTCCACTGAAAACCACCACTGCTCGAGAAGCGCATGAGTTCGGGATGGCCATCAAGCGCCCCTGCGCAGTAGATGTTGTCGCTGTTGTCCACCTCTTGGAACCATTTATGCTCAAGGAAAGGTATCAAACGTCAATTGAAAACTAGAGCCCGACTCAGCCAGAATTAGGACTTTGCAGATTTGCAGAGACAGCCCCACGATATCCCATGATGCCCTGTGCCTCCAAGGCGAGGCACTCGTCCAGCTGCGAAGATGAAGGGGTGCCATACTGGATGATCCACTGCTGCACCCCGGTGCTTGAGTATTTTGCGATGAGAGCGTCCCATGAGTTGGGGTTGCCGGTGTTCGTTGCGCCGTCAACAGAGTCGCTTAATGAGGCTCCTCCTGCAATAATGTTGCCACTGCCATCCACCTGAGGTAATACCAGGCTGCAAAAACTCTTTCGCCCAGTTCTAGGAACCCAGGCCCTAAACCCTAAACGCCTAAAGCACCTGATGAAGGCCCTGACCGCTCCTTGAGAGCTCTCCAGTTTTCTCCTCCCGTGCCGCCGTTCTGCTTCGTCCAGGCCCAGGTAACCGCGCTGCTGGCCAGAAGAGGCCACAAAGCGCAGAGCACCGCTTGCAACATGGGGCCTTAAACCTCTAGCTCAGCTCTAAGCCCTAAAACCCTAGCCCCAGTTCTTATTGGGCCCAGGACAATCGGAGATGCAAAGCCTGCCGACTATTGCTACTGCTGGCATATATAGGCCACTGTTTGTCGAACCTGCCGAAACCTTGAGCACCACCCGACGCCGCTGGTCATCACAAAAGCAATTCCCCGAAAGCACCCAACGCTTTGATTCCTCACACGTGAGATAAAAATACTAACTGCCACTCCGCTTCGGCTTCTGGGATGTACAAGAAGCTATTCAAGTGACCCCTGTATACATCCAAGCTTGCCCAACCGATATTGACAGAGCTTGCTTTTCCCCATCGCAGCCCCCTAGCAGCCTATGTCGCAGCCTATGTACAGAACGCGGTGTTCACGTTCGAGCTGGCTGCATTACTGGGTGCTGCCCGCACCACCCTTACCATGGAACCTGTTTCGGACTGCTGCAGGCTTCTGATCACAGTCATGTCATGCTTAAGGGTTCGGGGCAGCTTGAAGCGCTCACTCAGATCCCCCCATCGAGAACCTGCCCACGGACTTGATCTGGCAAACCATTTGCAAACCTCTGTAGCACTTCACTGCACTTGGAGCTACGGCCTTGCTTCGGACAAACCGAGGATGTGCTTCGGCGATGGCGCACGAGACGAATCAAAAGCAACCGTAAGCCCATCAAAAGCCTCGAAGCTCGAAGGCCCTCAGGAGCCAGCCCCGAAATGGGGGTTTCCGACTTAGGGGTACCTTATTGCTTATTGGGGCCCTTATTGTAAGGGAATCCAACTATTTGGGGGGTCAATTGTCGCTGATTTTCGTAAACCCCCCAATCAAAACTCACCCCATGGATGCTGGGACTCGGCCTGCGAGAGTTCGGACGCTTCTCCGTGGACCAAGCCAGGAGACCTTTCCCCCCCCACTTCTCCCAGGAGTACCCCCCCAAAAGAATCCCTCTGTTTACAAGCCCAATATTTCCTAGTTCCGGCGCCAAGGTCTATCGAGGACAAACCTGATCAAGAGATTACGCTCCGATTATACTATTTATAATCCTGTCGGCCATTGTCGGCCTATATGGCTATCAAGTCCTTAGAATCATTCAATCGAGTCTGCTGCCGTTGCCTCCATGACGCTCGGCTTACTGATGCAGGATATTCTATGTTCTATCAACCCTTTCGCATAGCATCTATGTGCTTGTGATGTTGGGCCCGCGTCTAAGCAGACAGTTTCAAGTGCTCGTTTAGCACCGGTGTGGTGCCTCTTACCTCGTGAGCTGTTTCCCGGGGCCCGTGCTGGACACGGAACCAGTGGAAAGCTGGCGCTCCAGGGCCATACCCCTGATGCGACACAGCATGTAACTTAGGACCAAGCGCAGTCACGATCCAGCGGCTGGCTCAGCAACTCCAACTGGGACTTTTGCAAAGCATCCCTACCGAACCGGTATGCGGATGCTGCCGGCACGTGCTGCCGGGGCACTTGTTGCGGACTTCCTGGAGCGGCAGCAACCTGACTCTGAAGCTTGCAAGCTCTCCGGGCTTTGGATGGCTTTGGGCCAGTACAGTCGCTGCTTCAAGGCCGCAGTTGTGGTGTTCATGGGAGTACATTTTGGCTTCGTGAAACTTGATTGGAAATCAAAATGTTTAGGAATGGTTCTGAATTTTGCCGATTTTGAATTTCATGTTGGTATATTCTGTATTATTTCGCCTCGGCTTCCTGCCGAGAAGCGTTTGGAACAAGCAAACACTCATCCGGTCTATTTCCCCCCTACCCAACCCCCTCACGCCAAATTTTGTGACGCACCCCCCCCCCCCCCCCCCCCCCCCCCGCCCTGTGGGGCCCGCCTGTCGGCGGCTCCTATAGAGGCGCTCCAAATGGGACCCTACCCTTTCTTGACCCCCCCTCCCCTTTTTTTGAGCCGCTCTTTCCTCCTTTCCTGTGGGCCGGCTGCCGAGGCGGCGCACGCAAGCGTTTACAATTATGTCACACACTGTATCATTGAAGAAATGACCTGTAATTAGTGGCCAAAGTAGAGTACCGTAACAGCACAGCATCGGCTCACTATGAGCGATTGGCAGCAAGCGAGACACCTCAACATCTACTCGAGCTTTCGGGAGCGTTTGCTTCCTCGAACCATTTACGTGAACACCCCCCTGCCCCCCAACACCCCCGACAACCCTATATCAAAAAGTCATATAAACCCGAAAGCAATTTTAAAAACCCCTTGACCCTTCGCGCCGGGAACCGGGCTTCCTCTGCAATCGCCCAGACTGACATCCCAAGGAGATCTGGCAAGACTCGGCTCAAGCACAGGGTTTCGGGTACCCCAAGCCGGAAGCCCCCTTTGCTCTGCAATCTCCAGAGCCCCTTCCGAGGGTCTCTCCAACCAAGTCCCACAAGAGCCGCTGAACCTAGGCCCCGCCCCAAATCCAAAAGCCACGTCTGCGCCTGATCTGCATTTGGGTGGGTCTGCGCTTGGATTGCACGAAGGCCTCAGGAAGTCTGTGGAGCTGCATTGGGCTTCCACAGAAGGGTCTAATCACTCGTTGCTGTACTGTAGTCAAAACCCATCCAAGACGAAGTTGAGATTTAGGTTGACAAAGCCCCCTGCTGTCGATCACGGGGCGGAAGTCGTGACAGCCACCATTGGTCGGACTCCTCTAACAGGGCTCTGGCCATACACTCTTGGCAAGTCACACTTCTGTAACTTCTGCACTTCAGAATGGGAATCCCTCGAAACACGCCCTTTCCTCCAAGAGCATCCCAGGGGCTGTCCGTTGCTTTCCCAAGCCCCAAAGACCTCATCCATTAAGACCTTACGAGCCCTTAGAAGTGCCTGCAGGCCCCCAACTTCCACATCGTACCTGGCTCGCGTCCCAAGAATGATCGAAGATCACAGAAACTTGGCATGTGTGTAGCGCTCTGAGGATCCTGGAAATGTAACCCATGGCTCGTGGGTTCTGGGCGAATTGCGATTTTTTGTTTCCAGAGCCAAAGGACTTGACAAAGTCTAAACCTAGCATCCAGGTCCAGGCCCAGCGCACGCGCGCGGAGGAGCGCCTTGTCAAACTCCCTGGCCCATCGGGAGGCGAGCATCATGAGCATCAGCTGGCCTGCTTTGGCTCCACATGGCCTGCCTTTGGGCTCCACAGGCTAGCTGCTAGCTCTTTCTTCGTTCACCGCGGCGCCCGGTGCCCCAGTGATGGACAAAATCAGCGCACTGGGAAGCGAGCATCATGAGCATCAGCTGGCCTGCTTTGGCTCCACATGGCCTGCCTTTGGGCTCCACAGGCTAGCTGCCAGCTTTCGTCGTTCACCGCGGCGAGCGGTGCCCCAGTGATGGACAAAATCAGCCCGCCGGGAGGCGAGCATCATCAGCATCAGCTGGCCTGCTTTTGGGCTCCGCAGGCTAGCTGCTAGCTCTTTCGTCCTCTTTCTTCGTTCACCGCGGCGCCCGGTGCCCCAGTGATGGACAAAATCAGCGCGCCGGGAGGCGAGCATCATGAGCATCAGCTGGCCTGCTTTTGGGCTCCACAGGCTAGCTGCTAGCTCTTTCTGAATTCTTCGTTCACCGCGGCGCCCGGTGCCCCAGTGATGGACAAAATCAGCGCACCGGGAGGCGAGCATCATGAGCATCAGTTGGCCTGCTTTTGGGCTCCACAGGCTAGCTGCTAGCTCTTTCTTCGTTCACAGCGGCGCCCGGTGCCCCCAGTGATGGACAAAATCAGCGCACCGGGTGGCGAGCATCATGAGCATCAGCTGGCCTGCTTTTGGGCTCCACAGGCTTAGCTGCTAGCTCTTTCCTCGTTCACCGCGGCGCCCGGTGCCCCAGTGATGGACAAAATCAGCGCACCGCGAAGCGAGCATCATGAGCATCAGCTGGCCTGCTTTTGGGCTTTCTTGGTTCAGCGCAGCGCGCAGTGCCCCGGATTGGACACTACCTATCAGTCCTTGACAAAATGGACACACACACACACACACACACACACCCACACACCACTTTTCAGAGGTAGGAAACAAGCCAAGAGTATGGTGCGACGCCAAATGCTCCATGCTCCATGCATCTTGAACGCGCACACAAGGCTTCGATATGATTCCTATGAACAACAACAGCCACGAAGCGAGGTGAAGTACTCTCTTGAGTCGTCAGCATGCCCAGACTCCCTTCCCTTTCTGCAGCCGGGGAGACCTTGCTTGAAGAGTCGGCAGAACACGACGCCGGGAGACCTGAAAGTCGAGCTGTGCCCCGTAACACTAGACTCTACACCCTAAACCCTAAACTCGATTACCCTAAACTCGATTACCCTAAACTCGATTACCCTAAACCCTAAACCCTAAAACCCTAAAAGCCCTAAAAACCCTAAAACCCCTACTGTACAACCCTAAACCCTGAACCCCAGTTATCCCCGGCACACGGGAACCCCAACACCCTAGACAGATGGAGGACTTGGCGCTTGGGGTGCCGGCGATGGCTTTGACTTCAAGAGGCAAGGAGTCGACACCTGCGATCTTCCGTAGGTTTACGGCTTCGGGTCTTGGCGTGCAGGCATGTTGGATCGACGACATCATGGCCGGGGATCCTGATGTCCCGAGCTGAGGGATACGGTGATGTTGTTGTACCTGCCATTCGGGAGGGCCCCCCGGTGGGCACATCCCTCGGGGCAAAGATAGCAGCCACCATCATCCCACGAGCATGAGAGCCGTGCGAAGCAGTATAGGGATCCGATAAAGCATGGAAAAAAAAAAAACAGATCACAAATTCTGAGGTCGCCAGCGGGTCACTTGCTGAGCTCCCTTCCAGACGGGGATGACACGATCACAAAGATGTCCTGGGACGGTAAAGGATGGAAGATCTCAGGCAATGAGGCGGCAAGAGTGTCGGACCGTGCTCAAGTGTAATTACCTCTTGATATTCTGAATAAGCCGAGCAGGAAAAGGCACATGTGTCAAGAAACATCCAAAACCCAGCTCAGCTGCTGTGGTGGAAGGCGGCAGTCGTTCTAGCTGGACCTGCGGTGTGGACTCGCAAAACTTTACGGATTTTGGATGCCCGATTCTCTCGATGACTGGGTGACAGCAGCACCCTGCGGAGCGCGATGCTGCATTTGGACAACTTGAGCGATTCTCAGTCTCTCTCTCTTGCAACAAGGAAAGGGTCAAGAGCCAAGTTGATTTTCTTACACTTGAAAAACCCGGATGAAGATAAAGACGGTGTGACCCTTCAGTCGGAGCGGCCAAGACCACATGTTGGAGAGTTTTCAGCCATGATCGCATGGAGCCTCGAACGTTCGTGTCCCGATTCGAGGCAGCTCATCCAACACCAACCCTGCAGAAGCAGCGACGATTCTTCTCAGGGCTGTCAACTTGGCGTATCCAGAAAATGTGGGGTGTGGCACAGGGGCACGGGGGGGCACAGGTTGCAGGTCCAGCACGTTCCCGATTGCGGCCTGCGTGCTTGATCGCACCGTCTGAGGCATCACTGACTCCAACCTTAGCAAGATCCCACTGAATCCGGTGCGCTGCGCAGTGGGTCCTGAAACTGAAAACCCTTGACAGCTCGCAGCAGTGCTCAGCACATGCAGGATCGAAGCTTCGGCCGCAGGCAGGGCCCACCCACATTCCTTCGTAGTCCACCACGCCGTTGTGAACGACGCGCACCTTTGAGCCACGAACAGTGGTTTCCGGGTCCAGGTTTTGATTGTTTACAGGGTTGGGGCTTCGGGTTGCAAAAGACGTGCCGGCAGCTTTGTCAGCAATGGATAATGAGAACTTGATGCATGGCACACGGCTCTGATATCCTCTGCCTAAGCAACGCTCAGAGCAAGCAACCTCGAGCTGAGGAGCCTTTCCACTGCTAGTGGCTAGTGACTATAGTCCCAAACTTCAGCTCCAAGGCACCCCGTGCGCTCCTCGATAGTCGACGATCTGACCAGAGGCAGCTTCAGGACACCGGACACATATCACTGAAGCCCGCGCTGAAACACGACGGGCTAAGAACCCTACAGCGCTACCATTGGGGCGGCCTCAACATGGAGTCCGTGAATGGCTACCTTGCATTTCTGCCTCCTGCAGCGAGCGGCCGGCAAAGGTGATAAGGGCACCATCCTGGGCGTCGCACCGTATCTGCATCATGGCTGGTACATAGGGGACAACATGTTTCGAGGACGCGAAGCCACCTACACCCTTTGCCTCCTCTTGCTAAGCTTGGTAGTGACATGGGTCGCGGGCGTGAATCCCGTGAGTAGTGATCAAGATGCTCCCTGAGAGGCCCGGGCCAGGTAGCTATGGTCCTTGGTGTCGTTGCGTTTAACCTCACCAAACTCCCAGCGCACCTTCGCACGCGGAGCGCTGGGACTCTCTCCTATGAACTTAAAGACCCTAGAAACACAAGGAACCCAAGAAACCCTATGATCTCTATGAACCCTCAACCCCCAAAAACGCTGTAAACTCAAAAATTCCCTAAGCCTAAATCCTAAACCCCTAACCAAACCCTAAACTAAAGATAACGCATCCATTGAGGACCGGCGTGTTTTGCACATGTCGTTTTGGAGTTGGATGCCGGAAAACGTGGAAACTCGAGGGTTTGGCTGCTCGCATTCGCTGGATGTGCCTTGTCGATCTTCAAGATCACCACTGCCACTGCGCTTTCGTGAGCGCAGGGATGCTTTCGACACTACCGAAGTGCAACTTTCATCGATTTTCAAAATGCTGTTTTGTCACGACAGCATTCTTGTGCTTATGTTCTAGAGAGGGAAAATGTTGCTGCAGTTTGGGCATCTTCGCCAAAAAACTGTGACCGCATGTCTTGTTCCGTGATACGTTGTATAGAGAAGTAACATTGCGGCAAATACCAGCGTTGTTGGCATCTTCGCTAAGGGCATGAACGCTTGTAGCCGCGTGTCTTGTTCGGTAAACTTTGGCTAAAACGCTTTAAATACCCAACCCCCCCCCCCCCCAAGACCCTTAAACGTGCCAAACCCGGGTCCGTATAATGGATAGCAGCCTAAACCTGGCCTCAACGCGGAGATCGCTCAGCGGCTTCACAGACACGGGAAGGATCCTTCCGGGGGTCTCTTTGAGTTGAGGCAGCAGGGTTTGCCAGGATGTGCAGGGGTTCGGGTTTAGGGCTTAGGGATTAGTGCTTAGGGTGGGTATTCTCCAGTAAGCCCCACAGTATGGCAGAATCCCCCGCCTTGGATCGCCCTTAGACTAAATCCTCAATCGGGATTATAGTAGAGGGTACTATAATCCCTATTTAGGACTGTTTGATACTGTTCGTAGAAGGGGGCAACATCCCAAACCCCCCCCCCCCTCCCGTTTTAAGGCGTCTGCGAGGATTGACACTAGCCAGGCCTCAGCCTCTCGGGCTTCACTTTCTCATTGGTGAATCGGTGCATCTCCTGTTCAGGGCTTCTGGGTTTCAAGGGTTTAGGGCTTAGGGCTTAGGGCTTCTGGTGTTTCTAGGGTTTCTATGGGGGCTTTCGTGAATAACTGCGTGCTCTTCGTCATATGCCGTCATATGCTCTGTGCATCCTGCATCTCTCCATAAGATGTCAAGGAGATCTGCAAATTGCAGGCCCTTTGTGGGCCAGGGCCCACGAATGCCCATGGATGAACGTCACGAAGGCAACCCTCCATCCCCCAAAACCCTGAACCCTGGAAACCCTAAACCGGAAAAGTCCGAATGACAAGTCTAAAGCACTGAACACTAACACCCGATACCCCTAAAGCCCTTAAAAAAGCCCCCCCCCCCAAAAAAAAAAAGAAAAAAACAATAAACCTAAATGCCCCACAACACTAAACCTATAAACCCCTACAACCCTAAATCCCTACAAACCCCCAAACCCCAAACCCCAAACCCGAAACCCCAAACCCCAACCCCAAACCCCAAACCCTAAACCTAAAGCCCCAAGAAGCAAACAACAAAACAAAAGAAACACTCGAGCTCCGCTCCTCGAGGATGGCTGCCCGCAGCTCGGGGCGTTCCAGTCGCTCTTGGAGCTGCTTGCCTGGTGTTAGAGGGTTCAGGCGTGTAGGGGTTTAGGGTTTTTTGGGTTTGGGGTTTAGGGTTTGAGCTGCAGGGGTTTAGGGTTTTTCTGGGATCCCTTGTGCCAGGTTTAGGGTTTAACGTCGTTTAAACGTTTAGGGTTTACAGGGTTTAGGGGTTCGGGTTTAGGAGTGTAGGAGAGGGGTGTAGGATTTAGGGGTTTTGGGGGTTGGGGGGTTTAAGGTTTAAGGTTTGGGGTCTCGGTGCTCGGGTTTGGGTTCAGGTGTGCGGAACGTTGATAAACCCGTTGAGAGCCCGTTCATAACCCTTCAGCTCTGATTAAGGCGTAAGGAGTCGCGAGGGTTTCCAGCCGCCTGTGCGTCACCCTTTCTGGTTGTTACGACCGAAGCCTGTTTGGATCCAGGGCTCAGGGTTCCGGATTCGGCGAAAGATTGTTGAGTTCCGATGCTAAAAGGAGCCACCATGGCAACCCACCATGTCGAGAACGGGTGTCTTAGCCGACATGCAATTGGAGGTTCAGCACACGTAAGAAGACTTCTCATTGAAGGTCTTCGGGCAGGAGTTGAATATGCTTTATATCGCTGGGTTGAGAGCATCAAATCAACTCCCTAAACCCTATAAAACCCACATCTACACTCCAGGGGCAGGGCCTCTGGCCATCGCTTCGGAGTCTCGGCTTGCAGTGCGTCCCAGCAAGCTCAATGGGCAGTGGGGGATTGCTCCAAGCGCCGGACCACTGAGTTCCTCGTGCTCAGTACTTGCGACCTGCAGGAGAGGTCTAGTACTTTAGACTGCACCATTGTGGGAAAATTATTTCAGAATGATCATTTTTGTTCCTTATTGTGTAAATGATTTGCAACAATGACCCAGAAGACCTTGACTTGTAGAGCCCCATGGATGTTGAAAGTCCCTCTGGAAAACTCCGAGAGCGGCAGGCATTTTGGGTTCGTGTCTCGGATCTGCCTCGATGGCATACCGGATGGCCATCGATTTCGAGCCTTTTGGGCAACTTGGGCTGCGCTAAGCTTTGAAGACGGGCATTTAGGGCTTTTAGGGGTCTAGGGTTTAGGGTGTCAGCATCAGCATACGGCAACAGACTCCCGAGCAGTTCCTAGTTAGTTTCAGTAGGGCGCAGACTGTACCGGCAACATGCTGACGGAGGGCAGAACATAAAAGAACAACAACGGCCAGAGGTACGAATCTACGACAGCTACTCAGCGGAAAAGGGCGCCACCCCTCCCCTTCCTCTGCGGCTCTGGCTGTCCACATGCACATCTGCAGACTTCACCTTCGCATCTAGAGGTTGCTTGTTGAACTGGGAAGCAAAAAGGGTAGGGCCGCAGTTGGGAATGAAAGCAAACCCTAAACAACCCTAAACCCAAGGCAGCGCTGGCGCGCAAGCTGCACCCGAGCGCCCCGCGGAGTGCCGCCCCAGCTCAAGATACTTGCGGACGCCTTCGATCACCATGTGCTCCTGTGCGATGGCCAGGCTTCAGGTTTTCTTCACAACCTCAACCTATAACCCTACCCTGAACCCGTAACAAAAACCTCAAGCCCTACAAGCTTTCTCTGTAAAGGCGGAGGTGCTTTGTTTGAAAGGAGTGGCAAATGTCTGTTCTCCTTCAGTCCTCCATAAGTTGTTGATTCTATAATTGAACCTTGCATGAATGTAACTCTCCAACAGTATCAACCCTAAACCCCAAACCCTCAACAAACCCCAAAACCTGAATGCAGTGGGGCTTTGACGCGCCACATGGTCAGATCCCCACATAATCTCACCTATTGGCCCATGTTTTGGGGTCATGGTTTCAGGGTTTAGGATGGTTTTTGGTTTTGGTTTGGGGTCTAGAGGTTGGGGCATCATCATGGCCACCCGCTCAGAGGGAAACTGGCCCGATGGGCACGTTTTGGAGCCTCCATTCTGTCGTTGACAGTGCCCGCAATGTAAAGCAAACCCCTCATGGTCAGCTCTGTCCCATGTTTGGTGGGTAATCGCCCTAAGCAACCCGCGCTGCGGCCTGCGAGGCTTTCTCGTGCTTGCGTGGGAAGCCCATCCTTGCGGAGGGGGGCTTTGCAGGGGTTTAGGGTCTTTTAGGGTCTGAGGGCTCAGTTCTTACATCTGCTGCTTCGGAGGTTCATGGTCTGGTGTAAGAATCGGGCCGGTGGGCATGGCAACACTGTAAACGTCTTGCATTTAGGGCTCAGGGGTTGCTTAGGGTTTATACTCTACACATGCACTCGGTCGCGAAGCACGCATGCTGAGCCCAGCCACCCTTCCAGCTTCATCAGGGCCGTCTTCAAATCGCGGGGTGATCCAGTACCTTCTCAAAGAGTGAAGCAAAGGCAGCAGTATGAGTTCTGTTCAAGTCCGGTCCCAGAGGATGCAGGACATGTTCATGGATCCAATCCGCCAGTAGCCATCACCTTCAGCGGGAAACATGTGAGAGAGTGGCTCTTAAGGCTTGAGGGAGGCAAAAGCAGCGGTTGGAAAGAGGAACTTCCTGGGTCTTCAGGCCCAGCTTGTAGATCGCGCACATGATGACCACAGCCTGCGCGCAGCTGCAGCTCAGCTTCCCGAAGCCTCCAAAGGCCCCTGCTGAGCCTCGAAGGTAAGCTGCGTCCTGTGATCCTGAAGTGTGGTTTCGCAGCTGTTGCATACCCGGTTGTTAGGGTGTTAGGGGGTGCCGGGTGGCGTCTATGGGTTTTTTACGCAGCTACCTCCTTCTGCGCGAGATTGGCGCCGATGTCGCTGTCCACCTGGAGCACAGCAACGATCTGTCCGGCAACAGCAACTTGCAACATCTCAAACACTGCGAGGCCCTGTACTCCTACAAGCCCAGAGGCCATAAACCCTCTCAGGCCGATACACCCTACAACAGGCCAAGTTAGAAGTGCCATGAACGATAACCTTGATCTAGTAACGCATGGATACATGGGTTCCAGACACTTGCAAAACCCACCGCCCCAGTGATTGCGCAGATTTGACGAGCCGGGAGGAAAGCATCATGAGCATCAGCTGGGCTGCGTTCCGGCCACATGGCCCCTAGGCTCCAGGCACTTGCAGAACCCACCGCCCCAGTGATTGCGCAGATTTGACGAGCCGGGAGGAAAGCATCATGAGCATCAGCTGGGCTGCGTTCCGGCCACATGGCCCCTAGGCTCCAGGCACTTGCAAAACCCACCGCCCCAGTGATTGCGCAGATTTGACGAGCCGGGAGGAAAGCATCATGAGCATCAGCTGGGCTGCGTTCCGGCCACATGGCCCCTAGGCTCCAGGCACTTGCAAAACCCACCGCCCCAGTGATTGCGCAGATTTGACGAGCCGGGAGGAAAGCATCATGAGCGTCAGCTGGGCGGCGTTCCGGCCACATGGCCCCCTAGGCTCCAGGCACTAGCAAAACCCACCACCCCAGTGAGTGCGCAGATTTGACGAGCCGGGAGGAAAGCATCATGAGCATCAGCTGGGCTGCGTTCCGGCCACATGGCCCCTAGGCTCCAGGCACTTGCAAAACCCACCGCCCCAGTGATTGCGCAGATTTGACGAGCCGGGAGGAAAGCATCATGAGCGTCAGCTGGGCGGCGTTCCGGCCACATGGCCCCCTAGGCTCCAGGCACTAGCAAAACCCACCACCCCAGTGAGTGCGCAGATTTGACGAGCCGGGAGGAAAGCATCATGAGCATCAGCTGGGCTGCGTTCCGGCCTAGGCTCCAGGCACTTGCAAAACCCACCGCCCCAGTGATTGCGCAGATTTGACGAGCCGGGAGGAAAGCATCATGAGCATCAGCTGGGCTGCGTTCCGGCCACATGGCCCCTAGGCTCCAGGCACTTGCAAAACCCACCGCCCCAGTGATTGTGCGGATTGACCAGCCGGGAGGAGAGCATCACGAGCATCAGCTGGGCTGCGTTCCGGCCACATCACCCCCTAGGCTCCAGGCACTTGCAAAACCCACCGCCCCAGTGATTGCGCAGATTTGACGAGCCGGGAGGAAAGCATCATGAGCGTCAGCTGGGCGGCGTTCCGGCCACATGGCCCCCTAGGCTCCAGGCACTAGTAAAACCCACCGCCCCAGTGAGTGCGCAGATTTGACGTGCCGGGAGGAAAGCATCATGAGCATCAGCTGGGCTGCGTTCCGGCCGCATGGCCCCCTAGGCTCCAGACACTTGCAAAACCCACCGCCCCAGTGATGGCGCAGATTTGACGAGCGGGAGGAAAGCATCATGAGCATCAGCTGGGCTGCGTTCCGGCCACATGGCCCCCTAGGCTCCAGGCACTTGCAAAACCCACCGCCCCAGTGATTGCGCAGATTTGACGAGCCGGGAGGAAAGCATCATGAGCATCAGCTGGGCTGCGTTCCGGCCACACACTTGCAAATCCAAAACCCACCACCCCAGTGATTGCGCAGATTTAACGAGCCGGGAGGAAAGCATCATGAGCATCAGCTGGGCTGCGTTCCGGCCACATGGCCCCCTAGGCTCCAGGCGCTTGCAAAACCCACCGCCCCAGTGATTGTCCAGATTTGACCAGCCGGGAGGAGAGCATCATGAGCATCACCTGGGCTGCGTTCCGGCCACATCTTTCCCTAGGCTCCAGGCCCTTGCAAAACCCACCGCCCGAGTGATTGCGCAGATTTGACGAGCCGGGAGGAAGCATCATGAGCATCAGCTGGGCTGCGTTCCGGTCACATGGCCCCCTAGGCTCCAGGCACTTGCAAAACCCACCGCCCCAGTGATTGCGCAGATTTGACGAGCCGGGAGGAAAGCATCATGAGCATCAGCTGGGCTGCGTTCCGGCCACACACTTGCAAATGCAAAACCCACCACCCCAGTGATTGCGCAGATTTGACGTGCCGGGAGGAAAGCATCATGAGCATCAGCTGGGCTGCGTTCCGGCCGCATGGCCCCCTAGGCTCCAGGCACTTGCAAAACCAACCGCCCCAGTGATTGCGCATTGCGCAGATTTGACGAGCGGGAGGAAAGCATCATGAGCATCAGCTGGGCTGCGTTCCGGCCACATGGCCCCCTAGGCTCTGGGCACTTGCAAAACCCACCGCCCCAGTGATTGCGCAGATTTGACGAGCCGGGAGGAAAGCATCACGAGCATCAGCTGGGCTGCGTTCCGGTCACATGGCCCCCTAGGCTCCAGGCACTTGCAAAACCCACCGCCCCAGTGATTGCGCATTGCGCAGATTTGACGAGCGGGAGGAAGCATCATGAGCATCAGCTGGGCTGCGTTCCGGTCACATGGCCCCCTAGGCTCCAGGCACTTGCAAAACCCACCGCCCCAGTGATTGTGCAGATTTGACGAGCCGGGAGGAAAGCATCATGAGCATCAGCTGGGCTGCGTTCCGGCCACATCACCCCCTAGGCTCCAGGCACTTGCAAAACCCACCGCCCCAGTGATTGCGCAGATTTGACGAGCCGGGAGGAAAGCATCATGAGCATCAGCTGGGCTGCGTTCCGGCCACATGGCCCCCTAGGCTCCAGGCACTTGCAGAACCCACCGCCCCAGTGATTGCGCAGATTTGACGAGCCGGGAGGAAAGCATCATGAGCATCAGCTGGGCTGCGTTCCGGCCGCACTGACACTTGCAAAACCCACCGCCCCAGTGATTGCGCAGATTTGACACACTTGCATCATTGCGCAGATTTGACGAGCCGGGAGGAAAGCATCATGAGCATCGGCTGGGCTGCGTTCCGGCCACATGCCCCCTAGGCTCCATGCACTTGCAAAACCCACCGCACCAGTGATTGCGCAGATTTGACGAAAGCATCATGAGCATCAGCTGGGCTGCGTTCCGGTCACATGGCCCCCTAGGCTCCAGACACTTGCAAAACCCCCCCAGTGATTGCGCAGATTTGACGAGCCGGGAGGAAAGCATCATGAGCATCAGCTGGGCTGCGTTCCGGCCGGCCACATGGCCCGCTAGGCTCCAGGCACTTGCAAAACCCACCGCCTCAATGATTGCGCACCCACCACCCCAGTGATTGCGCAGATTTGACGAGCCGGGAGGAAAGCATCATGAGCATCAGCTGGGTCCGGTCACATGGCCCCCTAGGCTCCAAACACTTGCAAAACCCACCGCCCCAATGATTGCGCACCCACCGCCCCAGTGATTGCGCAGATTTGACGAGCCGGGAGGAAAGCATCATGAGCATCAGCCGGGTCCGGCCACATGGCCCCCTAGGCTCCAGGGACTTGCAAAACCCACCGCCCCAGTGATTGCGCAGATTTGACGAGCCAGGAGGACAGCATCATGAGCATCAGCTGGGCTGCGTTCCGGCCACATGGCCCCCTAAGTAGGCTCCAGGCACTTGAAAAACCCACCGCCCCAGTGATTGCGCAGATTTGGCGAGCCGGGAGGAAAGCATCATGAGTATCAGCTGGGCTGCGTTTCGGCCACATGGCCCCCTAGGCTCCAGGCACTTGCAAAACCCACCGCCCCAGTGATTGCGCAGATTTGGCGAGCCGGGAGGAAAGCATCATGAGTATCAGCTGGGCTGCGTTTCGGCCACATGGCCCCCTAGGCTCCAGACACTTGCAAAACCCACCGCCCCAGTGATTGCGCAGAATTGACGAGCCGGGAGGAAAGCATCATGAGCATCAGCTGGGCTGCGTTCCGGCCACATGGCCCCCTAGGCTCCAGGCACTTGCAAAACCCACCGCCCCAGTGATTATGCAGATTTGACGAGGTGAGGCCTAACAGAAACCATGTAAATGCACCCTTTGGACAGCCAAGCCTGCCCCCAAACCCTAAACCCTCACTTCAATAAACCCTCTCAACACTCTGCCAAGCCACCACGCGGAAGCCAAGGTGTTGGAACTTGGCGAGCTCCCTGGAGTTGGTGGCCTGTGTTGGTTTGGGGTTTGGGGTGTAGGGTTTTTGGGTTAGGGGTGTTGGGCGTTTAGGGTTCCAGAGAGCGTTTAGGGTGGGTTTTGGGTTGGGCTGTTGGGTATTTTTAGGTTTGTAGTGCTTTTTTGGGGCATTTGGGGTTTTGGGTTTTTGGGGTTCTCGTGTTTAGGCTTCTTGGGGTTTCGGGCTTTTGGGGGTTTAGGGTTTCGGGCTGAAGCCCAGTTGCGATTTGCTCTACTATAGGGCACCCAGAAGTTTATGAAGGTTTATTGGGCCTGTAGTGTTGGGCTTTGGCTTGCTGAAGACAGCTTTGAGGGCTCGGCCGCCAGAAGGAAGAACAGGTCCGTGACGCGCTCGGGCAGCAGGTCCAGCCGCACCTAGTTCGAGCATAATATGAGGTGGGCTTCTAGGGCGTTGAGGGTATAGGATTCTGAGAAAATCTCTTCGGGAAATCTTTCAACATGCTGTCTTCGTGTTGTTGGGAATTGCTTGATGGTCTGGGGATCGGGTGCTGGGCCGAGGGCCGCCACGTCAGCCCTTGGCCCTGCCTGCATCAGCTGCTTGCACAGCATCTGCCCATCGAGGGCCGACCTGAAGAAAAAAACCCATACCGACCTCCCTTAAAAAGACCCCTCAGAAGCACGGAAGTTGGCGCCATGCCGTGGGAGTGCAGATTCCCTGGTCGAAAGCCCGGAGATAATGCCTCTCCTTCCCCTCCTTGCGGCTCTTCTGTGCTTGCCCCCCAATACCACATCTCCCAAACGACACCAACTCTCAACCCAGCCCCAGCTCCATCGACCTGTATCCACCTTTGTCTTCTTCTTGGGCTTGCCTGTTTTTTCTTCGAGGTCTTTGACTTTGAGCTTCCTTTCCAGAATCCGAAAACCCCAAAAAAACCTAAAACCCTGAAAGCCCAGGCCCCGGCTGCAGGTCGTTGCCCTTCTGCCTTTCCGTGCCAAGGTGGCTGATGGCACCGAAGAGCGCATCCACTCCCTCCGGCTTTTCGGGCTCAGGAGGCTTAAGGGACTTTAGGGTTTTCGCCCCCCTGAACCTTACGAGTATGACTCTATAGGCCGAACTCCACCAAAAACCTTGCTACCCCAGATGGGACACCCTTCACGCCGAGAAACACATGGGGCTCCCGAAGCCCTAAGCCCCAAATACCAGTAGCCCCTAAACATCCCTAAACTATATCAACCCTCCCTAAACCCTAAACTTTCTCAACCCTAAGCCCAAAACCCTCATCAAACTAGCCGCCTTGGATTGGACCCGATAGGCATTTTGGTCCACGCCGTAGGCAGCACCGTGCAGTCCTGGCCACGGGGGACTGAGAATGGGAGGGTTGAAGCTTTCGGGAGGGTGTTCGGTTTTTGAAGTTTCGGGCGCACAGGGCATCGGATTTAGGGTGGATGGGGTCGGTGGGGCCTAGGGCCTAATGTTGCCCTGCTTTTAATGAATGCAGGGTCTAGAATCACAAGTTTCGAAAGTTTATTCTGCGAATTGAGTTTGTTGGTGTAGGTCGCTGTTATCACAAGTCTTTTTGTTCCGGATAGTTGTTCTTTTTTAGGTTTGTGTTTACGATTAAGGGCTTGCGCAGTAAGGCTTGAGGCCGTGAGGTCCTTGTCTCCAGGGACAGAGCCCGGAGAATCCAGAAAGCTAAGCTACGCCAGTTCCATGTAAAGTCCCTTGAGTTTCATTATGAAACGAGGGCCCCAAGGCCAGCCCGATTCGCTTTAGTAGGTTTGTTTGGGTACACGCTATTATCACAAGTTTTTTGGGAGATTTTGTTCCTTCCAGGCCTTTAGGGGCCTTAATGCCCTAAAAGCTTCAGGTTTAAGGGCCGTGGCTTCAAAAAATTGTTTGGGGGGTCGCTGCGCCATGCGTTTATAGACGGTCCAAATTTGTTGGTGTGGTTGGGGGGGGGGGCTATTGATTAAAGGCAGTGCAGCATTAACGGGATATCGGGGTTCAGGTTGATGTGAACTACAAGGTGTTCGGGATTCGGGGGTGAGCACAAACCAACTCTGAACACCACCCATGATCACGCAACCTCGAGCGTTCACTATCTCCACAAGGCCATCTGCACTCATCGCCTGCGGCCCACCACTTTGAGTGGGGAGCAGGTTTGGTGTTTCGGGTGCTTTGCAAGTTGTTCGAAGGCAATCGAGAGCGGGGCGATGCAGGCAGCGTCCATGGTCTCGCTGTAGCTCGACGGCTGGGTCCAACACCTTTGGATGTGAGGGCTCACATTCGCGCACCTACCGAAACCGCTTTTGTTTTTCATGCCGCGCGTGTGCCTAGACCCTGAAGCATCCCAAACCATTTTGGGTGGCGTTGGTCAACGTCATGCGACTGTGTTGCTGCCTTTGCTTCAGAAACTCTGACGCCCTGGCAGCTCGACCGTCATGCGCCGCAGAACCCGTCCACGCACTTCCTGCAGGCCTCAGCGGCACCCCAGGTGCAGGTGCTCAGATCATATAGATCTGTGCAGATCATGTGGAGATCATGCGGAGATCATGTGGAGACTCTCGCTGATGTCTGCTGGGTCTTTTCTCCGCTGCGCGCCACACCCGGTACACCGCCCCCCTCACTCCTTGGTACCGCGGGAAAGCGCCGCCGCGTCGCGTGGGGAAGCTGCCTCTGCCACATGGGAAGGGCTCTTCGAGCGTTGGGGGGAGGAGGGGCCCGCAAAAAACATCGGAAGACTCGCCTGGCGAGCTGCTCCTGGATACCAGGGCTCAGCTTCCAGAGGCCTGGTTGGCCGCCTAGGCAACGAAAACGAGGAGACTCTGCTTTCAGCAGCACAGCTTGACAAAGAGGAAGATCTCCTCCGCATTTAGTTTAAGGAAGGGAGAGGGGGGGGCGGAAGCACCTCTCAAGATTCCTATTTTTTGGGGGGGATGCGAAAGACTTGCGCAAGAACCGACGCCAAACTCTCAGATTCCCCCCAAGGCATCCGGCGCGCGGCCAGCGGCCGTGGCAGCTCCATGGCCTCCGATCCAAGGGGCTCAGGGCTTCTCGGCTTCGTACCGCTTTGATACGGCTTACAGGGAACATAGGGATTCAGGTTTAGGGTTTAAGGCTATAGGCGGCTATAGGGTTTAGGGATGTAGGTGTTGTTGGCGTTTGGCGCTTCGATCCACCCCAAGCAGTGCTCAAGCCTGAACCCGAAGCCTTCTTCTTGCTGTCTTCAGGTCTCGATCATGCAGCCGCTCTTGGTTTTTAATTACGGCGCCGCTTGGCTGTTGGCAGGCTATTCCATGCTTCTTTGAGAAGCATGGGGAAAAACGCCTGGACAAGCCTGTGGAGCCACAAGTGGAGGGCGCCGCAGAGAAGGAAGAGACGAGTTACGACGCCCTTGTCTTGGCGCCCCTGACCCCACCCGCACTCCCCGATCCCCCCAAAATGTCGCATGTGCCTTGTTTAAGCCGGCAGGCTGGTATTGAAAGGGCACCTCTGAACTAAACCTGGTGCAACATGAGTATTACAAACTCAGCTGCTCTTTTATGGGCCGCGCCAGTGGCTGGGAACGACGGCGGGTCTCCGCCTCGGGCCTTGCGCGGGATCGCAGGGCAGGTGAAAGTTTGGCTGCGCTGAAATCCCTGACCCTTCATTCCTCCAAAGCCCCTCCAAACTCTTCGGCATACAAGGTGGTTCAGAGCCCATGCTTTGGGGAGGCTGTGGACCCCGTTACAGCCTGGCAGGAGGCCGGTTGAAGGTCAGGAGGACGTTGAAGTGACCGAAGCGGGTTTGTGTGATCTGCATGTTCCCGGTGATGCGGTCCACGTGGGGTGGGCGGAAGGCCACGGGCATATCCTGACTCATAAGGCACGAAGCAGCGAAAGTGAAACTGAGTATTGGGATGTATCAGGGGAATTGGGGGGGGAGTACCTTGGCATGTTCCCCCTTATACTAACAGTCCTTTAATCGGCATATATTGGGATTATAAGAGGGGGAGGGATACCCTGCCTCGAAGCTGAGCACCCTGCTCGGGGGCGCCTCACCCCGCTTCGTGAATAGCTCGGCCTCGTTGGGGAAAATAGGGAACACCGTCCGAACTCTACAAGCCCTGAAACCCCCAACAATGCCCTAAAACCCCCAACCCCCCCCCCTCCCCCCCCCCCAAAAAAAAATTAAAAAAAAAAAACCTAAACCCCCTAAAGCCCTGAAAAGCACCCCGAAAGGAGCTCCTTCGGCTTTCGCAACTCCTCTGCCTCTTTTCTGAGCTGCTCGAGGAGCATGGTCCTAAGCTCATGTGGCACCAGGGGGCCGCAACACCAAAGCATATATTGCTATATTACTGTGCCATTATATGGTAATACTATATTGCTATACTGTTGCAAATCATATTCACAAATTAATATACTGCTATACTATGCGAGTTCAGCCTCAGAACCGTCCGAATTGTTAAGTCTGAGCAAGGGTCATGTGCGGAGAGGGGAAGAGGTCTGTGCAGGCCGTGCCAGCTTTGGCCATCAGTGGTTGAGAGGCGGCCTGCACAACCATACCTGACAGGGTCGAATTCTCAGAAGGCACTTTACAGGGCCAAGACATGTCAAGGGTTTAAGGCCGGCTTTTGGTGTTGGATGGCTTTGGAGCTCCTTTCTTGGGGTTTCCGACAGCTGCATCTTCCTGATCCCGAGCATTGGCTTGCCCACACCTTGCGTGTCAATGTCAAGGAAAGCCTTCGGCTGGACATCGGGCTCAAACATCTCGGCGCGGGAGCCTGCAGTGGCGAGGGTTCACAGGGAACCTCGCGTGCACTGAGTGCGCTGCTGCAAGCCTCTTTGCGCTGCCCTAGGTCAACGTGTATGCTCGGGCCCCCGATTCTGATCAATGCTAGCAGGCGGACGTGGGCGGGATTTGGATATGCTAGCACCTAAACCCTGAATCGCGAAATGGTGGGATTCATAGCTGTCCCGAGTGCGTGCACCTAAAGCCTAAAAGGCACAGACCTGTGCGCTTCGAGCTTCGGACAATTGACATGTAGCTTTGGAGGTTTGGAGGCACAGAACAAAACAAAGCTTCCGGCAGAGAGCAGAACAAAGCGGACCAAACTTGACATGCCCACTTTGAGCTTGGCTCGGAGGCTTTCGCGAAAACTGACCCTAAACCCTGAAAACCCTCAACCCTACAACACCCTACAAACTCTGACTCACAACCCAACCTTGCCCTAAACCCTAAACCCTAAACCCTGAACCCCAAATTTTAGCCGCACCCAAGGTGCTGGGGCTGTCCGGGCTCAGGGAGTGGCTCAGGGTTGGACTCGACATGACCGAGTCCTGGGGGGCCATATCTTTAGGGCTTAGGGCTTCGGGGCTTCAGGTTTTATGGGTTTTAGGGGTTTAGGGCTTCAGAGGCTTAGGGTTTAATCAGGGATTTAGGGCTCTGGGTCAAGTCAAACTTCTTTGGAGGCTTGAGGGTTTGACAGTTTGAGGTTTTGAAGGGGCCAGACACGGAGACACAGATCATGTAATTTTAAGGACTGACTTGCCAACTTACCTGGAGTCCTCCCCCTCCGTGAATGCATCTACCGCATTGATGCCGGCTAAGGATTTGATGTCGGTGAAGTCACGGAAACCTAGCAGATGATAGCAGCGGCCGTCGCACTTCGTGTACTTCACTTGGAAGACCTCTGCACACAACCTGCTCGAGCAGCTGTCGACAAGGCGTGTGTGAAAAGCATGTGCTGTGATCTCCGCCTTGGCCAAGCCTGACTCGTTGCTGCTGGTTCCCAAGAGCTCGATCGCTCTGACCGCGTCAATCGGCTGCATGAATTCTGTGATGCACTTACCGTCCAGGCTCGCACCAGCTCGGTCATGTAACAGCATTGCGGAGAGCTCTGGGGAATGCGCAGTCAGCCTCAGCTCGCTATCGAGCTCCACCACCGCATCACAGGTCAGCCTCAGCAGCGACGAGGCCGCAGTGAGCTCCGAGGACAGGTTGCCGGTGTGTACCTCAGGATTCGATCTCTCTCTTTCTCTTTTTATACATATATACATACACACATACACATACACAAATATATGCAGTTTATGTATTTGTTGATTTCTTCTAGATTTAGTATAGTATGAGATGAATGTAAGTATGCTAAGCGATGCATGCGCACGTAAAAAAGAGAAACAATGCCGGTCTGCTGCGCAGGTCGTTTCGTTCTTCCTTTGAACCACAAAGCGGTGCTACAAAAAGTCTCAAGCCACGGTCAGCTGCACCTTCATCTTCATCACTGCCTTCAGGGGCCCGCCCTACAAAGATCTCGAAAGATTCCCAAAAAAAAGAGAGTTGATGCAACAGTTGTATAAGTAGGCATACCAGTACTGCATGCCGGTGACATTTTGGGAAAAGAGCATCCAAGCTGCTAGGAGCATGCCGCTCATCGCAAAGCTGGCCGCAGCCACGTACAGCTCGAGACGGATCAAGAGGCTGGAATCAAGATTGTCAAGGCCATCAATATCCACAAGCTCGAAGTCTTGCAAGCTTATTCGCAGGAAGATGAGTATCATAAACGCTGCATTTGCAAGCAGAACTGGTACGCCGCTCCTCGCCAGAGGTAGGGAGGGCACGCGGACCAGGATCAGATTCACGATCCAGAATTTGAACAGATGCTCGGGAGCGCAGTGTGAAGGGAGGAGTCCTATTACAGACAGCGCATTGAAGGCCACGTAGAGGGCATCGGTCGTGGAGGCTCGGGTAAAAGATGGCAGGACTATGCACACAACACCCAACACTGTGGCAAGCAATAGGTTCCACAGCTGCGGTATTGAAAGCCAGAAGGGCTGTGACCAAATCAGCATGACTTGGCCAATGAGTACACCAGCAAAGCCCACTGCTGTTAGATAATGAACAACCGCGCGGCATGTCTGCGCATGCATGTACGCGGATTCCCTCACAAAATTCGCATCTTCCTTCCGGGAGGCCAGTAAGAAGAAGAACTTGAGGAATGCAAGCCCTTTCTGAATCCACTCCTTTGCCTTCTGCTTTCCGGAGTTGACACCCAGCACCACCAGCTTGACAAGTAGAGCTAGCTCCAGGGCAACAGCAACTCCAACAAACACAGCGCGGTGCCAGTCACCAAAAACCATGCGGCCAAACAGACTGCAGCTTGTGTTTACTTTATCAGTTCGTCTGGATCATAGCTGAGACAGCTGAGATCGTTGTGCTACACTGCGGCCAAACGCTGCGCGGTCAGAGTTCACAACATGCACAGCCTTTGAATCTCCGGGGTCTCCTAGGTAGGGTTTCGAGATTTTTGGGTAGGTGGATGTCAAACTCTTGACAATCTGGCTCGGACACTCAGATGCCACATCTTTCGCAACTCACTCTGCGTGCCTTATCCTATGCACATTGGGATCGCCTTCCGAGTCACGCGCCGGGGCGTGACCATCGCAAGCTCAGAAACCGGTTCCTGGTATATCACGAACCTGTAACAGAAAAAGTTGGGGCTCTGCACTTCCAGGAATAGGTCCCTAGCCCGAAAGCCCAGGTTGAACCCAAGCCAAGAACAAGGCTACAGCCGCCTCAAATATAACAAATGTAAGATCGCATAACTGAATAGAATCGACTTGGCCCAGACTCATGTGCTCTCCATGGTACTGGTGCCTCGTCAATGATGTGGCAGATGGGCCCCACGGCCCAAACAGACTGGCCGCCGCCACATTGCGAAGGCTGCCTGGGCCCGGAACTGGGGATGTGACCCCAAGGAAAGCGAAACACTCTTGCCAGAGTTCTCTCAGAATCTCGTCATGAAATTTAAGATGGGTTGTCCTAAACCTGTGGGGATCTCTTCTTCTGAGGCGCCGCTGCTCCGAAATGTGGATGAGGCCAACTGGCAGGGGCACATGGGATCGAAACGCTCCGTAACTGTGCGTTTTTGTTAACCGAATCGTGTCATAGAACCCCCTAAATGTGCCCAGTTCGGGCCGCATGCAATCCTAAGGACAGGAGGACGTCAGACTCGAATTCGCATGCTCACCTGAAATCCCGCAATAAGCCTGTAAACCTCAACAGTATACATGTTCAACATGTATAAAGAACTATGCCAACTATGCATATACGTCGCGCCCTCGCCTATCCGCGTCGAAGGCAGGCTCCCCTCGGGCGGCGCGTCGGGCCACGCCAACTCCAGCCTACCGTGGGGCTGCGGTTTTGCAAGTGAGGATGGGTTTGGGAGCACTGTACAGACTGTACATGTGGCATGTTGGACAAACCTCAGATGTTAGTTGAGGAGGTACTACAAGGGACCTGGGAACACACCAAGGGGTCAGAAAGTCTCACAGTCGAAAACCTTTGCGACACGGAGCCGTACCATGTCAACACGAGCATCAACTTATGGGTGCTGAAAGAAAGCACCTCGAAACCCCGAAAAAGAAAGAGACCCCGCTGTGAGCTCGACCTCTGGACCCACTCGTCACCCAGGGCAGAGAAGGGGCGGGCGCCCACGTGCAGAGCATACCTGGGCGGACGGCAACCCAGACCCCGCAACCATTCAAGTGCAAGAGAGCATAGCATACAATATGTACATACTGCGTGTATATATATATATATATACAGTGTGCTATATTTTCTACGAACATATGAGATGGCTTGTTATACTGCAAATCGGCTTCTTGGGTTGGGGGCATGCGACCTTTAAAGAGTTCCCTGGGGTTGCCTCCAACAAGCCACGACACCAGCCGCTGGGTATGCGCCAGCTTCGGTTCTCGATCAGCTTTCTGCCGGTGATCATGGCCTTGCTCGAGGCCGAGCTGTGGATTGGGGTTTAGGGTTTAGGGTTTAGGGTTTAGGGTTTAGGGTTTAGGGTTTAGGGTTTAGGGTTTAGGGTTTAGGGTTTACCCGAGAAGGCAGAACAGTCTGCCAGGTTGCTTCAGAAGCACTACATTTGTATACTGACTAGAATCAGAACAGAACAATAGAAGCACATCAGGGATAGTCAATATGACAATGGACTCACGATTTATATATTACAACATGAACGAAGTATACCCGAAACCTACAAACCCTAGAAAGCCGTTAACAACCCTGTAAACCCGACAAACCATATAAACCCCATGAACCCTGTGAACCCTACAAACCCTCTCATGTCCCTGTAAACCCTACAATCTTCCTTTGAATATCCCTGAAAAATCCTGAAAAACCCTAAACTACAATCTAACAAGATCCTCGACCCTAAACCCTAAACCCTAAGTTCAGAGGACCCCAGGCTCAGTTCCGAGCACGTCCCTGCTGGGAGCCTTGCACCGTCAACGCCCGCGTGGGGAGCTCCAAGGGTCCTAGCCGCTCTAGCAGGGGTTTAGGGTTTAGGGTTGAGGGTTTAGGGTTGAGGGTTTAGGGGTTTAGGGTTGAGGGTTCTGCACAGGGAAATTTAGGGACATGTTTGGCCAACTTCTGGACATTTAGGGTATGAGGTACCTTGTCTTTCCCATGATACTTCCCAAATTCCCTAGAATCAGTAGATAAGGAGATCTGGCGCATGGACCCAAACCGCCCTTGAAGGGGTCAACTAGTATGCACCCAAAGGCATCAAAGGCTAAAGCTCTGAGGGAACTGGTGCGCATCTTCAATGCCCTGGCGAGGTGCCGGTCCTCTCTGCCCTTGTTTTTAACCCTGAAAGAACTTTTTACGGCGTGCGCCTTCTGGTTCTCCTTCCTCTTGCAACAGGGCAGCAGCTGAGTCTTCTCTCGCACCTGCCAGAGACTTGGAGGCAGAAGGGTGCCGCAGGACATGTTCCTTCTCACGGCCCCCAGAATCTGACGATGTTGACAGAGATCTATGCGCTTACAACCCTCAACCCCTAAACCCGAAACCCCTTCATGCTAAATTGGCCCCAGACGGATTGCGGCTTCCCTGAGCTATGGCTGCTGTGATCGGAGAGCCTGACTCAGAGTCGCTCCGCGCGGTCCACCGTCGGGCGTGGCCCTCAGGGTTTTCGTCGGTTTTTTCGCTTCGCGGGTTTAGGGTTCCTAGGGCTCCTAGGGCTCCTAGGGTTCCTATACACCTCCTAGGGTTCCTTGGGCTTCCTAGGGTTCTAAAGTTCCGGGCTTAAGGCTGACGAAAACCCAGCCTTCAAGGTCTGGTCGCCCTCGTCCCATGATCTCTGCCACCAGGACCCTCCTTGCTCGCACGAAAAGGGGGTACCAGATGGCTAGAGACCTGACCAGACATTTCCCTGGCTTCATCGCCCCAAAGAATGATGCTCATTGAAGAAAGCAGTGGGTTGCCTCCAGTGCTTCATGGCCCAAAGCTACATGTCTGTCGGTTATTAGCCTTACTGTGTGGAAGCAACAACTCGAACATGAAGTGTGCTGATGATTCCCAGCTACATATGTGGAAACTACATTGCACACGCGAACTCAGAACAAAGCAGGCTGGGTAGCGGAACATAGGGCACACACTGGCGCAGGCTATAGTTCTGGCAGCACTTATACAGGTAGCTTACACTGCTTTGGCGTTTTCCGGCTTCAAAATGGCGCGATGGCAGCAGAGACTCTGGACGCACAACTGCAATCGGAGCCTGACACAGCCTGATCGTACGCTGCTGGCCCTGCGTCCAATCAAGCTCGTTTTTATGGCATTTCCATGAGCACTCAACGTCGCGTCTGGAAGCCACATGCTTCTTTGCATGGAGATTGCTTCAGCTGTTCGCGACGTCAAGTGGATGTGGGTAGCTGCCAAGGCCCCGTCCCTTACCACGAATCATGTGGCCCACGCTGAACATCAACCAAATATCAACAAGCTCTTGAAAAGCCTGTCAGACGTCCTCCTTGCACAACTTGCTGCACAAACTAAAGATGAAACTCAGCTGGTCCACGCCATATTCCATGTGCGGAGCTTAACGGCATACGGGCTGTAGAGCCCTTTACTCGCTCAAGCATGTCTTTTCTGGTCGGGTGGGGGCCAGCGCACTAGCAAACTATAACCCTAAACCCTAGCTCCTCCTGGCCAGGCTGTGGGCGAGTGCCACCACCAGGACGTGGAGGATGCGGCAGGGGCCTTTCGACTGCTGATGGGTCCAAACTTTCAGACGTTAAGCTGCAGGGGCTTCCACCACTTCTTAGCCCCCCGTCCCTTTGCGCTTCTATCTTGCATGGCGAACCCGGTCACCAGTTCCCTGCATCCCTGCATCCCTCAGCCCTCGATGTGCGGGGTCATGGAATTCGGATCAAGCTAAACATGACAACATGACAAATGGCAGCATCCAAAGAGCCCAAGGCAAGGCTTCGAGAAACTGCGAGGTGCTGCTTGGTGCCTTCGGCGCGCTCCGCCACACACGGCCTGAAAAAGACGAAGAGGCCCAAAGCGGCCCCAGGAAACCAACCCAGGAATCACAACAGCCAGTTCCGCAATACAAATGTCGTCGTACAGGCATTGCAGTTTTCAAAACAGAGCCTGCATTCCTTTCCAGTACTTGCACTGCTGAATCCTACCCTCTTTTTCTCTTCGAGAATCGAAGCCTCCATGCGGATGTTCCCAAGACCGGGCATCAGCGTACCCAGCAGCCCACATGCATCTCCGGGGCCTTCAAGTAACTCGAATGGAGGGCTAACCACCTGGAGGAGGCCACCCTGTTACCTTGTGCCCCGGGTATTGCTAGCCTGCTAAATGTGCATGTATATATAGATATATAGAAATCAATGACGTGATATGTTTCTGTGTCTGATACCTCTCGAAACCTGTCTAGATGTAGAGTTTAAGGTGGAGGGCCAAAGAGCCAGGTGATGAGTTGGGTGCGTGGCAGCTTCTACAGCCTCCCTTGAGCGGAAACCCATGGTGGCGGCGCGCGAGATGCAAAACTGCATAACCGATGCACTCGAAGCTCAGCTTCGCACGTGGGCGCGTCGAGCTAAACTTAGTGCTTTCTGCTCTACCGTACTGCATACATAGGTATCATAGGTATATGCGCCTGAGAGATGTTTAGGCGACAACCGTTTAGGTCAGCCTCCACGTGTACAGCCCCTCCCAGCATATCCGAGCCGCCGACAATGAGCCCCTGGCACATGAGAGCCCAGCTCACCTGGTGCGGAATCTGCTAAGGGCCCCTTTTGGCTTTCGGGCGGGTCCCTCAAAAGAAGTCTACGTATGGAACCTGGCCTGGGGCAGGCTTCAGGTTTGACAGGGTTTGACTGGCAAGTTCGGATGAAGCCCGGAGCCCTTCCTAAAGGCAGATTTTGCTTCCAGCGTTCCTTCACGCGACATCCTTTCCCACCACCCCCCCCCCCCCCCCGCTCCCTCCCTCGTCAAGTGACATGACAAAACCTTACATGAACAGTTAGTATGAACACGACTCGTTGCCGGGGGGGGAGGTGCCAAGAAACAGTGCCCCTAAATCCTACAGAGCCTAAACCGACATTGCCCCGAAGATGGACAGACTCAGGACTTTTGGAAGCTGAGGGCCCTGGCGCAGGCTCGTCCACAAAGCCGAGACAGCCTTTGCGGTGTAGGTCTTTTGTGGTTTCGAGGGCTTTTGGGAGTGTTGTAAGATTTAAGGTTTGCAGGGTTTACAGGGTCCAAAGGGTCTAGGGTTCCCCTGAACACCCGGGCCTCGAAACCCCGCCGACTGATGCTTTTGGCCGAGCGGCACGCCGCTTGGAGAAGGACTTTGAGCGCCGCAAAGACTTCGGAGTGGATCGAACTTCTGGCAGCTGCTGCCGGGTGCTAAGTTTGGGGCCTATACAGGGTCTACAGGCCTTAGCTTACAGGGTGCACATAAAAGAAATGATCGGGTTTTAATGGGCTCTTCGCGTTGCAGAGCTCTTGCGATGGACAACCTCTAGAAACCCGAAGCATGAGGCGCCCAGTTGGGCGGGGAAGCTGAAACACCCAAAGGTTCTCGCACCCTGTTGTCAGGAGCACCCGCCCATCAGGTGCTGCGATTGCTGGACCACTTGCACTTCGTACTTAATCAGACCCCAACTCCCAAACTCTAAGCCCCAAACCCGAAATCCCACACACACTGAGCCCTGAACCTGAAATCATCCCCTCAACTGCCCGAAATCCCTTCCAACAGGCCTGAAAAGTCCCAGAACCCCTCGACCCCCCAAAATCCTAAACTCTTTGGAACTCAAACCTTCAGACAGAACATGCTTGAACACCCTCAACCCTTAAACCCGCAAGCTCTCTGACTCTTCAACCCCTAAACCGCGAAAAGCCCTAGGAAGCTTAAACCCTAAAGCCTACAAACCCTAAGACCCTAAATTTAGAACCCTATGTTCGCCTGAGCCCAAAAGCAGACCGAAGACCCTGGCGCTCCGCGGGCCTTCCTCGTCCTCCGACGCCGGCTCTTGGAAGAAGGCCTTTCGCAGGGGGGGGGGGGGGCATTTCGGGCTCGGATTGGGTTGCGGGCTTTCCGCTTGGCTCATACAGGTGTTTTTAGATTCTTTAGGGGATACAAAGGGATTATAGGGTTGGGGTTGCAACAGCTCCCTTAGCGGGACCGAAGTCTTCCGACAGGAATCCCGACTGTGGCTTACTTTACGGCTTCGGGCCATGCCCACACCCCATCCGATCCTCGATGATGTCGCGGCAGGAGCTTTCCTTGCTGAGAAAGATGGCAATGGGCAGCGTGACATCTCTGTAGGCGCCATCGTCCTCAGTGAGCGACACATCTTAGTAAGTCTATCTATCGCTTAGCGTAAGCTCGTACACAAGAAAGCTTGAGCCACGCAGTTCTTGGGTGGTGCTTGGGGGCTCTCCTCGATTGACACGCCGCCGATTCTCCGGAGGCTGTCCTGCCAATTCACAAGTTCTGTGTTCTGCGCCGGGAGTGATTGAAAGGAAAGCCACATGCTCCCCACAAAGGGAAGCTCAGCACACGTGGGTAGTTGGCCGACGCGCTTCAGATTGCCTGGTACTTTCCTTGTTTTTGGATGTTTTCCTTTGGTTTTTTCGGCTTTGCCTCGGGGTGGGGATAAGAACATCATTCATATAGCGTCCATGCCCAAACCACTGGTGTTCACAGCGATTTCGCCTCTCTTTGTACAACATACTTTACAAGGATGTGGAACAAGAAGATAGCGTCCATGCCTTTCTCGACCGTGCCCAAAACACTGGTATTTACAGCGTCTTACGCCCAAAACACTGGCATGTAGAGCGTTTTCGCCTCTTCGTACAACATACAAGGATGTGGAACAAGAAAATCTGTCACAAGCGTTTACCTTGCACGAATAAATCCCAAACATGCTGTGCCAAGAGCAAGAGGTTCACTAATAACTCCCAACCATGCTGTCCCAAAAGGAATAGTTTTTGGAACCCCCTAAAATCAGCTTTTCTGCTCCGTACCACGCCTGCCAGTACGAACGATGTGTCACGCAGAGCCCGCACCCAGGCAAACTAAGGCGCGTTAACCTAGTACTTACCCGGTAAGAGTATTTTTTTTGTTGCGGGTGTTTTTTTGCTGTGGGTGCGGGGGCGCGTTTCTTTTTTTGCTGCGGGTGCGGGGGCGCGTTTTTTTTGTTGCTGCGGGTGCGGGGGGCGCGTTTTTTTGTTGCTGCGGGTGTGGCGGCGCGTTTTTTTTTTTGCTGCGGGTGCGGGGGCGCGTTGTTGCTGTTTTCTGTATATTTTAATATGAACATCTCGATTTTCTGTGTATTTTTATAGGAAAACCTCTCTCTCCTCTAAAATTGAATATGAAAACCTCTATTTTCGCTACATTTACTATGAAAACCTCCATTTGTCTTATTTCTCTATACTTTAATACGAAAACCTCTATTTCTCTCTCTTTTATTGTCATAGTTTTCCTCTGTATTTATTGAGGAAGACATGAGAGAGGAATACATGAGAAACAAATTCTCTGTGTTATCTTACATGTGACTTGCAATTAAAAGTGTTTTTGTTCTTCTGGTCCGAATTTTAATCGGAAAACCTGTGTTTTCTCTGTATCTTAATAGGACAACCTCCATTGTCTCAAAACTTGAACATGAAAACCTCTCTCTTTTCTCTATACTTTAGCAGGAAAACCTCTTTATTCTCTTTTCTTGTTAGTTTTACAGAAACCTCTATTTTACCCATATTTGAATCTCAAGACCTCTGTATTTTAATATTAATATAGAAACCCTCTACATGTCTGCATATTTTAGATGTTGTCATAGGAAAACCTCTATTTCTCTATATGTTATAATGAAAACCTCTATTTTCTATAGTTTACTATTTTGTCAATATGTTCAGACTTCTTCTCTATACTTCACGAGGAGGACATGAGAGAGGAATACATGAAAAGCTAAATCTCTATGTTTTCATAAGAGTACATCATGCATTATCTCTATCTGTGACTCGCAGACAACAAGTATTTTCGTTCATGTTTGCCATATTCTCATAACAAGCTCTAATTTCTTTTCTGCAAACGCTAAATTATTGTTCTAATCGGAAAGTTTAACTTCCACTATAAGTTCTGAATTTTCGTAGGAAAGCAGCATATATTCCCTCTTTTTTCACGGGGGTTGGGGGCTGCGCAGCCCCCGCATTTGCAAACACAATGCTCGCATCATGGGTTTGGAAGGGATTGGAATGCTTTGAAGCAGGCTTGACCGGCTAGAAAGCGCCGGGGGCGGGGGGGCGGGGCGCAGCCCCCCCCCCCCCCCATTTGCAAACACAATTCTCGCATCATGAGTTTAAAAGGGTTTCGTGTGCTTTGAAGCAGGCTTGCCCGGCTAAAAACAACCGGGGGTTGGGGGGGGGGGGGCGGGGGCAGCCCCCCATTTGCAAACACAATGCTCGCATCATCATGGGTTTGGAAGGGATTCGTATGATTGAAGCAAGTTTGCCCGGCTAAAAAAAAGCGCAGCCCTCCCCAATTTCAAGCGTGGGGGATGCTCGCATGATGGGAAAGGATTCATATGCTTTGAAGCAAGCTGGCATGGCTTTAAGAAGCGGGGGGGGGGGGGGGCAGCCCCCCCCCATTTGCAAACCCAATGCTCGCATAGGCTTGGACAGGATTCAAAAGCTCAGAGGCGACGGTTTAAAAGAGCAAGGGAGCTGGGCGGGCGCAGCCCTCCCTCCGCCGTTTGCAAACACAATGCTCGCATGGGCTTGGGAAGGATTCAATGCTTTGAAAATGCTTGCACAGTTTAAAAGACGAGGGGTGTTGGGGGGGCGAGGGGGGGGGGGGTGGGGAGGAAAATGGGGAGGAAGGGGGTGGGGGCGGGGTGGGGTGGGAGGTGGTTGTGGGCGCGTTTTCTTTTTGCTGCGGGTGCGGGGGCGCGTTCTTTTTTGCTGCGGGTGCGGGGGCGCGTTTTTTTTTGCGGCGGGCGCGGGGGCGCGTTTTTTTTTTGCTGCGGGCGCGGGTGTGAGTTGCTCACTTACGGGGGCGCTTTTTTTGCTGCGGGTGCGGGGGTGCGTTTTTTTTTTTTTTGCTGCGGGCGCGGGGGCGCGTTGTTTTTTTGCTGCGGGCGCGGGGGAAGTTGCTCACTTACGGGGCCGCCCCCCGTAATTCCCGTGGTTACCCTTCTGATGGCAAGCGACCAAGTCCCTAAACCCTAAATCCTAAACCCTAAACCCTAAACCCGGCAGGAAAAGGTGGAAAGGGGATATTACAAAAATGAAGTCTCGGCCGTGCCTCCTTTGCGAGAATCGAGGAGATGCTGTCCAGGAGGAGCTCACACTTCTCCCGCGCTTCCTGAGCAGCTTGAGCGGGAACTTTTGAAAAGCCCCTAAACCCTAAACCCCAAACCCCAAACCCCAAAACCCTAACTCTGAACCCAAACTCTAGGGGATTAAGGGCGGTGGCGGTCTGACTCCAAGATGCCCCGGAGTTGCCCGAATCCAGGATTATGCTAGGGCATCCAGCAACAGAACTAGGCATCATCCTCGCTGCTGTGATGTGAGCCATGTAGCAATCGTAGCAATCATGATCCCATAATCTTCATAAGAACCATACTGGCCATGTATCAGTCGTAGTAAGCATAATGATACTAACAATGATCCCTTTTCAGAGGAGTCCTGAACCGGCTCCAAGCCGGATGAGGTTGTCGGGAGTGGGATCTGGACCTTCGCCTGCATTGACGGAATTCTGTGCCACCGTTTGTAGACTGTAGGGTGTAGGGCTGGTAGAGTTTAGGGTTTTTCGAGCTTAGAGTTTAGGGTTTATAGAGCTTAGGGTGCATGAGTCTCGGTTAATGGGTTTATGGGGTTTAGGGAGTATGGGTATACGTAGGGTTTAAAACAGTCCACAAAAATTGATACAAACACTATTAGCAGCAAGACTTTTTCCAGGCTACCCCTTTTGGGATTCCGATACATGTCGGTGTGACATTAGCGGCATCCGTACTTTGGGAAATAGCCAGCTTTCAACCAATGCATGGGTCTAGCCCTTGCAACAAGTTGTCATACCAAACACGCCCCTTATACTAACAGTCCTCAATCGAAATTATAGCACTCATAATAATCCCTAGTAAGGACTGTGAGTATAAGGGAATACCTCCCAACTGCTTGAGCAAACGACACCCAAACCAACACGGATCAGCAAAAGGCATTATTTGCCTCGACGATTTCCCACGGCAACGTGATTAGCTCTTCCTGGATCCCTCTCGGGTACAGGTCCAATGAGACCTCGCCACATACCTGGAGAGAGGCAGAAGTTTCCACAACAATTAGGGAACCTATTTTGGGGCCCTTTCTCAGGGGATTCTCATGGAACACATTGAGTTCTATAAGGGGTACCCCTCTGTTGGGACCCTAAACCCTGAACCCCTAAGCCCCTAGCCCCAAACCCCAAACCCCAAGCCCCAAACCCCAAAGCCCCAAAGCCCCAAAGCCCCAAAGCCCCAAACCCCAAACCCTAAACCCTAAACCCTAAACCCCCAACCCATACGAGGCTTGGCCTTTGTTTCCTGGGATCCAGGCGATGGCGGAGGGCAAGTTCACCACTTCGACCAGCTCAAGGATGCTTGCCTCCTCGAGATGCTGGGCGCGGAAAGGGCTTAGCTAGGGTTTAGGGGGTTTAGGGTTGAGGGGTTTAGGGGTTTAGGGGTTTAGGGGTTTAGGGGTATAGGGGTATAGGGGTTTAGGGGTTTAGGGGTTTAGGGGTTTAGGGGTTTAGGGTTTAGTTTAGGGTTTAGGGTTTTGTACATCACACAAGTCATGTGAACCCTAGAAGTGCTAGCCTATACGTCCTACAAATCACAGAAACCCCATAAACTCCTATAGCTAACTCCTATGAAGCGCACAAGTAAGCCCTTGAGCCCCTTAAAACATGACACGTAGCTAAACCCAAAACACCCCGAACACCCCGAAGTCAAGAAACAAAACCGCGGAATACCCGAAAAAGACACGAAACGCGCTCTGAGATTCTCCCTGGAGGTTTTGTTTGTGTTTTTGGTTCGGGCGGTTGTGGGGGCGCTGGCAAAACCCCGTGTTTCGCGAGTGAGGTTCGCGGTTTTCCCTGTATACTTTCAAGCAAACCGAAACAAAAAAATCAGGACAAACCAGATAGCCAAAAACGACAGGACGAGTTCTCCGATTCTCCCTGGATGTTTTTCGTTTTTTAGCTTTGCTACACGCCTACCATATGTCAGCAGGAAGGCCCATCTGTTTGCCTTACTGCACGTAAACATTCTGCAAGATCCACATCTGAAGAGGATGCCCGCTTCCGGAATAAATTGTAGCTCATCGCAGAATGTCTGACAGACCGCCCTGCTCCTGCTCGCGCTCGACGGCCTCCAGTACTGCGGGCCTGAGGCATGGAAGCCGCTCTCCACAACGAGACATAGGCTTCCGAACAGAGTCGAGGCCAGGGAGCAAAAACTGAAGGCTGTGCAGCACTGCCAACGTGCAGCTACTGTATGGGGAGAAGCAGCCAGTACTGGCAATAGAAGTGCAAGCAGAAGGAACAGTACCAGCGCAGCGGGAATTATAGCCAGGAGCAGTGCTTGCACTAGCAGTGGCGACTTGTGGTCTTTGGTGGGTGGTGTCTGCAGCCGTAGTCGTTGCCGTGGCCATGGTAAGACTCGCGGTCACGCCTGTATAGTGGTATACATGGAGTAGTCTGGGGGCTTTGTGCTCGTGCAGAGTTTGGTGGCGTAGCCACGCGTCCTAATTGGAAAGCTACACATCTCTTCTGTGGAAGCTCGAAGAATCAAAGTCGCGTGCCGCGCACTGCTACAGTAGCAGAGAACGAACGAGCCATGGGCCAATCGTGCCGCTGCTGTTTGTGGATGTCCTCCTGATGCCAAAGGGTGAAATGCGCCAAGCTCTCTTCCTCTTCTTTTTGTTCTTCTGTCTCCCTTCCTTCCTTCCTCCCTTCCTTCCTTCCTTCCAGCGTCTTCCTTCCTTCCTTCCGTGTCTCTGCATCTCTCGCTCTCTCTCGCTTCTCTCGCTTTTCACCCTTCCAACTTGAAACCGCGTACAACCCCCAAACCTCCATAAGCCGCTGCAGCCTCTGTAAACCCTATCCTCTGAGCACGCTGAAGCCCTCAAACAAGACCTCACCACTCACTTCTACAAAGCTTCCGAAGCATTCGGTGTTTGGGACTATCCGGCTCTTGCCTGCACCAGGCGAATGTTGGCTTCCTGTTCTGGCCAGGGGCTTACAGGGCTGCGGAAGAAGCCTGGGGTTTGTCATTTTTTTTTGCTTCGGCCTTTTCATGCGCCTTGGTGTTTTCGATTCATCCAACCTCTATGGAATCCGGGCCTCGGCCTTGTGATGTCTTTCCGACTCTCACGCCGACGCTCTGTTCACACCAGAGCCTACTCCCTGAGTTTAAACGCTCCTGCGTTTGAGATTGGCGCAAGACCAACACGCCAACTCCCATCATTGAGTGCAGACACAGACCACAGCCCTACAACCCCCCAAAAAACCCTACAAAAAAAACCCGAAAACCCGATAGAAAATAGGGACCCCCAAACCCTAAACCCTGGACCCTAGACCCTAAACCCTAAAGCATGAAAGGATGCAGAAGGCCTTCAGCTGGACAGCGAGCTCCCTGTAAGACTCAAGGTCCAAGCGATCCACCTGCACAAAACCATGCAACAACACGACAGATTCGGAGGTTAGGGTCAGGGTTGAGGGTTTAGGGTTTAGGGTTTTGGGGTTTCTGGGGTTTTGGTTGGGGTTTTCTGGGGTGTTTAGGGGGCTCAGGATGCCCAAATGTAAGTATGTTCCATGAGTGGTTGCTCATTACAGGGCCTCCGAACAAGAACCTCTTGGAATGGATCTGAAAAGAAGGACCCTCGAACAACCTCCACTTGTTCCTAAAACCCCTCGAAGAACGGCGGACCTGCTCTCGTTTTTTAAGGCCAGCACTGTTCATGTCAGCCAGTGAGACATCGCAGAATCTTGTCATGATCCGACTCAGTAGCGATAGATGGATTGAATCTCAATTTCTTGGGCATTCCTTAGCGCCCTCTCTTCTTCGGCAAGGCGGGCTCTGCGACAGCAAAGACCAGCCACAACAACCACGAGCGTCGCCACTGCGACTGCATACCAGAAAAGGCTGCTGTCGTTATCCCCACTATCTTTGTCATCCTCGGCTGATGTAGATGTCGTGGTTGTGGTCGTGGTCGTGGTCGTGGTGGTGGTGGTGGTCGTGGTCGTGGTCGTGGTCGTGGTGGTGGTGGTGGTGCTGGTGGTGGTGGTCGTCGTCGTGGTGGTGGTGGTGGTCGTCGTGGTGGTGGTGGTGGTGGTTGTGGTGGTGGTGGTGGTTGTGGTGGACGTGGTCGTTGTTTGCTCTTGCGGATCCACGGCCGGGAACGGAGCTGGCATGTTGGGGATGTTCGGTGGCATGGGTGGGGCAACTGCGGCACCCTCTTCGGCCGGCGCCCCGGTGCTGAGGCCCAGACAATTGCCCGAATCAACTTTGTAAACTCCGGAACAAATCGTGTTGGGGTCAGCCACCACACGTGTGGCCAAGACCTGCTGGGATGTGCCGTTGCCAGCATCTTCACTGTATGCATAGAATGCCACAAAGAAAGTGGCCTTATTCTCGACCAGTGGCACAATGCCACTGCAGGCATTTGGGAACTCGCCGAAGGGCTTTGCGCAGCCCAGTAGCACGGGGCTGCACACGAGGGATGCAGTCGGACAAGTTGTTGCAGCTGGTGTTGCCACGGCGGCAGTCGCCCCCTTCTCTTGTTGCCAAGCGATGCTGTAACTGGACGCACAGTAGTGAAAGCACTGCACGATGGCCCTCTCCTTCCAGGACCCAGGAGTGGCCCCCAAGATACCAAAAGCAACAATACATCAACATCCCAGCAAGACTAAAGTGAGATGGGTGAGGATGGACTTCGGGCGGCCTGAGTGGCGAATCTAAAGGAGTGCGGTTTAGAGGTCACAACGTTTACGCCAGTGGTTTTTGGAAGTGAGAATGAAACAATGCGCTAGTTTGCCCTTACAGATGTCTGTTTGGTTGGTTTTGGCGTTTATGACTTTATGGTTTAGGGTTTGAATTTGATGTTTCCGCCACGAATGTTGGATGGACAATAGCACTTCGCGTCAGTTCCCGCCTGCAAAGTGTTTGCTTTGTCGGTCTTTGCCTTGCAGTTTGGGGCCTCGGGTTTCGGGCTCTGAAAACTCCGGACCGCGGTCGGAAAAAACACGTTGTTTTATCAATCGCCTCCTTTATCGGAACCTCGTGTAAGGGCTGCTTTGGGGGCTTGCTATGTTGTATCCTTCGAGGTCGCCAAGTAGCCTCGCCACTTATTGGGGGGGGTGTTCTTTTGCAGTTGTGGCCCTGGTGCCTCGAGGTTTGTCATGGCTGCCAGCCCGTCCGGAGTGCAGCCGCCGGGGCCCCCCATGGAGTCGGTTTGCAAATTCACCGAGCATGTCGCTGTCACGCTGCGGAGAACAGCCGCAAGCAGCCAGGCTCTCAGCATCTGCGCAGTGCCGCGGCGATTCTGGTGTACTCGCAAACTACGACTCGCTTCTGGCATCTCTTCGGGCAAGAATCCGAGAAGCAAAGGGTGTGCTCGCACGTCTCAACGACGCTCTCAATGCATGTAAGTCACAGTCCACCAAAAGACGTGGCCCAAACAACCAACCTTCAACCCAACAAACCCCATGAGACCCTGCAAGCCCTGTGAGCCCAAACGACCCTATGTAAACCCTGCAAAAACCCCATTACCCATTACAAACCTTTTTAGGAGCCCCATAAACAAACCAAAACCCAACACCAGCGGCTCTGCGGGCAACACGGAGGGGCCAGCCTCCACCCCCAACTCGCGGCACAGCCGCGCACGCCGGAGCAGCCCGTCCACCGCCCGGAAGTCGGATGCTTCGGAGGCCTACAAGGGGCCCCCACATTGACATTCACTATCTAGGGCTAGTAAAGGTTTAATGTTAGCCGGTTCCTGCTTTCTTTAAACGGTCCACGGGTCTTATATGATTCTAGAAAGGGCAGCGAGGCCCTGCCAATTGATTTCAACCCACAAAATTTTCTGACGGAACGCTTTGACTAAATTCGGAACCCCACTCTGGAGCCCCAAAGTCAGTGCGCCCTGAATAGCCAGGCCCCGCAAAATTGACTTTAAACAGGGGGCCCCCCCGACTAAAGCGCATTAGGCCGGTTCAGGGTTTAATTGGGTTTCAAGTGCATGTGGGTTCTTGGCGGGATCTCTCAGCCACGCTTTTGAGCAAGATCAGATCTTGATTTTGGGCTTATAGACTGTTGGTTTGGGGTTTAGGGTGTTCGGGTCTGAAGCTGTCATCGCTAGGGTCTTCTGGGTGGCGACGTTTGGGCGAGTTTGGCATCTGTACCCTAAAGAGACTCTAGACGTCATCGTGAGGATAGAACTGGGATTTCGGGTTTCTATGTTTTCAACAGAAAGAGTGCCTGCTTCAGGTGCCTCTCGAGCCGACTCAGGTCCTCCTCCTGCGTGCACTGCGCCGGGCTGCGTGGTTTGGGGTGTTGGGCCGTTGGGGGGGAAGTGTGTGGGGGATCAGGCGCTCCTTCATCGCCGAAGACCCTGACCCCTCCAGCCAAAAAGGCAGCAAAGTGATCACGCCCAAGTACGTTCCCAAATTCCCCCCACGTTTGAACCAGTTTGTGCCTTCAAGTCTTCCAGCGTCTTCAATGCGCTGGCCAAGTCCTCCACGCAACAACTTCGCAGCTCGAAGAGGCTCGAAGCTCTCGGCCAATAGCGAGATTGGGGAGGGTAGCTCTCTAGATAAGGGTCACTTTTTTGGAGGGTCTCCTGTATAGTACGGATGCTAGAGATACGGACCCACAAAAGCCAGCCTAATTTCGAAGAGAGAGAGAGAGGTTTGCGTGGGCAGCTCTCTTTCTTTCTTTCTTTCTTCCGTTCGTTCTTTCTTTCTTTCTCTCTCTCTCTTTCAGAGTCCTTCTCCGGGAGGCCGTCCTCTTGCTGAGCCTGGCCGAGGCAACTTTCAAAGGGTTCAGGGCTTCGGGTGTATGTAGGCATGAGCCTCTGAAGCCAACCAGGTAACCAACCCGTAACCCATGTACACCCACAAGCCCGTAAGCTCCGGAATCCCATATCAACCCAAAGCCCTCATTCCTGCCAAGCTCTCCACTCAAACCCGACAAACCTTGGCACACAGAAACCGACCAGGACCAAGATGCCTGAACTCCCTGAACCCTATCGACCCTACAAACCCTACAGATCCTTAAAACCCTAAACAACCCTTAACAAACCCTTAACAAACCTAAAAGAAACTAAAATCCTAAGCCGAGGGCAGATTCTGCAGATACTGGCCGATGCCTCCACGACGGCTTGGTGGAGACGCTGGAGGTCCATCGACTGCAGGGAGTTGCGGTGAAAGAGGACTTCGGGTTGTAGAGGGATGCTGAAACCCTTAGGCAAGAGAAACTTTCTTCAGGTTGGACAGCGGTGCACTACAAGCACTTGGCGTGCTGCATACTGACAGCAGACAGAGAGAGCTTCTTGTGGCCGCGGCGACTGCTGGAGTCCTCACGGTCGTGGGCTCACGGTCTCCTGGTGTCTCGCATTTTGGCATGCTTTGGCTCACTCCTGCGAGAACTCGAAGGTGGACAAGAGATCCCGCAGGGTCACCGTGAAGACCTCGTGCGGGATGGGACCAGCACCATGCACCACCAGGTCATCATTCTCAATGATTCCGGCAGAGGTGAAGCCAGCCCCGCTCACGCAGAGGGTCGGTTCAGGATCCTGTTGGACCTCCCAGACGCCACGACCTGTGCCAAAAATCGGGAGGGGGTGCCCCTTGTCTCAAGTACCAGCTGAAACCAGAAAAGCCCCAGTAGCCTGACTGGAGGTTGATCCATTTGTTCTCAAACTCTCGTGCAGGGCTACACTGTAAGAAAGCCAAATATGCCCCCAAATAGCCTAGAGTGTTGCTCAAGCCCCCCCAAAATGGGCCTTCATGGGCGCCCTCACCGCGCAAGAAGGCGCTGGAAAGCTCGTCTTTCGGGCCTGGGCGGCTCGTGCAGCCGATGATCGTCCGCTGGCTGCCGTAGTTCTCGTCATCTCGCCTCGGGTTTCGGGCTTTGGCTGTGGGGGAAGGAGTCTGAGCTTCAGCTGATTGGGAGTTGAGGGAAACGATAGGGCAGAGAAGCTCAAACCAAAAAACAAAACTATAAATGTACACACATATATATATATACAATCACATACATATACTCACATGCATACACATGTGCATTTGTCTTTTTGATCATGGGCTAACGTCGGAAGCCGAAGAACGCTGACTCAAGCACGACCTCTCAAACTTCAATCAGCCAGCCCCTGTCTGTGCCCCATTTTCCGAAAGAGCCCTCCGCACGCACTCTAACTTCAACGCATCGGCACAAAGCACCTGTTTGAAGCTGGAACCCACAAATTGCTATGAGTCTACGAGCATCAGACCCTGCTAATGCAAAGATGGCAATGTTTATCTGACCGTAGCACACGCTGCATCGGGAATTGTTTTTTGCTGTAAAAGATAGTTTCGTGTCTCTGTTTCGATTTTTGTACGAGTATCAGTATACAGGATTGATACATACATTTTCTAATCTCTAGTTTCGATGCTAGAGATGATGGACTTTGCCTTTGTTGCGTTCGCTCGTTCTTTCTGGTATATATACAAAAGCAGTTAGATGGGTGGTTGTCAAAATTCTGATCCGTTTTGGGGTACGAGTACCTCAAATACTAGGTGCCGTATGTTGTCTTCCCACTCCATCCTGTATCTTGTGTGCACTTCGGGCGATCTGAGCTGCGGACCGCCAGGTGTGGTATTTGCTACTCTGCGCTTGGCCGTCGCCGCGCAGCAGCAGAACGTGGCACTCGTAGTCATGAGCCACCTCGGACTCTCTCTCTCTCTCCCTCCCTATCTCTCCCTCTCTCTGTCTCTCTCTGGAGATTTTTTCGCAAGCTGAAAGTGGCTTCAGAAATTTCTTGCAACCCTAGAGCCTGAACCCTCTAAAACCTGTCAGCCCCTGTCATCCCCAAAAAAATCCTACACACCCTGTAGACTTTGTCAACCCCCTAAACCCTTTTAAGCACCTAAACCCTTTTGAACACCCTAAGCCCTCTCCTAGGAGGGTTCGGGGCTCTCAGGCTCCAAGGGTTGATGCGCCTCCTGCTTCTCATCCGGCTTCTCTCCCTTCTTCCACGTCCACCGCCCCTCCAGCCTGTGGACCTCAGAATCTGAGTGGGAGTGACAAGAACGCTTTCCGGCAACAGCTGCCCAGCGTTTAGCATTTTCAAGACGGAGTGACTGGCTGAGATATCGTGCATGGACTGGGCCACAACACTGTGTGCATATGCAAAGATACTGAGCCTGTATTGTCTGCAGGTGCTGTCACTGTACGATACTTCACGGAATGGCGGGTATATGTCTTGGAGTGAGAGCTTTGCGACTTTCACCCACTCGGGCTCCGAACCACCAGCTGAATCGTCACATCTGAGAGGTCCGCGCTGCACGAAATGCGATCCTTCCGCTTAGATTGACAACGCGATGCTGCAACACGTGACAAGAAAAGTCTCACTGTTTTCGGTGATCCTCCATGCGCAGCGGCAGCCCATCTCTCAGGAAGCTGCAGCTGCCTAGGGCATCCTGGCTGGTCTTCTGCAACTCCTGCACATGAGACCGACTCCCACCGCCAGCATTGCTTCCATTCTTGCCGACGGGCTGCAGAGCAACAAAGCCACCTCTCAACTTGATCCACATATCATCATATATCCACATCTTCAGACCAGCCTTCGCCAAGTCGGACACGACTGCGTTGGACTGCAGGACCTGAGGCAAGGGTGAAGATGGCTTGAAGAGAAATCCGCAAACATGCTGTGCCTGGAGAGTTTGAGTTTAAGGGAGTTCAGATAGCACGTCCCATGGTTGCCATAGCGCCGAGCAGCAACAGTTGAGTGGGTCTCCCCAGTGGTGGCAAAGGCCACGGTGACCCTGAGCTCGCTCATCCTCAAATGCGCCATTTAAGGTTTAGGGCGCAGTTAGGGCTTAGCAGGAAGTCAGGTCATCGTGAAACTTGTTCCCCAAGCACCCCTGAACCCCAAAAAAAGGTTGGCATACTCCGCCTTCTGTTCTAGCCCATCAATCATGGCTCCTCTCCCCCCAATAAACAGCCCTCCATGAGCCGCGCTGCCCAGCCGGCTCTTGGGCTTCTGGGCCCGAAGACTTGGAGGTCGTCCTTGGGTCGATGGGCGCGACACAGCGCGACGCCGCGCTGTGCTTGCAGAGAGCGCGAGAGACTTGAAAAAACAGTTCTAACAATCCCCTGCTTCCTGCAAGCATACTTGTGTATGACGGAGTGAGGAAGTGTAGATAAGCAGACATCGACTTTTGAGGGTCCATCATGGCTTCGACTTGCCCAAAAATCTTCACAGGGGCAGCCGGGAGTCGGAGTCGGAGCTGAGCGGGCACTGCCCATGCTGCTCGAAGCGGCAGAGGGAGTTTGAGGGCCCCCTAGGGCTGATGGACATTTATGGTTCGTAAGGTTACTTGGTTGTGGAGGGTTTAGAGGGTTCATAGGGTTTATAGGGTTTAGAGGGTTCATAGGGTTTATAGGGTTTGGAGGGTTGAGAGGGTTTTTTTGGGTTCAGAGGTTTAGAGGGTGTGCTGGGTTTGCAGGGGTTATAGAGTTTGGGATTCCCGTTCGGACCTCTGCGTGGGTTTGTATTTGCTTTTGAGCCTTGGCTGAGGCGTTGGAGCGTTTGGAGCCGGGCAATGAAGTTTTGCGTACTATATACAGTAGAAATATCTTCAGCCAGTATGCGAAAAATACTGATGAGTCCCAGTGTGCTACCACCATAGTACAAGCATACAGGCATACACTCAGGAAACTGCGCAGACACACATGCTAAAGTAAGTAAACAGGGTGCTGCGCCGACGCTTGCAACCTGCGATGCCAACCCTAACCCGATTTGGAAGGCGCGCAACTGTTTGCACACGAAGGCAGGGTCGCTGCTGAATCTGGCCCCTTCAGCATTCCTCGACACCAAGGGGGGTATTAAAGACTTTCACATCTTGGTAGATGTTTCGCAACTCAGGAACCAGCCACGCAGCGAAGTCAAAGTTCTGCTCCAATGTGGGAGTCGGTGGCAAGGCGATGTCCTTCCATCTGGCTTCTCTGGCTTCGGCTCGCTCCTCCCAGGAGGCCGGTGGCTCTTCTGGCAGTGTCTCGTCCCAAAAACCGTCGGCCTGAGCATCGGCGGGTGCTGCTGGCGCCCTGTGCGCTGGTGCCACCGGCTGCTGTGGAAGCCGAGGGCCCGCCCTCTGCTCCGTCTCGTGGAGCAAGGCGTTGCACAGCTTCTGTTCTTGGCGGATCCACTGCATCGTCGCCATGAAATTCTCACGGTAATTCACATGTTTCCGGTTCGTCAGATGCCCATCCGTAAAGTGCTTGGTGCAGGCCATGCACATGACGCTGGATAGGACAGGGTCCACGCCCATGAAAGGGTCCTGGCATGTGCATTGCGGATTCTTTGCTAGCGCTGAAGTGCACTAGAGCCATCGTCAACTCTCTCATTTAGCATCGTTACAATGGGAGCACTAGTTCATGTTTTGTACAACAATGTACAAACATTCCGGGCGTTGTAAGCGCTGTGTAGAAAAATGTTAGACACGATTGATGAAATGGTTTGAAGTGACGCCATAAGCTGAGAATTTGGGGCTATGCAAAGTGCTGTAAAAACACTTCAAAATGCTTACGCAGTGTTGCACTTGTGTATTTCGACAAGCCCATGCATGAGTTCCCAACAGTTCCCCATAGTTCCCCCACCAAAGCTTTGTAACCCGGGGTCCTGGACAATGGGCTCAGAGGCGCCCAGCTGTCGGGCCATCTGCTGCAGTTCTTGGACGCTGGCCGGAGGTGCCGAGACAGGTGCCGAAACAGGTGCCGAGACAGGTGCAGCGCCATAGGTTGGGGCCGTGGCCGGGCCGGGGTGCAAGGTCTGGGTTGGGCAATCCAAGGTCGGATAATTCAAAGCAGAACGTCTGTTGCTCCAGGCCTCCGTGGCCAGGGCATCAAGGCCGAAGCCGTTCACGAGGCGGGAGACTTCCTCCCGGCGGGTGCCTTGCCGACTTTGACCTGCGGATACGATGTAGGCCAAGGCCATTGCGAGCCAAGTGACGCGCTTCCTGATCTTCATGTTAGAGCCCATACCAATAGCTCTTACATCATCAAGCTCGAGCATTAGTGCGCAGGTCTCGTTGTGCCATTTCCCTGCATGCCGGAGGATTGGCAAAACGTAGCCTGTGACGTCGTGCTCTGTGGCTTCCATCCGGCTCTTCAGCGTTTCCAAACCCATGCAGGAATCCAAGATCTGAGCGGCCGAGGACAGCAGGGGCGAGTCAGGAACCATACGCAGGCAGAGGACTTTCTGCTCGGTCTGAAATGGCAGCCAGAGGACTTCTCCATGGCTCGTTGCCTCCATTGCTACTGCCGGGGGCAAGGCTTGCACGACCACTGCGATTTCAGGCAACGGCGCAGCTTTCTAGTCGTGTGGCCAGCTGGCTAGACCCAACTAAGCCCTCAATCCCACACCCTCAAAGCTTCCATTTTCGGGAGCTTTTGTCTTGAAGGTGCTTTCTGGCTTCAGCATGGTCCCGAACTGGTCTCATGAGCCCATCGCATTACTGGAGACTCGCGTCTGCGACATGCCGCAAGCAACTCTTGGGTGGCGCACTTGCTGGACCTTCAGTGCCCAGCCTCCATTGCTCTTGTCAACTGCTGCCGAAGGCCCAAGAGACGATCCAGGAGTGAGCGGGCACCCGCCAAGAGCTCCTTTCCGGAGCTGAAGGCTAGATCCCTACGACAAGCAAATAGCCAGCTAATCGGGGAGCAGTGCAACAGACATAGGCTAGTCGGGTAGATTGTTGCACAAAAGCCGAGTGCCCGACGCTGTCGGTCACATTGTCCTGGCACGCAGCGTGCAGGGCCTGATAGATCAGCTCGGCGTCGCAGGTGTCCATAGCCTCTTTGCGATAGGGGTCGCAATGCCCATTGCAGCGGTTCTTGAGACGGAGTCTTGCGAGATTTTTGGGGTGATGCAGCCTTGGCCAGGTTCTCCATTGCTACATCCGAGCGGTGGAAGGCTGTCAGTGCTTCGGCTCCCGGTTGCAGCTGCTCCTGTCGGGCACTGAGGATGCCGCTTTTTGCGATTTTTTTTCGCAGAAGGCCTGGCAGATGCCGCTGTGCTGCGTGTTGTCGAGGGCGGCCCTGATTCGGTCAGTGTCTCCGATCGAGACCTAAGCCAAGGCAAAGCTCCCCCTCCCCGGAACGTGGCTTTGCATGTCAAAAGTATGCTCATATGAAGTAGGGTTTGTAGTAACAGCACTGAGGACTCGAGGTCGTGAATCCTATGAGGATGAGACAAATTAGAGCACGGTAAGCAAGAACATCAAAAGTCGAGGACATGATATTGCCACTCAATGGTTTCTTCGCAGAACGGAGGAGATCTTGCTTGTATCCCGAAAAGGACACCCACTACACTAACCCATATTTATATGGAACCCTACTTACACTCACCAAAAACAGCAGCATGTTTGAAAGCTGGGCTCCCCAGCCATAATCTCCAGCTCCCTGGCCAGTTGGCTCCACTGTTCATGGGCAGAGCGAGGCTCGGCCTAAGAGAAAGAAGGGCCCCTTAAAGGGGGGATAGGGTTGTTGGGCCTTGCAGCAAGTGAAGAACTTGTCATCCTGAGCCAGGAAACGTCCCCCAAATTACCGGAAGTTGACCGAAACCCCACAGATCTCTGAAGTTACGCTACATATTCCCCTTTAGTGCACCCCAGGAATTCAATCCAAAGCCAACGCAGGGGCTCCCGCGATCTCTTGGGGCTTGCAGCCCGCGACCTCTCCACTACTCTTGTAGGGTTCTGAAGGTTCAAAGGAGGTACCCCAAGGTTCCCCAAGACTCCCCACTGCTCCCTATAAGGCTCCCTAGACACTCCCTAACATTCCCTAGGTCCTGGGCCGGTTCATCTTTGCCTGGACAGCCCTGCCCCCTTCACCCGGAGATTTTTCTTGTTGAAAGGACTTGAGCAACTTGAGATCTTAGTTAGAATGGGCTGGCACCATAGTCTGTGGGCTTAAATCTGGGAGCCCTCGGTTGAAAAAGCCCTTGGGGGTACTTTCCAGCTGCTCCGGCCTCTGCCAGTCTCAATGCCCTGCGTGTCGCCGGCACGTCGCCGGCCTGCAACACCTCGCACAAGAAGCTAGCCGGTTCGGATAGGAGTTTCTAGCCTGAAACCCTAAACCCTAAACCATGGGGCTGTAGGATGTTAAGATGCTGTGAGACACCAGAGGGAAGCCCTCTGAGCCCGACCCGAAGAGCACTTCCAAGCCTTACGAAGCATTTGCATGCCCCGAGCCCTACAGGATCCTACAATGAACGAAGTGAAGCGAGAACACCATGAGAATTATGTGAACGAAGTAACCGGGCTAATCATTTAAGAAAGACGCAAGGAAACGCGCGAGCTGTTACTATATTCTGAGTGCGCCCGGACAATAGTAGTATTTTCTTAGTGGTTTTGGCTGACTATCTTCGTGAGCACAGAATATAATACCATTAACACGCCCGAAACATAGTAATTTTTTAGGTGCGTGTGAAAGAATAACAGGTAGGGCACATTGGACGAGGCTGGAGGCGAGCATCATGAGCATCATCGGGGCTCGTTTCCCGCCCTCCAAGCCCTATTGCTCCAGACGCTTGCTGCACCAACTCCCACAAGTGGTTGGGCACATTGGACGAGGCTGGAGGCGAGCATCATGAGCATCATCGGGGCTCGTTTCCCGCCCTCCAAGCCCTAATGCTCCAGACGCTTGCTGCACCAACTCCCACAAGTGGTTGGGGCGGGGGGGGCGGGGGCAGCGAAGGGAGGGCTCGGGCATGCACTGGAGCCCAAAAAAACACTCCATTCTAACAGCAAGGCAGCGGGAGGGGTGGGCGGGAGTGGGGCATGCAAGGCAGCGGGAGGGGTGGGCGGGAGTGGGGCATGCACTGGAGCCCTTAAAACACGCCAGTCCAGCGGAGGGGGTCGGCGGGGGTGGGAAGGGCGGGGGGCTCGGGCATGCACTGGAGCCCTTAAAAACACTCCATTCTAACAGCAAGGCAGCGGGAGGGGTGGGTGGGAGTGGGGCATGCACTGGAACCCTTAAAACACACCAGTCTGACAGCAAGGCAGCGGGTGGGAAGGGCAGGGGGAGCGGAGGGGGCGGGGGGGGCGGGGGGGCACTGGAGCCCTTAAAAACACTCCATTCTAACAGGGAAGGGGGGGGCGGGGGGCGGGGGGGGCGGGGGCAGCGAAGGGAGGGCTCGGGCATGCACTGAACCCTTAACACTCCATTCTAACAGCAAGGCAGCGGGAGGGGTGGGCAGGAGTGGGGGCACTGGACCCCACACGCCAGTGACAGCCAGCGGAGGGGGTCGGGGGGTGGGGGGCGGGGGGAGCGGGGGGGGCGGGGGGGCGGGGGGGGCGGGGAGGGGGTCGGCGAGGGGAGCGGGGGGGGCGGGGGGGGCGGGGGCAGCGAAGGGAGGGCTCGGGCATGCACTGGAGCCCTTAAAAACACTCCATTCTAACAGCAAGGCAGCGCGAGGGGTGGGCGGGAGTGGGGCATGCAAGGCAGCGGGAGGGGTGGGCGGGAGTGGGGCATGCGCTGGAGCCCTTAAAACACGCCAGTCTGACAGCAAGGCAGCGGGTGGGAAGGGCGGGGGCGGGAAGGGCGGGGGGGGCGGTGGCAGCGAAGAAAGGGCTCGGGCATGCACTGGAGCCCTTAAACAACACTCCATTCTAACAGCAAGGCAGCGGGAGGGGTGGGCAGGAGTGGGGCATGCACTGGAGCCCTTAAAACACGCCAGTCCAGCGGAGGGGGTCGGCGGGGGTGGGAAGGGCGGGGGGAGTGGGGGGAGCGGGGGGGGTGGGGGGGCGGGGGCAGCGAAGGGAGGGCTCGGGCATGCACTGGAGCCCTTAAAAACACTCCATTCTAACAGCAAGGCGGGAGGGGTGGGTGGGAGTGGGGCATGCACTGGAACCCTTAAAACACGCCAGTCTGACAGCAAGGCAGCGGGTGGGAAGGGCGGGGGGAGGGAGGGGGCGGGGGGGGGCGGGGGGGGGCGGGGGCAGCGAAGGGAGGGCTCGGGCATGCACTGGAGCCCTTAAAAACACTCCATTCTAACAGCAACAGCGGGAGGGGTGGGCGGGAGTGGGGCATGCACTGGAGCCCTTAAAACACGCCAGTCCAGCGGAGGGGGTCGGCGGGGGGGGAGGGCGGGGGTGGGAAGGCGGGGGGAGCGGGGGGGGCGGGGGGGGCGGGGGCAGCAAAGGGAGGGCTCTTAAAAACACTCCATTCTAACAGCAAGGCAGCGGGAGGGGTGGGCGGGAGTGGGGCATGCACTGGAGCCCTTAAAACACGCCAGTCTGACAGCAAGGCAGCGGGTGGGAAGGGCGGGGGGAGCGGAGGGGGCGGGGGGGGGCGGGGGGGGGCGGGGGCAGCGAAGGGAGGGCTCGGGCATGCACTGGAGCCCTTAAAAACACTCCACAGGAAGGGGGGGGGGGCGGGGGGGCGGGGGGGGGGGGGGGGGCGGGGGCGCGAGGAGGGCCGGGCATGGATGGAGCCTTTAAAAACACTCCATCCAACAGCAAGGCCGGGAGGGGTGGCGGAGTGGGGTCTGCACTGGAGCTTAAAACAGCCAGTCCAGAGGAGGGGGTCGGCGGGGGTGGGAAGGGCGGGGGGGAGGGGGGGGCGGGGTGGGGGCGGGCAGCGAGGGAGGGGCGGGATGCACTGGAGCCTTGGAGGGGTGGGGGCAGCGAAGGGAGGGCTCGGCATGCACTGGAGCCCTTAAAAACACTAACAGCAAGGCAGCGGGAGGGGTGGGCAGGAGTGGGGCATGCACTGGAGCCCTTAAAACACGCCAGTCAGCAGCGGAGGGGGTCGGCGGGGGTGGGAAGGGCGGGGGGAGCGGGGGCAGCGGGGGGGGCGGGGGGGGCGGGGGCAGCACTGGAGCCCTTAAAAACACTAACAGCAAGGCAGCGGGAGGGGTGGGTGGGAGTGGGGCATGCACTGGAGCCCTTAAAACACACCAGTCCAGCGGAGGGGGTCGGCGGGGGTGGGAAGGGCGGGGGGAGTGGGGGGGGCGGGGGGGGGTGGGGGGGGCGGGGGCAGCGAAGGGAGGGCTCGGGCATGCACTGGAGCCCTTAAAAACACTCCATTCTAACAGCAAGGCAGCGGGAGGGGTGGGCGGGAGTGGGGCATGCACTGGAGCCCTTAAAACACGCCAGTCTGACAGCAAGGCAGCATAGGGGCATGGGGCCACGGGGCCATGGGAAGGGTGCATGGAGGGGGAGGGTGTGTGGGTGGTGGCAGCCATGTGAGACATGGGGCCATGAGCTGGAGCCCCTAAAAAAATGCCAAAACATCCATGAGGTGTGGGTGGTGGCAGCCATGTGGGATCCTGGGGCCATGAGCTGGAGCCGGGGTCGAGGGCATGGAGGCATGGGGGCCATGCGATGGAACGGGCGGAGCGGGCGCGATGGAACGGGCGGAGCGGGCGGAGTGGCGGAGAGAGCGGCAAGACTATGGGTCTTCACTAGCGCCTCCCCCGCTCAAAGCTCGGGTCGGCGGATAAACAGTTTTCAACAACTATGACTGTTACGAGAGGGTTACAGGAGGGTTATACCTAGGTTACTAAGTTATCAGTCCGGCTAACCCAAAGCCATGTGCTAAGGAGCATGATGCTCGCCTCCTGCCTCGTCCAATACCCCCAACCACTTGGGGGAGTTGGTGCCGCAAGTCTGGAGCATCAGGGTTTGGAGGGCGGGAGATGCTCATGATGCTCGCCTCCAATGCGCCCAACCACTTGTGGGAGTTGGTGCAGCAAGCGTCTGGAGCATTAGGGCTTGGAGGGCGGGAAACGAGCCCCGATGATGCTCATGATGCTCGCCTCCAGCCTCGTCCAATGTGCCCCCCCGCTCCCCTCGCCGACCCCCTCCCCGCCCCCCCCGCCCCCCCACTCCCCCCGCCCTTCCCACCCCCGCCGACCCCCTCCGCTGGACTGGCGCCCACCCGCTGCCTTGCTGTCAGACTGGCGTGTTTTAAGGGCTCCAGCGCACGCCCCACTCCCGCCCACCCCTCCCGCTGCCTTGCATGCCCCACTCCCGCCCACCCCTCCCGCTGCCTTGCTGTTAGAATGGAGTGAGATCTCTAGGACCCCAGGTGGCTGCAGCGCACTGGCCTTTCCATCGAGCTTCCTCAAGATATCCTAGGATAGTAAAGGGGACCTTGTGCCGATATTGCCAAGGATTTGAAGACACTATGTTTGAGGCATGGAGACTTTCTGTACAGTCCCCGATAGATGCAATGACTTTCTCACATCCCGGAGGTTGCATGCTCAAACATTGGTTGACTTCTTAGAAGTCAACAGCTTCACTGCTTCATCCTCAACAAGAATAAACGAACCCTCCTTTAAGACTTGTCGGAACAAGGCCATCGGTGCCCCTCGCTTCGTGAGCACATCTACGATCATCTGACTCGTTGCCATCCATCTCAGACTGATGCCATACTTGCTTATGTCTTTCTTCAAGAGCAGCATTTCGATGGCCATTCTCTTGTCTTTGATGGATACTGTGGAGCTCTTGGCATGATCGAAGACAGGCTTGCAGTCAATGACTGCTGTGATGGGCACTTTGACACTGAAGGCTAGATCCTCATGCAGCGCGTAACTTTCGCATATGGCTTCGCACCACATAGAACGCACCCATCGAGCCTCTGCCAAGCCTCGGGATAAGGCTAGGAGCTCGGCCCCCAATGTTGAATGCGTCTGGCGGTCTTGTTTGTAACTTCTCCATCTCATGACAGAGAACACTCCCCACTGACCCGCTGACAGTCGACTGTCACACGCGGCAATCATGTAGCCAGCCTGACTGCAGTGATCTTGAGCATTGGCCCAGGCAGCATCGGTGAGCACGCTAAACTGAACTGAATCTACTGGAATGGGCTTTACCCATATGTAAGACTTGCTATGATCGCGAGCCAGGCTTAACAGCTTGTTCACTTCTATCAGGTCAGAGACGCATGCGCAATTGACTCGCTGCTGCATCAAGGAACACCATGCAGCTAAGTCCGGGCGACTGCCACTGACTAACCAGTTGATGCCCCCCAGGGCAGCTCTCATCTGCTGTCTCTCACTCTCGTCCACAAGTTCACTCTTCTCACGACGTCTCTCTTTAGAAATCTCGATGCCCTTCGCAGAACTAGCATACTGCTCTTGAGAAATCTTGATGCTCCCATCGCTTTGTTGTTCAAGCCATTTGCCCAAAAACTCTCCCTGTTGTGTTTTCCAATGTTTGAAAGGAAACAGCTGCCTAAGTGGCTGCTGCACAGACTGTTGGAATTTGAGACTTCCTCCCATGCATAAATCGTCTACATGGAGTGTGATCACTCCTTCTAGTCGGCCGCTGTGGTAGTAATAAAACACGCATGGGTCAAACTCCGACATTTGCATGTTGAGGTCTTTGAGTTTGCCACTGAAGCAATTCCACCAGGCTTTCGGAGCATCGGCAAGCCCATACACTGTTTTGATTGCCTCAACAAGACACTGATCATCGTAGCCCTCGATTCCACCTGGAGGCATGTCAATAAACAATCTTCCGCGCTGTGGACTCAAGTTGTCACCTCGCAAAAATGCACCCTCAACATCGGCAATTGTCAATTGCCAGCCATGACTCGCGATTAGTTGCATTGCGACTGCGAATCCTTCTGCGGATAAGGTTGGAGCGCTCGTATCAAGCTCCAACACATCTGGATCAAGGTAGCCTCGAATGCACCATCTGGCCTTCAAATCACACGTGTCAGGGTGTGATCCCTGTTCAGCCTCAGTTACAACAAATCTCGATTTCAAGACGCGCTTTCGAGGCACAGACTTCCTCAACTGAGCTGCCTTGCGACCCGTGTGAACAACAATCGCTCCACTTTTCAACAACTTGTTCCACTCCTTGAGCTTGGCCTTCTTCAGACCCGCTTGCTGATTTTGACTCAGCTCGGACTCAATGACTTCTTTTCGGCCCTTCTTCGTTGCACCAACCTCAAAGCACTCGATCGATGATGCACTTTGTCGCGACCAACCTGGCTTGAGCTGAAACACAGTCTGCCCTGTCCATTTTCCAACCCCTGTACTTGATTCGCGCATCACGTTGCGCCATTCGTAATCACGCGTGTGTCGCTCACCACTTCTGGTATACATCACAGACTGACAGACCAACTCCACATCTTCCACGCGAACAGGCAACTCATGGTCAGACGGACTCCAAGGCACGCATCTTTCCACAACATGCACACGCACCAAGCGAGAATGCGAATGGTCAATCACCCAATGATCTTGACCCTCAACGACGATCACTTCAAGATCATCTTCATCGTCCTCAGGCACAGGGATCTCAGAAGGCCTCTGTGAGGACTCAGCTCTCGCGCTCAATCTACGACCATGGTCTAGCAACTCCGTACTTGCACGCATAGCACGCGTCAAGGGCGTCACTTCAGGCTCGACCCTTTGCTTTTTGCTTGGAGAGACGTCTCCAGCATCATCATCTCTAGGATCCTCACGCCTAGGGCGCTGTTCAGGGAGCACGGCCAACTCAACTGCTTGATCCGGGCTTGACTCCAACTGCATCGGGGGAGATGCTATTGCATTCTCATGCCCTGACACCAAGTCCATCGGAGGAGCTGCTACTGCGTTCTCACGCTGGTCCTGCTCAGATCTTTCCTCTACGTGCGAATCTGGTGGCTTGTCAAGCATGCTCAAATCATAAAAGTTCCCAGCACCCTTCGCACTGACCTCATTGCGTACATGCACCATATCAGCTGGCAGCAATCTAATCATGGCCTCTTGCTCGGGCGATAAACTTCGCAGCTGTTCAGGGCAGCATCGGTACACCTTCGTTCCCTTAGCTACCCAAACTTTGGAGCTACCGCTCTTCCCTATCACAACAGCCGGTCCATGCCAATGATGCCTGGTTTCAAATCGACTCTTTCTCCAAAAATACACCAGCTGACCCTCAGAAAAAGGACCCCTCTCAGGACGATTCCGATGCTCCATTGCCTTGCGCAACTTGTTCTCGGCATCAGCATCAAGGAAGGCCCTTCTTGCTGCCTTTCTCAGCTCCATTCTTCTCTCAAACACACTCTCACCCTGCGCCAGCGACGAGTTGATGACCGGATCATAGTCGGAACTAATCATGCCAGGCACCCTCAAATCTCTACCAAACACATGCTGAAAAGGCGAAAACCCTTCAACACGTGACATACTGTTCACAGCATTGTTGACCTGATCAATGAGCTCTTGGGTTTCTTGTTTGCTTCTAGGATACGTCTCCATCTGAGCCTTTGAATAAGCCGCTTTCCAAACAGCCCCTTTTCTTTCCACAAGTCCATTCTGCCATGGAGCATATGCAGCCGACGCGTCGCTAAAAGTGCCATCCAACGAAAGCCCATGTTCGAACTCCCCTTCAAACTCCTTGCCCCCGTCACAGAACAGTCTCACAGGAGGCCCGGCCCATCGTTTCCATGACTTGCGATATGCGTTTCGCACATGTCTAGCCTGCATACCCTTCCACAACGGAGTGCACATCTGAAACCCGGTGGCCTCATCAACGATATTCAAGAAATGCACTTTAGCATGTCTCACATCAAGCTCAAACGTGTCAATGCACACTTGCTGGTTGAACTCCGTAGCCCTGCGCATCTTAGTCACATTATGGGATTTGGGACGGCTCAAAGCGCTACACGTTTCACACTCAAGACCTCTAGCCAATTTCAGAACTCTCTCACTTGCATGCGCCGACTTCAACAACATGACCAAACGAGCAGGAGAAGGATGACCCAGATTCTCATGACACTTTCGAAGCAATGACATGACCTTTTTCTCGCTCTCCTCTCCACTCTCTCTCAACTCTTCTATGGTAAACACGCAGTGGGAAGCATGCACCTCAAGACGCGCGCGCTTTCGATCAAGCAAAGCAACCGCTACACACTTCATACACGTGGATGCCGCATCATCAGCCTCTGCGTTGTGTTTCTGTGTCTCACCTTGCCTCATTCTCGGCCTGATTTCTTTACTGTTAGTGTGCACGCTGCCACTCGTTCCTATTTTCATGCTGTACACCTCGGTTTCGGCAACAACCTTGCACCAACGTTTCACACCGCTCTGCAAGATTCCACTTTCATCCCACACACAGAACAGCCTACCCTCACACAACTGCTCGCTACAGCACGCAGCAACCAACCTCGTGAATGCACATTGCCGTTGACTTGCACGCACCAACTGCTTGCTGCGTTTGTGCACTCCACCGCTCAGACACTTTGGGGTTCTAATGACTAGCATTTGGGGTCTGCATTGCCGAATTTTCTCGATGGCATGGCTGACACAATCGCCTAAAGACAGGGAACTGGACGACAGTTCGCCTTGTGCAAAAATATAGTCTGAGCTCAGGCCTACTGCCGTGATCATAGACAGCTCCTCACTGCCCTCCAACAGCAACACATCCATGCCACCCTGAACCTCACACACGCCGCTCTCTAAGTCCTTGCATCTGGCTATGCCACGCCTACACAGCTTCCGTTCACCCTGGCTCATGCGCTTGGGTTCTGAGACCTCACCATCGGCTAATCCTGGCCCTCCTCGTTCAGGCGCTCCAGCTCGAGGTGCAGGGCCTCGATCTGACTCATCAGCAACTGGCGGCGCCTCTCGCTCTCCGTGCGCGACATCCTTGTCTCCTCTGGATGTGGCATCAGCAACCAAGGAGTCTCCGCATGCTCGGTCTCTAGCTCCGTCACATCTGCCCTGTCTGCACTCTGGCGGCTTCGACTCGATGTAACTGTACGCCTTGTTGTGGGCGATGGCTTCGGCTTTGGACTGCTCTTCGCCTTGGGGGATGCTCCCAAGTTCATTGCGGTCACTGCTCTCGTTGTGCGACACGGTGTTGTCAGCGCTGGTTCTGGCTCCGACCCTCTCTGGATTCTCTGCGACTTGCGCTGATCTCTCAAGGCCACGTACAGTCGGAACTGTGTCATTGTCGGATGCGATGACTTCCCCGCTGCATCTGGGCCTGACTTCACGAACTTCCGCACCCACGCCACGTAGCTCTTGTCGGTGAGATAGGACGTCGCAAAGTTCACCGCTGCGCCTGCTTTCTGATACTTCCCGACGTTGAAGATGATTCGCCCTGTTAGCCCTGGCACGAGCCCTTCTGGCGCGTCTTCTTCGTGATCTGATAGTTGATCCAGGATCGACGCACTCAGCTCCACCTGGTCCTGCGCCTCCAACTGCGGCTGCACCTCGGCAATCAAGCCGGCAATCAGAGGGGTCTGAACGAAGTTGTTCGCGCCCTGCATCTCCACATCGGTGCTCGGATAGCTCATGGCGCTGATCTCCTTCAGCAAGATGCACGGCTACCGGCGGCGACTTTTGTGAACCAAAAATCTCGGCGTCATCTCTCATGTGCGTCTTCACATCCTGATTCTGTGTCACCTCACGCTTGCCGTGAATCCCCATACCCTCGAAGAGAGGAATGGCATAATGCCCTCGTTCCGTTTCATGAAGCTTAAGCTTAACCCCACACTTCGTGATATCAACAGTATCACTCCCCATATCCAAGGTAGCTCCTAAACCCCTTAAGAGTTCCTTGGAAAGAAGCAGTGGAGCTTCAGAGCCACTACCAGGCAGCACAGCTGCCTTTATTGCTAGCTGTCGGCTTCCTAACCGTACTGGAATGATGGCTGCTCTGTCCGTCTGAATCAACCCGGCATTGCCAAACTTGAACTCATGCCTCTCTCTCACGAATCTAACTTGCAGCCCAACCCTTCCCAGTACTTCAGACATGCGCTGTAGAACTGCTTCACCTATGAGTGTTCGTCTACAGGCAGTGTCTGGAACCCCATGAGTAGCAAGATCGGCCATGTATGCCTCGCTGCCCGATGCGTGACCTTGCTTCTGGAAAAACTCAAAAACACTCTGCCCAAGATCCCCTCTCACTTCTTCGCCATCAGCATGCAGGACATCTAAGCCTGCTGGGCCACCCTCCCTCTGGCCGCATTGCTCTGCCAGAAAGGTGTCCAACTTGACGATGTCTTCTGCCTCGAGGAAGTACTCTTGGTTCAGATTGTCCATGGCGCTGCCACCACCACTGTCCATGATCATGGCCTCGCTGGTCTGACTGGTCTTTGCGCTTGCCTGACTCTGCTTTCCACTTGCTTGTTGTGCTCCTCCGGGCTTACGTTTTGGACACTCCCGCTTCCAATGTCCACGTTCCTGGCAGATGTGGCAACGACTCCGCGCCTTGAGCTGCTCAATCTTGCCACGCACTGTCCCCGACAAAGTCCATGTCGATCCTGTGCCTGTTGCCTTGTAGCCGCGGGCCATCTTCTTCTGCTGCATTTTCCGCCGGATGTCCTGGTAGGACTCAAACACCTCGATCGCCTCCTCGTCGTCGTAGGTCTCCTGGGACTGGATCTGGTCGGCGATGACCTGGAACACGTCGTCTCCATCCAGCTCATCCGTCTCCTGGTTCGTCTCGCCAGGTTCCTCGAGGAGCTCAGTCTCAAACACTTCTCGAGATTTGCCCCCACCAGTCTTAGCACATCCTTGTGGAAAGATCGCTTGCACTGCACTGTTCACGTCTGCGTACTTGAGGGACCCACGAGTATGGGTGAGCACCATGGCCTCTGCCTGAGACTCCAGCTGAAGCTTTCGCAGCAGGAACCAGCCTCTCACTTCATCTGGCAGCTCCACCTTGTGCTCTTGCAGTCTGCGGTATGCTGTCTCCAGGCGAATGGTCATGTTCCTGTAGCTCTCTCCAGCCTTGATGCTTGTCCCATAAAAGTACTCCGTCAAGTGCTTTTGCAAGGCGTCCTTCTGCAAGTCCTTGTAGCGACCATCCAAAGTCTCGAAGATGATTTCGTGGCCACCTTCCTTGATGATCTTCTCGAGCGCAATGCCTTCGCACACTTCTTCTGCTTCGCCCGATAGAAACTCCATCAGCTTGGCACCCCATCGATCCTTCGAGTAGGTGGTCGGTAAGGCCAGCAACATCAACTCCGCCTTTCTTCTCCACTTGCGATACGTTGCTGGCTGCGTCCCGTCAAACCTCTCTAGCTTAGGCCTCTCCTCTTCTTTTCCCTGAACATTCATGATCAGCTCGACTCCAAAGCGAAGACTGTGCGCACCGGGGTGGCCTGGAATCCAAGCCTCCCACCAAGCGCTCCGCTACCACCTGAGATCTCTAGGAACCCAGGTGGCTGCAGCGCACTGGCCTTTCCATCGAGCTTCCTCAAGATATCCTAGGATAGTAAAGGGGACCTTGTGCCGATATTGCCAAGGATTTGAAGACACTATGTTTGAGGCATGGAGACTTTCTGTACAGTCCCCGATAGATGCAATGACTTTCTCACTTTTCTTTTGGTCACTTTATGCACTTTTTGAGGGGGGAGGGGAATTCTCAACGGTTTAGGGTTCAGGGTTTATAGGTTTGGGGTTTATAGGTTTAGGGCTTAGGGTTCGAAATCCTAAACCCGAAACCCTAAACGGTTTGGGTTTAGGGTTTGTAGGTTTTGGGTTTTGGGTCCGAAACCCTAAACCCTACCCTGAACCTCGCAGCTCCATCATGACTTCTTTGTGCACCCTGAACCCAAGTCTCAAAGCAACTGCTACTTTGACCTTAGGTGAGCGGAGTTGCGGGTGAACCCTGGAATTCAAGGGGCGAAGCTACACATTTCGGGTTTAGGGTTTAGGGTTTAGGGTTTAGGGTTTAGGGTTTGGGGCTACAATGAAAAGCCCTACAAGCCGAAAGGCTTTTGCAGCAGCCCGCAGGACCTTCCGTGCCGAAAACCGCATTGAAACCCCACACCCACAACCCAAAACCCTGAAAGTTGAACCCCCACCCCCCCAAAAAAAAAAAAAAAAACCTAAACCCTAGACCCGAAACCCTAAACCTAAACCCTAAACCCGAAACCCTAAACCCGAAACCCTAAACCCTAAACCCAAAACCCTAAACCCTCGGCCCCCGAACCCAAAACCTCTGCGCAGGGTGGCCAGCTCGGGTACCGGGATGCCCTCCACGCGGCCCCCGGCTCTACCAGCCTGAACGTGTTGTTTAGGGTTTTTAGGGTTTAGGGTTTAGGGTTTAGGGTTTAGAGTTTAGGGTTTAGGGTTTGGGGTTTAGGGTTTGGGGTTTAGGGTTTAGGGTTTAGGGTTTAGGGTTTAGGGTTCAGGGTTCAGGGTTCAGGGTTCAGGGTTCAGGGTTCAGGGTTCAGGGTTTCAGGGTTCAGGGTTTAGGGTTTAGGGTTTAGGGTTTAGGGTTTAGGGGAGGGTTGAGAGGTTGAGTTTGGGATTTGGGGGTTGAGGAAGGTTGGGGGCTTTGCCTTGAGGCTTCTTGAGGTTCAAAGCTTGGGGAGGCTTGGGCCTGTAGGGCAAAGGCTTCCTCCTTACCTGCAGACGAAGCCTACCTAGACCCAAGAGGTAAACATAGGAAAAAACAGGCTACCCTTTTTGGCACCTTTTGGTTTCAAGGAGCTTCCTAAGGGAAACCCAAGCCCTAAGAAAAGGGAATACGGACCCTGCTCTGGGTCCTAGCGTATCTCGAGATCGCAGCTCTTGAGAAGGTTCAGAAAGGACCGAGCCCTGTGGGTGGAAGCAATATACGGGCCCGAAGAATTAGAATAGTTGTTTTGTTTTGTTTTGTTTTTTTTTTTTTGGGGGGGGTTCTTCTGGGACCATAAGGGATTGCTACTAGTAGTTATTCCGAGCCCTATACTATGGGTCAGAGTGGTAGGAGCTTCAGACAAATCCATGCCACGCCGATGCCGCTTCGGCCCCACTTTGAACAACAGGTCAGCAGGCTTAAGATGTGGGCATTTAAGTTAATTTTGCAACAACTCCTCACCTAAACCCCGAAGCATGCCGCGAACCCGATGTTAGACCCGATTGAATACCTTCCGATTTCCAGCCTCAGACGTTGAACCCACCGAACCTAGAGCTCCAAGGTTTAGGGCTTGGGGTCCAACCGAGACCCTCAACACCCCAAAACTCTAAATAGGCCAAAACCCTAAACCCTCAAGGCCCGAAAACAGGGGTCGGATTAATTACTAATCCTAGTCCCTTATGGTCCCTATATACTTCTGCCTTCATAACCCCCCAAAACCCTATTCTAATTCTTAAGGCCCCTATATTAAACCCTGACCCGCGCGGCTCCGAGCCTGCTCCCCCAGAACGGCCCGGAAGAAGCAGGCCGTCCAGCAGCGCGACGTCACATTTCGAGACCCGCAGGCCTCGGGAACGAGCCCCCGATTGGGCAGAGAGGCTCGTAAGGTATGAATTGGGATGTTCCCCTCTTACGCTAGCAGTCCTTAATAGGGATTTTGGTACCCTCTATTATAAACGGGGGAACATCCCAAGGAATGGAAGTTCTGTAGAACTCTGAAGCCAAAACCAAAGGACCCACATACCTTGTTCGCCGAAGTTAAACCCAAAACCTAAACCCTAAGCCCTAAACCCTAAACCCTATCCCCTAAACCTAAACCCCAAACCCGAAACCCGAAATCCTAAACCCTAAACCCTAAACCCTAAACCCTAAACCCCGAACCCCGAACCCCGAACCCCGGATCCTGGAAGTCGCATCTGAAGCTTCCTGAAACGTCCACAGCCTTAGCTAACATAGGAAACCCAGGAGCCTTATGGGATCTTAAGATTTTTTGGGAAGTTCAGGGTTTAGGGTTTAGGGTTTAGGGTTTAGGATTTCGGGTTTAGGGTTTAGGGTTTAGGGTTTATGGTTTAGGGTTTAGGGTTAAGGTACACCCATCCCCCTCTCCTAAGACCCAAACCCACCGCCTCAAAGCAGGATGGCGAAGCGCGCTCCACAGAGGCGAAGAAGGACTCCTTTGCAAGAGGGCTGAGGGCTGAGGGTTTAGGGTTTAGGCTTTAGGCTTTAGGGTTTAGGGTTAATCCTTCCCAGAAATTCCAAGATCTTGGAATTAGTAGGGAATAGGGGAATGAGGTACCCCATTTCATCCCTTAAAGGGAAAATAATAGGGGGATATAGGGTACCCCATACCCCCCTTAAACCAACGGTCTTTAGCAGAGCTTCATCACTCGCACCCTTTTTCACCTTGGATGCTTGTCTGCGTGCGCCGCGTCGGCGTAGCGACGCCCTCCACCGGACGAATCGAACGGCAGCAAGGAAAAGTGAAGCCCCGGGAAGGTGGGTGGGTCAAAAGCTGAGCGGTAAGGCTCAACGAACTCCTGAATCAGCTCTAGAGTGCAGAGCTTCATCACTCGCACCCTTTGTCACCTTGGATGCTTGTCTGTGTGCGCCGCGTCGGCGTAGCGACACCCTCCACCGGACGAATCGAACGGCAGGAAGGAAAAGTGAAGCCCCATAGCCCCACTAGTTTACATTCTCAACGAGGCCACAAATGAAACCAGCATCTGTTCGGGATTTTGGCTGAGCTCCAGCTCAGCACCTGGCTGAGTACATTGTCGAAACACTGCGCAGAGAAAGGAATGACTGCTTTGGCGTTGGGGTTCAGGTCAGAGACAAAGGTGGATGAAGCGATTTCCTGCAGGTATATCTCCATCACACGCCATTGCGAAAAAGCTGCGGTGAGCCCAGCCCTCTTATCTCTAGTCCTAGGTTGAACCGGTCTACCAGGCTGGAGAGGTGCGCGGCGTGCGAGGCGGTTTTGGTCGCCAGCATTCCTGGGGCTGAGGCCTGTTCCGCAGACGATGCGGAAGGATGAAATGAGGCACAGGCAGGCAACGAAGCTGTTGGAAGGGCCTTCACCGGGGAAGCCAATGGAGCTGTCAAAGTCTTGGAGCACGCGCGTATCTGGTGCCCTCGGGGTACTCTTTCAAGGCGCCTAGGAGGGCCCCGAACTGGGAGGAGCTGTGGCTGAGAGACCCAAGCAAGACAAGGCGCAGCCAATTTGCACGAACCTTACTAAGCTCTCTCTCTCTCTCTCTCTCTCTCTCATTCTGTCTGACTCGCGCTCACTCCCGCTCCACTCTGTCTCTGTCTCTGTCACTGTCTCTGTCTCTGTCTCTGTCACTGTCTCTGTCTCTGTCTCTGTGCCGGTCCCCCAGGCCAGTACTAGGCGGGCTCTCCACCGCTTAACTTCGGAGGTCAGAAGAGATCCGGTGCATTCGGTGAGATATGGCCGTCAGCGACTCTACAGTCATGAACAGACTTCAAGGTTTTATCGCTGGACTTCTAAAGTTCTATCCTAACCTTTGAGCCACATGGCCACTGCTGCTTCCGAAAAAAATAAGCAAATTCTGTACACTCCCAACTCAACATGCGAAAGCCTGCTTCCCAAATCTACTAACTTTGGTGCAAGCTCGCTAAGCAAAAAAACGGCACCTAATATTTAGGGTACCCCAAAAAGGGACCAAAATTTTGATAACCACCCAGACTCAGCCCAACAGGGGAGAAAAACTAGCGGATGGCGATCGCCCGCAGAGAGCAGAGCCCGCTCACTGTTCGATCAAAGTATTCTTAGGGTTTAGGGTTTAGGGTTTTTGTTACTGTTGTTGTTGCTGCTGCTGTTGCTTGGATGGAAAGGCCCTGATCCGTGCCCAAACTCCTAAGCTCAGAGCCTGAAACCTCGAATCTCGCATGGTGTGTGGTCTGCAAGTTTAGGGTGTAGTGGCGCAGGTTTGAGGCCGGCAGGGAACATGCCGTTCGACTTAAACTTGTCCGCGGAGGGTTTGGGGCTTTTGGGGTCCTCGTGTCCTTGTGGCACGTCTTGTTGACAATCTTCTGAACGGACGAAACATGCCAGGAGCAGTTTGGCCCCGTCTTGTGGGGGCAATATCCTCGGCGGCCAAGCTTCCCGAAAGCCCCACATGCCCCATGCAAG